CATCCAAGTAGGCCGTTATCGATAGAATGATTCAACAGTGGCAAATCGCCACGGAAGCGGGTGCAAGCTTAAGCTGCATACAAAAAAATTTTTAATCAATTTTACAAAGGTCATAAAACTATTTTTTTTCCGAACTTTCAGTTGACCTTGACTGAGCTAGTAGTTGCCCATCCTGTTCCACATTGCAAGTCAATTTAATTGGAAGCGGTCGCAAACAGTTTGCTGGCGGATTAGCATCCAAGTAGGCTGTTAACGATAGCTTTTATAGAACAATTCGACGCTGGCAAATCGCCAAGGACGGTGGCTTAGGGGGGGTTAAGGCGAATCCCCAAGAATCCAGCAGCATTGGAAGGGATGGGATCATGGGATCGAGTCCCCCGAGAAAGATCAACACACACACATAAAAATATACGGATGAGCATCCAAGTAGGCTGGTATCGATAGAACAATTCGACGATAGAAAAAAAAGGATGAGCATCCAAGTAGGCACTCAGAGCATAGGAACATACCGAGCATCATCAGCATTATCAGCATCAGCGGAAACAAGATGAACATAAATTAAATTATTTATTAATTAATTTTTTTTCTATTTTCTAGCGGATAAAATAGAAAAAATTCTTTTAACTTTCCTATTTGGCAAACGATGACTAGAAATGTTGAATGCTAATACGGCTTACGAGGTAAAGAGCGAATTAACATTTTTAGGATTAGAAATATGTTAAATAATGAATTCTCTATTGACATAGATGTCGAAACATTATACGAAATTAAAATAACATTTTATATATGCATCTCTTTATCTAGATCAGGGGTGCTCAACGCCTATGTTCTGAGTGCTTATTTGCTTTTGTAAATGATCTCTGGATGTGGGCTTGTTCGCCCATAAGCTTTGAGTGCACGCGGAGCTACACCACTAACAGTTTTTCGTTTTCGTCTTTTCACCTCATTCCGTCGCCAAACGCAATATATGTAATTTGTTCTTGTTTCTTCCTGGAATATCTTCGACCGCGTGCTCTGGAATTTATTATTTATACCTTTTGTTTGCAATTTAGAGCATATTTCGCATTTGGCGGGTCAGTAAAATGAGTGATGATTATTTTTTTCTCTCAGTGCCCAGCTCTAAACCAACACAAAAAAAATGTGAAAATGGTTGAGAACTCTACTATAAACAAATTAAATGCTTGGTAGTGGTATTGGAAAAACCAAAATGTTGTGGTGTAAAACTCTGCTAACAGTTTAAATAGTTTGTTACTCTTTCACACACAGGTAAAAGTGTTATACTTTTTGAAACTTTGTTTGAAGCTTGAATGGTTTTCTAAAACTACCATTTAGCGTTTTAAGGGTTAAACCCTAAAGAATTAATAATATAACACTTTATTGTCATAGAAAACACAGAATTGGCGGAACGCGTTACAAATGAACCTTGAAAATTCATTATGAAAGTAAGGAGAACGTTTGGAGCTTGGAAATGATTTGTATTTGGCTCTAGAATGTTTCTTCGATCGTTGAATATCGTTCTTTTAAGCTTAACATTTATATTATTAACAACCCTTTGCGAAACAGAAGAAATTGAAGAGGATAAACCCAAGGAAGTTATCTACTCAAATTCCATTCGCGCTCTATCAGAGCTTCGGGAGATTGAAAATTCCTATTTAGAGCATTTGGCCAGCTATGTTAGCTCTCTGAGTAAAAAGGTTGAAAATCTTCGCACGTATGGCTTTTAACAGCATTCTCCTAATATTAATAATGTATATACTATTTATTTATTTCATTATTAGGTTCATTGACAGCGTAACTGGTCGAAATCTGAACAGCAAAACGGATCCTATTCAATATGTGTCGAATCCCCTGAATTCCTTTGGCCTTGTCAGAAGATCTCATGAAGATTGGCCCAAGTTTATTGCATATACTAAAATTTTCGAAAATCTTACAGGTACAAATAATAATTTATCGAGCTGATTATGTGTCTATATAAAAAATCATCATAACCCCCACAGTTGAGAATGAGGAGTTGCAAAAACTTGTAAATCGTACTCCCAGCGCAGATGATATGCGTGAGGCACTCTTGGGAATGCATAGGATAGAGCACTTTTATGACCTCAAATCTTCGGACATGGCCAATGGTCTTTTGGCAGGCGAACTACTGGGGTAAGAAGACTAATTGACTTAGTGACTATCAGCTAAATTAGATAACCTTTTAGGACCCGAATGACAGTTCCCGATTGCGTGGCTTTAGCTGACTTTATGTACAACCAATCAGAGTTTAGACGGTCTGCAGAGTGGTATCGACTAGCTTTGAGTGCTTTGAATGAGCTTCAGAATAGCACAGCCATTCCATTCCACATACCAAATCCAGACGACCTCCGGAAAAAGTTCATTATGAGTAGACTTCAAGAAGGCAAGTATGAGAACTGGATACACTCTAAAGATACTATTTATTTATCAATAAAATAATTATGTATTAGGTTCCATTAACAACTTAAGTGACTATCTGATGGAACTAACCCAAGATCGTGAGATTCCTCTGATCCATTTAAGGCCAAATCCCACTCCAACTGCCATTGAACGAGGCTGCAGGGGGGAATTCCCACCAGGACCTCAATTAGTGTGCCGCTATAATAGCACCACAACGCCATTTATGCGGATAGCTCCTCTCAAGGAGGAGGAGATCAGCAGAAACCCGATGATTTGGCTATATCACGACGTGATCTATGACAGCGAGATCGCTCAACTGACGAATATGACCCGCAAAGAGATGACACAGGGAACTACAAATAATTATACCACTTCAGGGCAGGTAAGTCGACTTTTTCACGTCAAAGTTACCGACGACGATGGTGGAAAATTAGACAAAACTTTGGTAAATCGCATGGCGGATATATCGGGCCTCGATGTTGGCAATTCAACTTCTTTGGCCAGAATAAATTATGGCCTTGGAAGTTATTTCCCCGAGCATAGCGACTACGTGGACATCAAAAATCATCCGGCAAGTAATCTGTATCTTTTTTAATGTTCATATATAATAAATCAATATCCTATAATCTCTTACTTAGGAATTCACCGAGGAAGGTGATCGGCTTATGACGTTTTTGTTCTATGTAAGTATCTCTTTACTACTTACATGAAACATAATAAAGTGTTGGAAATCGTCTTTCTTATGTTGCTTTTAAATAACACACTTTTAATCAGTGTATATCTGAACTTTGTACCTTTCCCAGTTGACCGATGTTCCAGTGGGCGGTTCTACTATTTTTCCGGCAGCAGAACTAGCTATCCAGCCGAAAAAGGGTTCCGCCCTCTTCTGGTACAATCTTCACAACGATGGCGAACCGAATCCTTTGACCAGGCATGCTGTTTGTCCCATGATTATGGGCAACCGTTGGGGTTAGTTCCTTCGAAGATATCAAGATATCAGTTACTGTAAATAATAACTAATTTTCAGTTCTGGTCAAGAGCATGTTAAACTATGAGCAGATGTTCACGAAGCCCTGCTACAAGTAGAAGGTTCTAAGGATATGTGTATTAAAACCATTATATTTTTTAAAGCTAAGTTTTAATGGTTACTTCAAATGGCAAATGATACTGCGATAAGCTTAAGTTGTGTCTATATAGCGGCATTAACGGTTATGAGCTGAATCCTCAGTGAGATTCCGATCGGTGTAGTTAAAATACTTCCTAAGTTCTTAGCAAATCGATTAAAAGTTCTAGCCAGCTAATGATGAGCCACAATATGAGCCAAATGACTGGCTAGGTCATTATTATAAGTTTCAGTTCAATGGTTCTTTTAGCCTCATTAGATATCGCCTTCCCTCTTCCCATTCGCATTCGATGTCTTACTGGGCGGTACATAAAACCACCAGGCGCACGTGAAGAAGACCACGGAACCCAGCTTGCAGATCAGCGCCAAAAGCCACATATAGCTGTAGATATCATAATTAAATATTAATATAAATAAAAAAAATAAGACAAGGAGCAATCTAACCGGCTGATGTAGAAATTATCGTAGACGAGACAAGCTCCTCCAGCATCTTTGTCGCAGGACTCTTGCCACAAAATGCACGACTCGTCGATCAGGGCTCCGAATATCAATGGGGCGGGTATAGTGCCCAGCAGACGCACCTTTATCCACTGCAGGCCCAAAGCAAACGAACGCTGATCATCCTTAACACATCTGCGAATAAGATGTAGACAAAGATTAGATTATAAGCCTTATTAACAATTAACAGTAACAGAGCTCAAAGAGCAATCACCTTAGAGTCGCTGACAACGCAGGCATCGTGGCGAGGAATGTGAAAACCATCAAGATGAAGCAGAGAACCACAAAGAGTGGCAGTGTTTGGCATGTGGACTCACACTTCAGGTTGGTGGCATCTCCCAAGGATGGACTGCCCTCGTCCACCCAGCCAACGCTTTCGATGCAGCTGCAATTATAATAGCGCTTCAGGCTATCCTCGTGCCTCTCCTGGGCACATCCTGCGAAGCACGGACTGTAGTACATGACACCATTGACACCACAGATTGGATCGTAGTTCGTGTGACTGCAGCCGCAGTTGGTGTTGCATTCCGCCTTCAAAGCAGGAGGATCGCTCCTGGCTTTGAAGTTGTATCCTGTTGTGACGCCAGCGAACTTTGGATTAGGACAAGACACCAAGAAGCAGATGGTGAAAAGAGCCGCCACCACGGTGACCAGCAGGCACATCTTGATGATTCCTCTGCAGGCCAGGTTCCACTTCTTAACCAAAAAGCCGCCAAGGAAGGTGCCACCGCCGCCCGCCGGAACCGTGATCAATCCCATCACCAGGGCCGAGTACATGGGCGAAATGCTAAACTGGTTTTCTATCTGCTTGGGCAGGAAAGCAGCAAATCCAGCTATCACTAGACCCTCAGTTGCACCGGCCAGGTTCAAGAAGAAGAATGTGGGATTCCCCAGCAGACTAAGCACTGCCTGGGGAAGTTGAGCAAGTCCCTTGGTTACTTCGTTGGGTTCGCCCTCCTCCGTTACTGTTGCGTGCGCTTCGGAAACTCTCTCCAGCTGCAGCTTTTCTGCCCCGGGAAGCAATTTCGGATAACCGAAAATAGGAAGGGCTATTAGGAGGCACATAGCAGCGGCGAAAATGAAACCCAACCACCAGGCTCCGATCCACACCTTACTGTCGCTGGTCAGGCTGAGTCTGTAAGGAGTAAAGTCGGTTAATTGACTTAAGGAATATATTTCGGATATTATTCGATTAATTTTATTAATTCTTCATATCTTGTTGCTCTGCTTGTTAGGATCCTTGGCATTCCCACCTTGGTATTGCTCTAAAACTAAAACAAAATCTTCGTTCATTTAAAAACCTAATTTATAATGTTTTAGTGTCGTTCGTATCTCAATTATGTTTTCTCTGATTTTCACCACTTTTCCAGCTTCCCAAATGAACTTGAATGGAAATTTATATTTTCCGCTGAATTAACGCTTTCAGCAGTGGCTACAAAAGGTCGCCAAAAGAATTTGTTTAGCCCTAACCACTCGTAAACATGAACAAAATCATAAACAAAATTTTCATGTTCTCGACATAATTTACGAACTGTGAGGGAGGGGGTGTGAAGTTGGGCAGACATAATATGACTTATGGCATCACCTTGACAATAAGCCTTGCGGTTGTATCCGGGCGGATTCGGATGCAGATGGCTTTATGCTGTGAAACGCGGCAGTCCTTGTGACTCCAACCTGCCGGACCACCGCCCCACCAGGTGGAGGTGAATCAAACAAATGCTCATTCTCATTCGCACCTTATTTCCTCGTTGTCAGCGGGAATGTTGTTTTATTACTCTCTGGAGATATTTACACGGCGAGGTGCTTTGTGGCATTTGCCGTTGCTGGGTAACAAATAAGCTCCGCAGCATTTCGCCCTCACCTCTCCTTCCTTCTCCTTTTACCACCCACGTCCCTGCCTCTGCCACTGCCACGCCACCTGTGTTAAAGTCACCTGCTCTTTATCTCCATCAGCACTCACTCATTTACCCGACGGCACTAAGTCCCGCGATTAATAACAATCATAGCCAGCTTATCAGATGCACTTACTGGACTGGGTCCACGCTCATCCAATCCGTGTAGATGAGCAGCAGTTGTCCTCCGAAGACGTAGCCAATCGCAGGTCCAACGGTGGCCATGGTGTAATAAATTCCTGGGAAAACAAACTCCTCTATTAAAGTTAAATATCTAACACAGTGCTAGCAATGAAATTTGTCAAGAAGTCATAGGAAATATCATTATCACACAGCTACATCATTTTAGCATGTGAAAAGTTTTCAACTTTTACCCTTCATTAACAGTGCGTTTCATAAATATAACTATTTTCAAGAAAATTAAAAGAAAATTCGTCAAAAATGTTTTAGAAAAAAGATATCGTTTGGGACAATTAAAGCTTAAAGTAATTTCCAAGGATTGCGCCTTTATTTATTTATCTTTGAAACGCACCGTGCCATCACCTCGTTGAGCTGGAATAGACCAAATAGCTCCAAGTGTAGCCAAACTCCCAGGAAGAAGCGAATTTCAATTGTCTCAATGCCAGACAGCGATATCCAAAGAGGCAGAGGCCGAGGCTGGACGGGTTTGATAATTTCACTGTCGTCTTTGGATGGCACGATAAACCTAACTAAGAGGCAATAAATTTCTGCTGCCGCTGGCTCTGCCTCAGACCCGCGTCTCAACTGAGTCAGCAACAATCTGGCTCTTTAAAATTGGGTCAACAGGGGGAAGGAAGCCGGGCTGACAAGGATTGGGATCGGAGCGGCTTGGGGCGCAAACAGTAAATAGTATTTACTCCCTTTGTAGACGACGTCGTTTGCCAATAAGGCGAATAAAAATAAATATTCATGTGTGAGAGCAACTAGCAGATACTTTGATATCGTATCAGGACCAATCCCCCCAAAGAGGGGAGTGCGGGTATTTGTGCATACTTCATTTGTTGTGCGACTGCGGCAGACAAAAGTTTTTGCGCGTCTTATCAACGGCTGCGTCGTTTGCAACTTACCCAAGTAAACAGATGACATCTTCTTTGAGACGTTCTCATCGATATAAGTGACGCCCAGTGTGAAGAGGGGCGAGGCACCGGCTCCGTGGAGCAGTTGGGCCGCCAGGAAGAGCCACACCGTCCAGGTTAGATTCTCTCCCTCGCCCTCCCCGGACCCGTTCAGCTCGCAGGCGGTCTGCAAGGAAATGTGAATTAATCGGAAGATATCTCCATGACAGTCTCTAAATCCTTTTACCATTGTTTGGCTGGAGTTAGGTTGCAATCCCGATAGCTCACACACATTCGCCTCAGCAATGGTGGCCCGATAGTTGCCAACCAGGAAGTTTGGTAATAGGAAAACCAGCGATCCCAGGCCCATCACGATCAACCCAATGGCTATGAAGCGGGGCTTGGAGGCTCCCTTGCGACCGCCGAAATAGGTAACCGGAACCAGGCAAGCAAACGAAGCCAAGTCGTAACCACTGGCCACCAAACCCATCTGCCGGGAGCGGAGTCCGAAACGACGCTCAATCGTGGATATGGAGACATTGATTAGACCGTTTACTATGAGACCTGAAAGGAAAAGAGGTTATAAAAGAGGTTTACAGTGTAATAGTAGTAAATTGCTTAGCTTAGGACATCGAAGACTTCTTTTATTAAGAAGGATATTAAACTAATCTTTAATTCGTTTAGTGTAGCATACTTCTCAGCATAAATTAATTTGATAATTTGGTTAACTTATAAACGCAAATCTAAGTCTAATATTACCACTTTGTGGAAAAATAAACTTATTCTTGGTAGAACTTTTGATTCTTAAGCGATTTCTGCTCTGAGTTACCTCTTCCCCCTTCCCTTTAAGCCCCCTGCTCCACGGATCATCCCTCAGCCCGTGGTCATAACACCGGGTAACACCGTCAACAGATTGTCATACAATACTAGACTACGGAAAGGAAGGGAGAGGGTAGCGGAAGATAATGGAGGAGGAGTGCAAAGGGGCGGGTCATAAATTAAATATCTGTACGACAAATTGATTTTGAGAGCTTAGGCGAATTTTCTATCATAAATAAATATCTGTTAGTTCTGGGTCCGCCCTTCACAACCTACGAACCATTGTCGCTTGGAATATTTCCTTTTTTCTACAACGAATTCAATTTATTTCTCAATAACCGCTCGACAGAAGACCTCTCCTGGTCATCTTTGGCTAAAAAGGTGATAGGAAGCGGGGAGGAAACTTTGTAAAAAAAAATCTACGACCAGCGGGAGGGGACACTTACAAGTCATTTACCCCACTAAGTGCAATAATTTAATAAATCCTGAAGGAAACCTTGAGACGGGGGTGTTCATACTGTGAAGTGGGAGTGAGTATGTGACCTTTTGGCTGAAGCGTAGTGTGAAGTGAAGTGTATTGGATACGTGACAATCTACCATTTTGCATGTGCATCGATTGCAATTCGTCCTGTTCGGGATATATAGAGAAGGAAGCCTAATTAGCAGAGAAGCTGTCTGGAATTTAATAGATTTAATAAATATAAAACTGAAGTGGCTAACTTATTATCTTATTTAATCAATATATTGCTATATTGATAGATAGAGATTCCCCAAGCTATCCAAAGATCACAGCTAACACATGGTCGCATATTCAGAATCACTCCCATTTCCAATTTACGAATATGAGTTATTTGGCCGAATTACTCATTTCCATAGAAAGATGCTGAGTTCAGGGCAATAAAAACAACAATAAACCATTTGAACTGGATGTGGATGCACAACGACAGCGGAACGCGGCAATCCAAAATTGTTGCGGATGATTTATGTTAATGCCGTGTCAACTGATTAATATTTTCGGTCACGTGCCGCTTCATCCGCATCCGTAAGCCGAGCCACGGGCGGGCAGACCAACTTCCAACCGGAAGTGTTCTCACGTCTAGGGTCACTCGGAGGCCAGTACAACAATCCAACCGGGAGCCAAGTGCAACAGATGCCAGCAGGCCATTCGAGCTGCAAGAACTGCATGGGCATGGGCTCAGTTTGCTTACAGCACACGGCCAAGGCATAAATACTGGGCAGTCAGCCTGCTAGAGATGTCCACGTGAATCACTCCTATGTCGATCGTGGCAAATTAATTATATACTTTTTATTCCGTCTAATCCCTTATCAAGATGAATCTAATTAATTTTTGATCAGAGGCTATAAAAGAAACATCTTAGGAGTGTTTGACGATCTTCTACTATTTCATTATAGTGAATATTTACAAAATTTTAATAAAATTAACCATTATACCTGATAAAAATCTCCACAAAGTGATTACCTTAGTATTCTTTTCTTCTATGTGAACTTAATATTTGTTCTAAATAAAATTAAACGAATTTAATTTCGTTAGTGTAGTCTAAAAAATGAGCCTCACGAAGGCATCTCAGCCTCCGCTGGCACTTATCCAAAAATTCTAAAGCTGAGTGCACTCCTCCGGATACCATCCAATCGCTGGAACACAGCCTAATCCCATGGAACAGGCATCAACGTGTCGTCAGCTTCGTGAAATTGGCGAATTTTAATTAACCGCTTGAACCCATTTGGAGTGGGTTACTGAGGCTGAAACTGAGCCGTAGCCATGGGCACCAGCAGCAGTTCGGCTCAGCCAGGGATCTAGAGTTGGGTAAACAGCGATTAACATTGTTTTGATTTATGCCGCTGCCCTCTCGCACACCGGGTTCTGGATTCCGGTATAACGCCTATGACAACGTCAAGGGGCTGAGGTCCTTAAAACCCATATCCAAACCCCTCGGAAATCGCTGGCTAAACTGGGCCCCTTTACACTTCAACAAGCCTTTCAAACTATTCAAAGTGCGGTGATTTTTTGAGGTTAATGCATCCTCGGGCTACAGCGTCATCCGTTCCCTCGTCACCCGCTGCTCCGGGCAGATATTAATTTTTAATTCGCTTCTATTCACTGGAGCTCCGGCCGGTCTCACCTCCTTCCTTGCCAGCACCTTGGTCAAATTCTTATCTGTTGCACACAGTCCTGCCAGCCGACGCTGGGAATGCCCAGGATGCTAATGAAGCAATGCGGATGTCCCCTTCGCCTTCGCCATTGCATTGTCTTAGCCAACTCGAGACTCCTCGGTTACAGGCTCGCTAAAAGTTGGCTTGGCAAAAGTTTGTCTTGTAATCAAGAAAAATATGGCCATGTTGATTCAACCTGCTTGGCAAATATTATTTAAAGCCCTTAAACCGAAGGATAATTTGCATTTATAAGATATAAATAGATATAAAAAGGAAAAACATAATTTGAAAACTAATTTTTAAATTTTCTATTTGAGTAAGAAATGAATTTTTCAAGTTTTATTTTATATTTTAGTAATGGCTCTTCTGCATAATTAATGGCCTATTAGTTGGCTTTTATGAAATACTAATATATAACATAATCTCTAAAAAATAATGGCATTTATTATTGTTGTTTTTCTTAAATAAATAGTAAAGTAAACCTCTCACTCTCAATTTCACTATTCAAGTCAGATCGGACAACTAATTTTAAGTATTTTATGACTGGACATTAGGCTAAAATGATAATGTTTAATTTTCACAATAATTAACATTTCTGAATAAATTGATTTTTTCACTATTTATATATCAAGTGTTCAGTTACTAAAATCGTTAGTAAAATCGTTTTAGATAATAATTGGATTACCCACCTCATTGGCAAATTTATATACGAAAAATGAAATGGAATATTCAAAACAAACAAGAAAAATTATATACTTCACTGGATTTATAAACATTTTTCTGACTCGGATTAAAAGATAAACAACGGAATTCAAACCTTAAAACGAGTGTGGGTGGAAAATTCGCGAGACGAACCATTTAACGGAATTAAGTAAGTAATTCGGAACGAGGAATATCACCTTGGAGAGCACCGCCCCAGCAGAGCCAGAAGAGAGCCCACTTGGCGGTGCAGAAGCGTTGAAGCCACGGCGGATTCCATCCACACCATCCAAGTCGGTGGTTATCCTCTTTCGTATCTGCTCCTGAAGAGGAGCTTCCAACCCGACTGGATCGGGCACTATTATTGTTGTTCACATTGGCGCACTTGGGTGCCACGGCAGTGTTCGAGTTGTCGAGCTCAATATTGGCTTCAGACATGGTTTCACTTTCTTGGTCCGCACAAAAAATCAGCGATGCAAGTGCCACTGCGATCCGCACCGAACGACGGCCGGAAAATGACTGAGCTCAGATATTCAAACCGCCGCGGACAGAAGCTCAGCCCGAGTTTTCTGTTAAGGACTCGGCGCCAACAGGGCTCTGTTAAAGGAAACCAACCCCCTGCTGTGCTGCTCACACCCACTCGTAGCATCTGGGATTCATGAATGAAATCTCTACGCCCCCGCTCTCATCCCCCGCTTATTTCACGAGCTGCACATATCAACAGTTGTCATGACGCTGCCTTCGTTAACGACATTATCTGGGCAGTCGTGTGACGATGTGCGGATGGCAGGAAACATACTGAAATATTTTATGGACGAAAATTATAATTCACCTATATTGGAAAGTATTTATTAAACACTTGTCTGATAAATAATTCATGCTATTTACTAATAAATAATATAATTATCAAAAACTTATTTGAAAATCAAATGGAATTAAACTTTATAGTTTATATTTACATTGAAAAATATTTAAAATTTCGATACATTTTATTTATATCAATTTAAAACCTTTATCCAATTTTTTAGTTACACAAAATAGAACTAAAAACCAATTTCCAACTGCATTACAACTTTCATGTTTATTCAATAAATTTTTCGGTTTAGTAGTTTTTTCTAATTTATAAACTTAGATTACGAAAAATAGGTAATAAAGTTGCCAATGTAAAACAAAATCATAGCTATTGACAAGAAACAAATTTAGCATCAAATTTTTAAACAAAAATAATTAATGGGACTGGTGTTGAATTTCGATAGCCGAAAATAGGGATCTATAATAAGGCAAAATCTTAGCGATCGTTAAGCACCAGAAATATCTTCTTCGATTTGTAAATTAAGTACGATACAGGTTTTAAGTAATTCCACTTAACTCAAGAAGATACATCGTTTGATTGGTACATTTTAGAAAATATTTGAAAAATTGATTTGCTTTTGACTACTTATACGTACATAATATATATAGAGATATACACATATCTATATAGTTACATTTAAGTTTTAAACAATAAAATATTAAACAAAAACAAAAATCGTTAACAAAGAGCAAAAAAAAAAACGTGAAGTTTCGGGTTAGCCTCGTCTAGAGACTCCCCATTTCCTAATAGAGAGTACACACGCGGTATTTACAAGATCTTCCATGAATCAAAATATGTTTACATGTTATTATATATATATGTATCTATATATAGCTATATGTGTGTGTTGTATTTGAATTATTTCTATAACGTTTGAGTAGGTCCATCAGAAGCTGACATTCTAAAAAGTTGCATAGTTCACCTATCTTTCTTGAGGCCCAACTCTAAACTAAAGCTGTTCTGGGAATCCGTATCAGTTGGTGTTGAGGAAGATGGCTGAGTAAGTTTACTTAGAGCAAAAGTGTTCGGCATGTACACACTGTACTTAACTCGTATGTTTTGGTTATAGATACACGTACAGTGAACGCTTTGGGCACTACGACAAATATCACATAATGAGATCAATTGGATTTATATTGGGTACTTTTGTTTTCGTTTGCGCTTCATTTCCGTTGTTAAGTATTGGGTTGTGAAATAAGAATATACGAATAATTGCACAATGTCATTGAACTTAAGATTGTCTACAGGTTTGGGCTGACTGCTGACTGGTGGGCTAATTACATAGTTAGTGGCAATCCGTAAGCTGATTAAGTACCTAATTTAAATTTATGTATGTATTTTGAAAGTTGTTCCAATTCATAATACTTGAACTGAACTGATCCAGTTTGCACTTAATTTGAGTTGTTATCGAGTTGATTAAAGTTGGAAAAGTAACGAATAAAATTAAAGAATTGCACTCCATATACATAAGTGTAAACGTAATCCTATTAAGTTGTAACTTATTTATGTATAACAATGTGTTTCCGGTGGCTTTTTTGTGTTTTCTGATTATGGTTAGTTTTTCAGTATTCCGATACCAATGGTAAGTACAATTTTGTAGCATCCACACGAGGTTCGCCTTATATAGATATGCAACTTTTTAAATGTCATCTTCTAATGGCCTCACTAAGCCATTTAGTGTTTCTATAGGTATGTGTGGTTTATATATGTATGTGTGTACATTTGAAATGTTGTTTTTATATTTTACATTCATTAAAGTATATCCTCTTTTGAGTCAGTACTCACTTCAGAGGAAACTGCCGAATGAAAAGGGTTCATCTTTCAGTTTCGGAAGCAGCTCTTCTTGAAGTGAATATTGAGCATTAGTTTGCATTTCTTATGCCATAGGTATAATGTATAATTAAAATATATTTATATTTTCTTCTGTTATAAAACTTAAAATGAATTTAACCAAAAATAAAACAAAGTTAGTAATAACTTGTGTACTTCATCATATTTTGTTTTCTATAGTTGGGAGAATCCCAAACTCCCATTATCATTATCATTATCTTCCTTGACCTTTTAACCAGTTTTTCAAGGCGGGTGGGGTACCGTACAAAGTACAAAGGAGAGCCATGGGAATGCTGGGTGGGTGTTAGTTTTAGTCGTTTGAGTTCTGGTTTCTGTTTTCTTTTTTTCCGATAAGTTTTTCTTTTTCACGTTCTTAAACGACGCTCGAAAATGTTTCCTCCTGCTCTGGCTGCTTATCCTCTGGAAGATGGCAATCGACCACCTCACTGTGCATCACAATCTCAATGTCACCCAGTTCGGCGGCAGCTTCTGCCTTTAGCGCCACATCCTCTGCCCTCGATAGTTTCTGAAGCGAATGAAGTGTTTCCTCGTTGATAGTGTGCTCTGGTGAAATGTTTTCTTTAAGCTGACGCTTTAGACTGAGCGGCATGTGAGCCGTATTGCACTCCGGCGGCGATGGCGACTCCGTGCTGCTCGAGGCCGACGTCCCCGTGCTCAACTCATGCTGTGCAGCTGCACTAGAGACCGCCTGTTCACCGCTGTTGTTGAAGGAAATGTTCTGCCTAAAGACTTGCTTGCTGAAATCCCGCAACTGTCTGGAGGCTGTGTCGAGGAAGGATGAACTCCCCGTTTCCGTAGTTGACGTCGTATTTTGGCTGGCGTTGGAGAAGTTGCTACCGGTCAGTGAGGTCCACGAAGCAGGCGAAGATTTTCGGGCAACCGAAAGAATAGGATTAGAAATTGAGGTACTGGTGTCGACTCCGCTGGCTCCTCCAACTGCGCTTGCCGCTGTGGCATCTGTCAAAACACAGATGAAAGTTATTAAAAGCAATTACATCATTCGTTTTAATGTTTTTAAGATACGATTTTAAAAACTGAAATCTCCTAACATTTTGCAGCAAACAATTTTAATGGACAAAAAAAAATGGTTATTCCTATAGACTTTAATTTAGATTAGAATTATATCGTTAAGATATATATTAACAACATAAAGAACAACTAACTCTGTGTGCTGTTTGTAATCGTGTTTGCCGTCGGCACGTTTGTTATTTGACTGGTCTTCGGTTCTGGCGAGGAGCTGCGTTGGAACATGGTGCCGGTGTTGAATAAAGTGAGCAGCTTGTCCACTGCCGACGGATTGGCTATCCACGAAGTCTTCCTTGCACGCGTCTGTGGGGCGTTGCTGACGGGCTCGGCAGGCGGCGCTGGTTCTGGTTCACTTTCCACAACTGTATTCATTTTGCTTGCCGCAGCAGCAGCAGAGATTGCAACCACACTGGCCGATTCCTTGGTCAACGTGATGTCATTATCGCCAAACACGGCCAGGGGACAGGTCCTGTGTGGAGCATCTGGGCCAGAAGCCACGGAGTCTGTAACATCGGTGGAGGTTGAGGTTGATGTGCTACCATTGCTAGTGCTACTGCTCCCGCTGCTGCTGCTTCCAGGCGAGGTTGAGCTCGACTGACTCAAGGTGGGTGATATGGACAGGTGCGGGGAAACCTTTTGCTCGTTAGCTTCTTCGACTTTTGTACTATGTGCGTCCGTGTCATCGCTGGCCTCTACAATAACCACACTGCTTACAGGCACCGCAGCAACTGCTGCCTCCACTGCTTCGGAGAGTAGAACCGCCTTCCTAGCCGACTTTCAACATTGGCGTGGGCGGCAGGTCTATCGGTGGCGTGTGCGGTGTGATGGGTGGCAACTGTCGGTTGGCCATTGGCACCTGGGGATCTTCGTAGATGCGAGACACATGGAAACGAGACCTGGGCGACACAGACAGGCGCTTGATCGTCTGCGTCGAGGAGGTAACAGATGCCATCGCAGGCAATGAACTGGAGGTGGGCAGGGCTCCAACGGCATTGAGGCTGCTCTGACTGCCACTAGGCGATCCGATGGTGGGTATGGACATGCAGCTGCTGGCAGAGCGCGGCGTATGCGGTGGCGGATGCTGGGCCAATGGCGAGATCAGGGGACTGGACACTTCAGCCACGCGAGACACTTGAAAGCGGCTACGGTTGGGCGAGGACGACGGCGATATGGTAGGCGGACTTGGTCCCGGGGAGCGGAGTCGGGGTCCACTCTTCCGCTTCACCTCCAGCAGGGCAGCCGGTGTGGGCATGGCGGTTGCTGCAGCGGTCGCGGTAGGCGTTGCAGTCACAGTGCCAGTAGCCGCGTCCACGAATGGGCGACTATGGCAAGTCAACGAGATCTTCCGCGAGCCCAAGTAGTAACCGCCGCGACACCGTATACCCGGAAGGCTACTTCCAACGCTGCTACCGCCGCCGACCACGTTCAATGTCTTCTCCGCCAGCTCCTGGGCCTGGCGCTTCTCATTTCGTGAGCACAGGGAGCGAACGGTACCCAGCATCCTTGTATAATCCAAGTGAGCATCGCTGCCGATCTAAAACAAGAAAGAAGTAGTTTATCAGTCATACAGTATCAGTGGTGTACAAAAATTATTCGATAGCACATTTTTTGTCTATCAAAAAGCTGATTCTCTTTTTAGCCTCTTTAGTAGCCAGTTGTGGAGTTGCTCAGTTGGCCGAAGCAGTAAGGCAGGGTCAGCAGAACAACAGAACTGTGGTGCAACTGAGCAACTGAACAACTGATTGTGTTTGTCATTGTGATCGAATCCGACAAGCAGCTAGAGTGAAAGTTAGATCGGGTTTGGGCTGCGAAAAGTACTTAAGTACCAGGCGGGAGGAGTGCGTTTCAGTTATTAGCAAGTAGCATTGTTAACGGATGCAAGCCAAGCATTGTCAAAAGACGGTTGTTGAGCACAGAAGGCAGTGGGCAGAGAGAGAGAGAGTTGGAGGAGCAAATTCAGTGGGGGTTTACTTACGGTCTCCTGGGGCAATGGCGATGGCGGTATAACATTTACTATCGGCACTATGGGCAACTTTAACGGAGATGATAGAGGCAACGACAACAGTGACCACAAATGAAAACGATTCAATTAAAAATTCAAAATCAAAACTCTTAACGCATTAGGCGTCCAACACACAGCCATCCAAAACCAAGCACGATATCGCATTAAGTCATGGTGTCAAAGGGGGTTTAGCTTCGGCTAGCCGTAGCTTATACTACCCTTGGTAAGCATTCCTTTTAATCAAAAACTATTGGAACTTTTGACCTTTAAATATACAGCTTACAGCTTGTAGCTGTGGTCGTTAAATTTGTAACAAAAATGCATGTACATTACCAAGGATAATATACTTATTATCTTAACTACAGAACGTATAAACGCTAACTCCTTTGTTAAGCAAATGAATTGGGTTGTCCCCAAGTTAAGTTACATTCGGATGATATCGAATATGAATGAATATAAATTTCATAACTTTCGTTTGCCTAACAACAGATTAAGTATAAACGTAATACCAACTCAACATCTACTATGGCATCAGATGAAATGTTCGACTCTTGATGGACTTTGAAATAATATATAGCTGATTCTAGGTGTGGATAACTTACCGTCAGTCGCTTTGGTTCATCATTGATGTCGATCTGGGTGAGCGTTTTATTAGACTTGAGCACCTCGGCGATTATGTTCAGACTTTCCACCTCTAGTTTATTGTCACGGATGTCAATGCGCTGGAGCTTGCTGTTGCCACCAAAAGTGAGGATGGAGGCCAACGTCTCGATACCCTTGGCGCTCAGATGGGCACTCTGTAGCCCTAACGTGGTCAGAGTTGTGTTTTTCGTCAGACTCTCCTTTATGGTTGAAACAAAGTCATTGGAGAGGCAATTCTTGCCAATGTTGAGCAGTTCAAGCGAAATGGTCTTCTGCAGAAGCTCTGAAACAGCAGTGGCGCAGTCCTTGGTCAGATTATTATTCCAGAGTGTAAGGGCCTTTAGGCCGCTTGGTGATCGATTGGCCTCCAGCGTGGCCTCGGCTAGCTGGCGACGCGAAAGGGTGTCGTTCTTAGTTAGCTTTTCGGCAAACTTGGGATCGGCGGAGGCACTAGAGCTTACACTATTGTTGCTGGCGCCGCTGCTCATCCCGTCTAGCGATGTCTCGCTGCACAGACTATCGGAGCTCTGGGATCGGTTGCGGGTGGACTGGTTGAGATACGCACAGCTTGATTCCGTTCGGCGTAGGCCAATGCTTACTCCTCCCGGCGACGTGGACGGTGGTGGGGGCGTGGGTGCCGGGCTGGGGCACGGGAAGGGAGTAGGGCTCAGTTCTTTAACCGCCAGTAGGCACTCCTCGGCAATAGTTACTTTCGGCAGCGGGAATGCATCTTCCAGTTTTACCGGCGCGGGGACTGCCGGCGTAGGAGTGGGCGTCGCTGCTTCCTGGGCGGCAAGCAGACACTCAGTGGATTCTGTGGCAATGGTGGCCGTCTCTATGCCACACATCTCTTTAGCCATATCATCCAGCCGTGTGCTTTCCAAGGACACCGAAAGCCTGCTAAACTCATCCGGCAAATGTCGACTTATATCGCCTTCAGATGCGCTCTCAAATGCCGAGTCCGTGCTGTGCGTATCCTCGAAGTCGTCTACCACCTTTGCATTTTTGTTTACGTCCAGCGGTCGTGACCCACCCGCCACCGATCCACTGCCATTGATACAATCGCTCTCCTCAGCGGTGACCTCAAAAATGGGCGCTGGCGATGAACCACTGGGACTGCTTCCGATCTCGAGTGGCGGTGCTACTACTGCTAGGGTTGCTGTGGCTCCTGTCTCCGATGGCAATTGAATTGTATTATTATTGTTGCTATTGTTGAGGGAATTGTTAGCATTGTTATTGTTGTTGTTGTTGATGATGTTGTTCTGTACACAGGATTCATTGGGTTCAACGGTTTTAGCCTCTGTTGAGGGAGTAATATCTGCAAAACGGAAAGGAATCCGATCAGTGCTGGTCGATGAAATGCAGAAATAAAAAATTAATTTACCACATAAGTTGCGTTCGTTTTGAGAACATTGCTGTTGTTGTTGCGCGGGAGGCAGCGGCTCTTGAAGTTCAGCTGCATCAGGGACCGATTCGGACTCTATCGGACTGGATGAGATCATGGCCGGACCGACTTCGTCTCCTGCCAGCGGCTGCTTAGCGGTGGGGGTGGGGAGTTCACACATATCGTTGCTGATCTCGCTGATATCCTCGGAGCAACAGGCGGCCAGAGTGTCGGTGGATATATTCGAAGGCGCCTCCTCACTGCTGCTGTCGCTGTTCATGGAAAGCAGCTTGTCCAGCATCGATTGCCCGCTGACATTTTGGCTGCAGTTCCTCACAGTGCGAACAGTGTCCTCGGTGTTTTCGTCGTCGTTATCATTATCCAAGTCGACAAGGACACCTACCGCTGGATCGGTTGACGCTGCCTCCTCCGCCGGAGTCTCTGGAATCGTGGTTACGAGTGCAGATGACTCACCATCGACGACATCTTTTGCTGGACTGATGGACGATATGGCGGACTGGGTGGTGGATGCTGGGGGCTCCGTCTCCACAGGCGACACACACTCATCCACCTCTATGGCACGGGTACGCTTTAAGGCTCCCATTCGTCGCTCCAGCTCTGTGGACTGAAGGATTAGGGCCTGTACCAGGTACATGACGCCCTCATTCCTTATGTTGTTGTTGCTAATGTCGATTAGCTCCAAGCTGTGGTTGTACCGCAACATATCGGCTATATGCTGGGCATCCACACAGTCCAAGTCATTGTAGCCTACCCATAGCTCCTTGAGCATTTTGTTTTGGTAGAGACCTCGGCCTGCAAATGACACTAAAATAGAATACATTCAATTTCGGAAACGATCAAAAAGTGATTTCATCTTCAAGTTGATGTCCATTTGCACTCATAAATCCAGAATGACAATCAGGAAAAGTTCTTTAGATGATCTTATCACTAAATCATTATCACTAATCAAAACAACTAAACCTGGTCGGATTACTTACAGAGATGGATGAGTGGCTGTCCTCTGAGGCCGCAGTGCTCAAGCTTAAGTGTGTGCAAATTGGAGGAGCCCAGTGCGCGACCAAGGCTGTCGGCACCCAACTTTGTGATCTGATTGCTCTCGGCGTTAAGCAGCTGCAGTTCTTGGCTGCGTTCCACCATATATGCACACAGTTCCCAGCAGCGCTTCGTCATCTGCTCCTTGTTGTAGGAAATGTCCAGCTCGTAAGGCCGCTTCATAGTATTCGATCATCTGAAAGAGGGCCATCAAACAGGTTTCGTCCAGCGTGCAGTCGGACAGATCTATGCATTTGTATTGTATCTGCAAATGGATTTCGGTATATTATTAATCGGAGTTTGCCAAATGAAGTTCGAACTCACGGCTTACCCTTTTGAAAATCTCTTCCAGGGCTTCGCAATCGTTGGGGCTGAGTTTTTTCGCTTTAAGTGAGAGTAAGGGCTGCCGCACCTGGTTCAGATCCAGACCCTTTAGATGGTCCATTACACTTTCTAACGGTGTTGTGTGATGCTTTACACATGACTGCACATACTGATCAACGACCTCGGAAATGCTCCTCACAAGGCAAACTGAAATGGATCAAAGGAATTGTGTGAGGTTAGTAACAAAATCATAAATCTGCAATTTATACGACTGTAAAGCTTATGGCGAGACAAGCTACACTCTTAGCACTTCTTAAGTCTAGATCTTAAAAATTATAACTCTTAATATATGTCAGTTTTCCGTATTAGAATTCCTATGATTCTTCAGTTCTAATTACTAAGCGCCGCCATTTCAAAAGGCAACAAATGTGCCTGGCGAATACATTTTATATGGTCAAATATGACAAATAACTAGAACTTATGGCGCGTGCGGGTGCTTGGCTCCTCCTCCAGCGCCGCACCAACCACTTCCAGCTTCCTCATCATGATCATCAACAATTGCCGGCGTCGGCATCAAACACATGAAGCGACATAGACAAATTGTCCACAAAAAAAAAAAAAAAAGAAGAACAAAATTAAATGAAATTGCGGCGGCAATTTCCAAACGATTTGCTGTTTTCCAGTGGGGTTGGTTGACATGAAATCGTGAACTTGTAATTTGCAACTCATTTGCGTTGGACACATCTTGTGTGCTGTCTATCATTGGGGAACCAAATTTAGAAACCGCAGCGTCTACCATTTGACAACAGCTCCCAGCTAACAACGAGAACTCTTATAAAGAGCGCTTTTGATGTGCTCGCATAGTATAATATAAATATATGGATCGATGATGAATACTGCACGCCAGGGACTTAATTAATAAAATTAGTGCCAATTCATATTGTATGTTTTCATGGGAATTGTGGGTTACTAAGGTGTATTTTGAACGCATTTAGCGACTACTGCAAATTTAAACTAAAGGATGAATTCTCTGCCAAATGCCAAGTGCACCTTTCTTAAAAATAGTTGGCAACACAACAACGCTCACCTCCACTCAGACAAGCATAAGTTCTAATGAAAAACGTAAACAATTTAATCTATCATTGCATTATCTCGGCACATCGGTGTTAGAGGCAATTAAACGATTCGATTTAGATCTGCCAGAAACTTGGATGCCAACACAGGAGCGGCAACAACAAAAAAAAAAAAAAAAAGGGAGAAGCGAAATTTTGTCAAGAAATCTTTTCGGCAATTCCGAAAGATTTTCAATCTTGGCAAACATTCAAAAGTGCTTCAGTTCTATTTCATCTATATAATAGACCCGAGTACCATCCTCCTCCGCTGCCTTGAAAACCAACATCTGTTAAGTGATTCATTAGCGTTGAGTAGAATAATTTAAAATCTGAATTATTACGAATTTTCTCACGACTAGGCAGACAATGTGACGACCAAGTATTTGACGTTCTCTTTGATTTTTGTACGGGAACTTTTAACTATAAATAAAAATGATTTAAACCAATCAAATTAGTATTTGACACTTGAGATTATGGGTCAACAACTGTTGGTGGGGCAAAGAGGATATACTAGCAGCCGCTACCAGCAGCTAAGTAAGCTAATATAAACACGGAAAATAGAAAATATCAAGGCATTTTGGGCGAGCATCAGTCAATCATAAACAATTTTCTGTGTAAATAAACACATGAATATCGAAAAATATTGATGGCTTCTATTCGTTTTTTGAATGCGAGTCGAAAGGGTGATAAAACAACAATTTTTTCACTTCGTTTTTGAGGCTCTTCTTAATTATATTAAAAGAGAAACACATTTGAATTTTGCTGTGTTTAGCTTCTTTAGTTTAATGTCTGCTTTTAAAATCATAAATAAAATCAAGCAAAAACAACTTTAAATGAATTAGGAAACTAGTGTTAATAATCCTTATATTATCTAATTTTAAAACGATAAATAGTTTAAAAACAAATAATTCAAACCTTTTTGTTTATTTTCATAACTTTTTATGGTTATTTTGCCTTTATCCGTACTAAAAGGTTTTTGGATCAATTGATGAATATTTTATAAATTGTTATGCAAACATTTATTTCCTAAAATTGTTTTCGATCTATTTTTAATCGTTACGTTGGGCAACGGCCGAATTATAAACAAAAACAAGCCAAGCCCACCTGAGAATTTTATGCAAAAATTTCCTAATAAAATCTCGTTTGTCATCATCAACTATTTGCCCGCATTTGTTTGTCTTTGAACTTAAACTTTTGTCAAAGATAGCGGCCATGCAGGTAAATAAAATTCATCGGCTTTTAAGAGTGACAAAGACCATCTATGATCGATATTCGAAAATGGGGACCCGCATAGGCTTACAGTTTGTTTGTCTATTCGCGACTATCGATCGCATTGATAAGTGACTAAGCCAACACAAACATTGTAGAATCGCGTGCCGACGTCTGCCTGCGTCTATTAAATGCCTTTTCAATTTTTTATTATTCTATTGATTTTTTGCCTTTGTCGCCGCTGCCGCTGCTGCTGCTGCTGCTGCTGACGTTGCCGATTCTCACAAAAGTCGCAGCAAAAGTCGAATGTACAAATAGAGAAAAGCTATAAGTAAGCGAAAAGCACTCATAAGAGAATTGGGAAAATTGTCCAATTAAATTGCTGTTAATTTAGTGCTAAACATTTACAATGTCGGAAACTTGTTCTCGCCGCTCTGTCATTAATTTTATGATTGCATTTTGGTTTATTCCGAGTTGGCAACACATGATAGAATAATTTAAGTCAGATATACTATAGGAAAGTGTAACCAAAGGTTTCTCACTTAACAAAATTTTACCTAAACAGTCTAAATAAACGAATGTTTTTATAAAAAAACCTTAGTTATGCCTGGGAAAAAAAATAGAATCAATAACTTCAATTAATCTTAATCATAACTCATAGTTTCTATCATTGTTATATTTTTTTTAATGTAGATTTTTGAGGGCAACCTTTCAGTAAGGGAATTGAGTTAGCGTCTTAGTGACTGGTATTCCATCGAACCTGTTTTTGAAAATGTCTCATTCTCTTATCTGATTATTGATATCAACCTTCTGGCGTTGACTTGAATTGACAAATTGACTGCCATGACCGCCGCTCGTTTGTCATTATCGCGCACCAATTCTCAGCCAAAAGCAGACGAAGGGTTTTTCGACAAAGATAAGCGTCTCAAAAGCTCCGATCAGATATACAACAAAAATAAATAAATGAAAACCGCCTAAAATCAGCCATAAACACGCACCGAAATTATAAATAAGTGTGAGAGGCGAGAGCCAGTTTCGTTTTAACTAAATGCAAACATTTACTTTATTTACAAAAAAGCTTACTCATATTTACTTGCCTTTGCCCCTCGTTTCTTAATTTTCTTTATACCCTTTTTAGCTTGCCTGTGCCTCGCTTTGTTTTCGAATTGCATAAATTAATTACACCGCAAATGTACACTAAACGAGCTCGTGACATTTTGCACAGCAATTGATATTCTAGTTATTATCTTTCATGTCATTGACTGCTCAATTGAGATTGCACGAAAGTGAGCGCAAGTTTAGTTCAAATCAAAATTCAAAAGCTAAATAAGATACTGATTTTAGTTAACATTAGCAAACTTCCCTTATATTTTCAGAGATTAACAAATAAATTCATTCTCGGCACCTTCGGATAATTGTAATTTTTTCAATAGGACTAAGGTTGAATATCGTGAATCTGTTCAGAAAGTTTTAAAAGCGCAACCCTTTGGGTTGGGTTCACTAGAATGAGTCCCAAATTAGCTTACAGACAGGACATAAAGACATGGCTAGCTTGACTAGCTTGACTTGTTAATTACAGTATACCCTTTAACTTTACAAATAACAGATGACTCACTAGCAGAAATAAGTTAATATTTAACTCTTATTTGAGTTAGTTAACATACATATGAATATGTGAATATACACTTATCGAATTTTTAATACGTACTACGGTCCAATTATGACTGAAAAACAAAAGTGTGGAAAAATGTACACCCAGGTGAAGGCTTGTATAAAGAGTACCTCAGTAGCATGTTTGATTTTGTTATTCGCTTGCAGATTAAAGATTACTACCAAGGATTAGCTTAAATCGATTTTATGTTTGCTTTTCCATCCAACAAGCTGCATGCAAAGACGACTTCCTGTTTGCAGCACAACTAAATGAGAGAAAGACCAACCATTTACCGAATGCTTGAATTTAGCCAACTGGCCTAGTTTTGATCTCAGAACGAGGTCATTTACTGGGATTGGACCTTCCACAGATAATCTAAGTAGTTGGAGAGCTCGGGAAGCGAATGGAATTCCTATTTGCACAAATGTACGATTGTGTAGCTAGAGTTTTTTTCCTCCCTGCCAAAATGTCTGTCCGACTGTCATAATATCTTCTCTTGGGGCTTCTCATTCAGTGCTTTTGTTTTAGTGACAACGATGACATCACACATGTAGTTCCTACACCCACAACGGCGAAAAAGAGCAGTAAATACATGTGCAAACACAAAGACACAAACAAAGGCAAGAAAGGAATCGAAGTAAACAAACAAATGTACAAGAAGGCAAATAAAAACACAAAATTTAAATATGTTATATATGTGTGCCTGGGTGACACCTACACAGAGGTAAATAATAATGGACACGAAAAGAAGAACAAAAACGGCGCAAATTCATAGACACTCTGACGAAACGTACGACGAGCACAAAGCAGAGACCGCGATTGGGGTCCAAGGCAAACTTAAAACGGAGCAGAAAAGAGCAGAGCAAAGCACAGCAAAAGCAATGCCGGCCAAAAGAAACGGCGGGCAAATAATAAAATAATAATAAAACATGTGGGGAGCACACAGCAAAATGGAAAGCAAAAGCAACGAAAAATGAACCGAACCGTATCTTATCAGCAATTTCTGTTATCGCTGACGTGAAAATAACAAATAACAAAATCAAAGGAAACTCAAAAGCAATAACACACATAACAATTTTCGGTGTGGTAAGCAATTTAACAGCCAGGGATTGAAAACAAATAACATACTCGGAAAACAAATTATATTTGCGATTTAAAAAGTTTAGATATTCCCACGAATCAGGATTATTAATATATATTTAAGTATCTATCTTGATATTATGTAGATGTAAAGAGCCTTAATTTCAATAGTAACTTTAAAATATGTTACCAAGCATTTGAGGTGAAGAAATGAATGAGTTTAATTTTTCAACACAATTTCAAAGATAAGATGAAAAAACTAATTTTCTAAGCTGAATTAAGAAAAGTAAGTTTATAAAAGCAACCTGTTGCATATGTATACATTTTTAGTCACTCGATTCTTTGTATCCCAATTATATATATTGCCTACTGTTTGAGAATTTTCTACTAAACTGATCTCTTCCTGAATTGCACTTTCTTTGTGCTTGGCAACAGCAACTAAATCATATTCAAGTAGCAATCGCAAATAGTACGCATTTATCGGATGCTGTTCACTTAGCCATTGGTAAACAAATATTTCTGCGCATCTCAGCGACTTGGCAGCCATTCTCTTTAATTTCACTTGAAATTACTTGACAGATCTCTCGGATCCTTTTCACACCCGCATTACAAAGCGACCAAACGTGTTGCCTTAATCAAATGAATTCACAGGAAGTGAAGTAATGGGAATGTATCTCGAATTTGGCTTCCGTGTTTTGCTGGTATTCATAGCCTATGATAAGATCGGCAGCACGGATTCAAAGTGGGGTTTCAGCATGACAAATTGTCAGCTGAAAGCTGTGCAAATAAATACTGAATAACCGGAAGAAAAAGCGAGAAAGTTCTCTCGTTCCAGTACCACCCAACCATCATTTAATTCAATTTGATACTATAAAATCATTCAATTTGAAAATTAAAGAACTTTTGTTTTTGTAGACTGAAGTTCAAAAAGTGATCTATAGGAGAAATATTAGCCATAGCTGTAAACACAGAAAGATGAAAAACTTTTCCAACGATTTTGACTACAGACATTATTACTTTAGGTTTATGTCAAAATAATACATATTCACCTAATATCAAAGTAAAAAAAATGAATGCGGTTTCTTTTTTCTCTACCACAAAAAGTACTTTTCAGAGCATCATTAAAAATAAATAAACATATCCTTTATTTTAATAAGGTATTCAGTAAGCTTACCTTGTTTCCAGGGATCGGCTGGCTCTAGGTAACCGGTGACCAGTTGGTTATCCGGAAACGAGACGCGTCGGACGATGGATGAGTTCAGTGAGCTGTCCGAGGATTTTCGCTGCAGCAGGCTGGGTGCAGTCGACAGGATGGTGTTTCGCATGGGCAATCCCATGGGTGCACTGCTTCCGGCTCCGCGTCCACTACTTCCTACACCAGAGCTCACAAAATCCGGGGACATCGTCGAGTTGGGATTGGAGGCCAGCGAATCGGTGCGCCATACCGCCGTCTGCTTGGCATCGTGGTATATCTTGATCTTCTGTCGCTGCTGCGTTCGCATCTGAGCATTGAATGCGGACGAAAGAGCAGCGCCCGCAGCGGCAGCAGAGACATCATCGACATAAGATGTTGCCAATTCCGCTCGCTCTGCCGCCACAGCTGTTGTCGACGGCGCTTGACCCTCAGCTGTTGCATTTATTTCCTCTACACCAGCTGATGTCGCTGGCGCTGCAGCAGATGTTGTTGCAAAGTGCGTTGCAGTTGTTGGCTCTGTTCCATTGCCTTCTGTTGTTGTTGATGTTGCTGCTGCTGCTGTTGTTTGTTGGTCTCCATTGTCGCGATTGTTGTGCAACATTGTTGCGAGGCGTTTTCAATTGATGCTGTCGTTTTCAAGTTTGTCGCTCTTTAAGTTTGCAAAATATCTCGAACTTGTTTTTTATTATTATGTTTCACATTTAAACCACTTTATATACAAATATTCACACGCTTCGATATTGTTTATTTTTCTTTTCGGTTTTTTTCTTATTTTATTTTTTTTTTTTTGTGCTTTAAGCATGCGCTTCTCGTTTACATTTTCGGGTGCTTTTATCAATTATTTATTTATTTCAACACTGAAAAAATAATATCAAAACCAGATTAATTGGAGCCAAAATAAATTCTAAGTGTTTTGTATGCCGCTCGCCCACAGTTTGAATGGCGATAAAGTAGTGTTCAAATATGTCAAACGCATCGAATAATCAGCAGGGGCCAGTTTACAAAACACAAAAAAATTTTCCGCTCAAAAATTTCCACCGCAACGAGCGCACACTGGAGCTGACAACGACACTTTTTGTATTTTCAAATGTTTAAGTTAATATTTTTCGGTTTTTTATTATTTTTTTAATAAATATTTAGTTTATTTTTAGTCCACAGTGCATTATGAACATATATAAATAACGTTGCAAACGCACAGTGAAACTAACTCAAATAATTTCATATTGATTGATTTAAAAAATTTGTTTATTATTAATTGGACTATTTTTTAGCTTTTATACACTTATTAATTTTCTTTTCATCTTTTAAATTTTTTGTGTTAAGCCCGTTTTGTTAGGTTATTTTTTTAAATCACTGAATATTCTGTTAACCGTTTTTCTAATTAGATCATTTCCTGCCTCACTGTGCAATGTTTGAAAACAAAAGGAAAACGAATATTAAAAAAAAAAAGAGACAAAGAGAGCAAACCACACTCACACTCAAACAATCTCTGGGCGAAGCAAGAGAGCAAAAGAGAATGGCATAAAAAACATTACCTAATTGTTATTGTTTTTGTTTGCTTTTGCATTGCCAGAGAATCGAGAGAGATAGAGAGCGAGAGGAAAAGCGAGAAAAGCCAGTCGCAGATTGTTTGTGATTGTTGTTTGTTATCGTTTTTCCCCTCTGCACTTTTCGCATTTTTGTTTACCTCACCAGGTTGCCTTTCTCTCACGCGTCTTTCTGTGTGTGCTAAGTGTTCGGGCCACACTGACATGGTTGTATGTGTGGGGGAATAACACGCGCCCTGTTGCATGCAAAAATCAAATTAAAAGGCAAATTGCAATTGGTAATTACACAGGCAGTCGAAAGGGACAAACAATTGCACGCTCTTGCTGCTCACTTTTCCTCGAAATTTGTTTTAGAATAAATACACAAATTACGTCACGCATGTCGGTGTGAGTTTAAGGGAGGACTACTAAGTTGTTTTTGTTGTTTCTAAGTTTCTTTCAATTTCCGTGTTGCACAGTTTTTATTTTATGTGTTCACATAATTAACTACGCTCAGCGCACATGTTGTTTTTGTTATAAAGATCTCTGGCTTTGGCGCATTTACATTCGCACGCACCGAAATCTGTTTTATGTTATACAACTTTGGGCGAAGGATTTTGTTTGTGCGACCAGTCAGCAAAAGCCGCGTTCTATCAGGCATTTAACCGAACCGTGATCCATTCAGCTTAAGATTCAGCTATCGACAAATAGGCATCCGCGACCCAACAACAAAACAACCGATTACAAAGACGTTGAAAATGCGAAAGATAGAAATAGAAACCCGAGTTGCGCATTTTCATGCTGGCCAATAGGCGGCGTTGCCAGACTGTCGCAAAGCGAATTGGTGATAAAGTACTGTTTATTTTATGCTTTGATTTCGACTACGTGAACTCAGAGTATGTATATTAAGTGCAAGTTAAGTATAAAGTTTTTTTTTTGGTAGAATATAAATATAAATCAAGCTTATCAGCAGCGAAAATCCTCAGCTAAACCGATTTTACGATTAACTTCTCATTGCCACACTCGAATTCTAACTAAAAATCCTGGATGTAGATCGAAAAACGAACTAATAAGGCTAATTTTAATTAAATTTATTTTATATTTTATACATTAACTTTAACTTTGACGACGTGTAAACCGCTCTTTGCTCTCGCAACAGTCTGGCAAACCTATCCACGTGTGCTCTTCTCGCGCACACCTCTCGGTCACTCTCCCTTAAATCGCACGAAACATACAACATCAAAACAATAAGTTTGTGTACACATGCTCGTGTATATAAACTTCAAGTTCTATATGATGCCTAGTTGTTTGTTTTAATTTCACATTTTAGACGATATTATCGCGAGAATCATACAAAACCTGCAGTAGCTCTCTTTATTTCTCTCTCTATGCCCACAATATGATGTCAGAGAAAACCTTTTTCAATACACCTCGTAAGGAAATATTCATTTTGAGTTGGAATCCAATATGCCACCTTTAACTCGGCATTTCACTTGACAGAGGTGCCGTTTTCAGGATTGTGAGTCGAATTTTGCGCGTTACAATTTTGGGTGAAGAACATACAGGAAAAAAAACAAACTTCAGTTTTCAAGGTCACTGGGCTGAAGTTTTTCATACACACACACGCACTACCCCTCAGCCGTTTAGCCACCAGCGACAGTGTTTTGTTTACTAAAAGTAACTTACTCCGCACTCAATTTTATTTACTATATTTTATAAATTTCATCCAAATGTAATTTTCCCGGCGATTAACGTATTTTTGGATATTTCGAGTAGGGATGGGGAGCCCAGCGAAGGGAAGAAGATAGCGATAGAGAGACCGTTTTCGCGGACGTTACTTTACGTCAACAATCAGTGCGCAAACAAACGAATTAAAACCTTTTAACAATAAGATGTTCAGGGCAGGTTTTAAAATTTATGAAACTTTTGTAGGCGAGGCAATATTCAAAACAGAAAATTAAAATTCTGCTGATAGATTGATTTTATTCGAGTTGGGGAATAGCAAACGGATCTTTGACGATATTTTTACCAATAAACGAACCGCGCGCAAAGAAGAAAAGAAAATGAATGCGAAGCGACAAGGCGATGATCGGTGTTTTTGCTTTATCCATAGTCTTACAATTACATCTTCTTCTTCAAAAAGTTTTTTTTCCAAACAAAAGCTGGTAACACTGACCATAAAAAAATATTATGTTTTCAAAGTTCGGTAACGTTGACCATCTTCCTCTTTAATTGGTTAGTGAAACATAATTAACGAAGAAATGCGGAAATTTAACTACAACACTCAAGTTTCGCTAAGCTTATCGGTCTTTTCCATTATACTATTTGTAATCGCGTTTTCAACGCCCTATTGGTTGGTTACAGACGGTCATTTAAATAATCCGCGATTTATACATCTGGGCCTGTGGGAAGTTTGTTTTAACAACTTCCAAGACATACATCGATTTTACGACAATCGTTTTACCGGATGCTTGTGGGTCTTTGAAGAGGAATATTATATTATACACGACTTCCTCTTGCCCGATTTCTACATACTGGTTCAACTTTTAGCCACGCTTTGCTTTGTTATGTGCATCATTGTCGTACCACTCACTGCAACACTTCTTCGCACTTTACGAGATGATGACCAAAACATTGGTCTGCTCCTGGCAATTGGATCATGCCATATTGTGGGCTCAGTTTTTGGATTTATTGCAGTTATAATATTTGGGGCCAAGGGAGATTCTCGCGATTGGATGCCTGGCTGGCAAAACAATGACATGGGTTGGTCTTTTGCTTTGGGCGTGGTTGGTGCTGTGCTGCTAATGCCGGCTGGTATACTTTACATGGTAGAGGCACGGCGAGAGAGATACAAGCGGCTTAATGAAATCGGTAATAGGGAGGTCAATGAACACGAAGATGACTATTTTCAGGACCAAGGACCTATCGCTTCGACACAATGCCCATCTAATTTTACATCTGAGCCGCCAAGTCGTCCACGCCGACCTCAGAAACCTGGAGCTTCGAATTTCCCAATACAAGGAGGAATTCAAACAGATATATAGCATAAAGAATCTAAAATATGCATTGCTGCTTTGTCCGTCCATTTACAAGATAATTAAATATTTTTGTTAGATACCGTAATAAAGGTGTCCAAATTTAAAAAAAAAAAAAAGTTCGGTAACATTGACCATCATTCAGCTTGCTCTGCCGCTCATTTGAGTTCTGTTAAAAGTTGAAAACATTGCTGTTAACAACCATTTTATCGACCAACGGCAAAAAAAAACCCGGTCTTTTAGGTCTTCAAATAATATAATGTTTCACAATTATATTTCATAAAATTCATCGCTCAGGCTTTAAGAAATTGTAAGCAAGGTGGTTCTGGTCTAGAAAAATGGAAAAGTTCGAATTAATCGACTCCATTGCACTCATTTACTAATCCAGTCAGAAGAGTTCTTTGCGTTCCTTCCTTTCATCCATCAGCATTTACTCAGCAAAGCAACAATTGGTTTATCAAACTTGCAATAACACTTCAAAACGGAGCAGCCTTGTTTACAGATAGTTTCTGTTAAAATATTTCTGAAATAAATTTCATTTTCATATTCATATTTTTTAATTTAAACTTGACAGAAGTTATGTTGAGAACACAAGTTTTTCGAACACAAGTTTGTCTTCCATTCAAATTTATCTTAACATTTCTGTTAATGATTATCTCTTGTAGTGATACCAACTAATCAAATTTATAAAATGCCATCTATTACTAAATATTTAATTTTGAATACGGTCGCACTGATTGAAATCCAATCAAAAGACCTATCGTATATCGATGCCACAAAAAGCCAACTCAGCTGAAAGAGCCCATTTTTATACACAAAAAATAAGTTGCTGCAGCGAAATAAGTTAATTTCCCCTGTCCACTGAGCCCCAAGACAATGCAAAATGCGGCTGGCCAACGAGAAAGCGAAAATGCACCCCCAGCTGAGTGACTTGGCCGTGTTTGTGGGCATGGCGATCTGCTGTCTTCCAACTTTGACGTGGGCCGCGACTCTCTCCGACAAGCGACTGTGCGCCGATCCAAAATGTGAACGTAAGTTGTAATCTACTGTCGGGCAAGGCAGCCTTGGACCTCTAATAGTTCCATGTCTTTCAACATAATTGCATAATTAACGCCGAATTTGACTATATTTATGTGCTTGCAGAAATCATCTCGACGGGCATTGCCAAAATCAGCTATGCCTCCGGAGGCGAAGGTCTGTTATCCTTTAAGATTAATTCCCCTATTCGCGTTCTATCCAAGAGTGCCGGCAGTAACAAACAGTTATGGGGTGTCGATATCAACGGGCGTCGAGGATATGCCAACAAGGACTTCATTATGGAGAAGAAGATCATTGTGAAGGACAAGGACCTTGCGTTCGAAGTGCCCGTGCTGGGACCTGGCAGTCCAGTTCAAACCGTGGAAACTCCACTGCAGCCCATTCTCAACGCTTCTGAGTCAACCGATGACTTGGCAACGACCACAACATCGCCACTTGAAGTTAATGTGCATTCAATAGTGGTGGAGCAGGACAAGCTAAAGGATCAGGAAGTTCCTGATCCGACAGCGTCTACCAAAGCCCAGATGCAGCTGGTGGAAGGCACTCAGTTGCCCTTGGAGGCTATTCCAGCCGTTACCGAAAATTCCATTGTTTCAGAGAAGACAGAAGAGCCCCTGGAAGAACTGAAACCTGAATTCGCCTCGACAGTTGTTGACACGAATGAGCCGATGGCGTCAATTTCTGAGTCCAGTAAACTGAACGAAAGTGTTACTGAACAGCTATCTTCCACCGATGGTGAGAAGCCAACTATACTGCCGCAGGCCATTAACACTGAACTCGAAGACTCTGAGGATTTCGATTATGGGGATGATGAGGCAGACGAAGACGAGCACGACGACGATGACGACTCCAACGAACCTAGTAAAGATAACGAACCGATCACAGAGAAAGCGAACGATAAGAAATCAATTAACGAATCGATTGAATTAAAACCGCCTTTTGTTGAACAAACTAATACAACTGATAAATTGGAGACCGCAAAGGAAGAGTCCATAACAAATCCGGTAGAAAATGACGTACCAAAGCAGGAAGACGATAAACCCTTAGTTCCAGCCACTCTTGACAGCCCTGTAGTCACTAAACCTCTTTTTGAGTCGGAAACAGATAAACAGACGGAAGTTAAGGAAGCTCCCAAGGAGGAGTTGGATGCTGTTGTGAAAACAAAACCTATAGATCCTTTGCCAGTCGAGAATGTTACTGAAAAGTTGGCTGAATTACCGCAAGTGGCTGTTAAAGATGAAATTGAAGAAGAAGTTGCGACCCCTTCTGCCGTAGCTGCGACTAAAGAAGATAACACTGCTGACCCTGTTATTGCTCAATCGGAAAAGCAAACACAATCACAAACTGAGTCATTGACCAGCTCAACTGCTCCTGCCGTTGAAGAGATTCCACTGAAAGCGGAACCTATTGGCCTACCGCCACTCTTTGAAAAGAAAAACTTTGAGAATCCCAATGATTACTATAAGCAATTACAGGAGCAGCAGCAAAAGCAGAGAATAATTGAAGAGGCGGAGCAGAAGAAAAGGTTGCAAGAAGAAGCGGAGCAGGAGAATAGGTTACAAGAGGAGGCAGACAAGGAAATAAAGTTACATGAGGAAGCGGAGCAACTGAAGCGATTAGCTGAGGAGGCAGAGCAGAATCTACGGGTTCAGGAAGCAGATCTACAGCAGTTTAATGATTCTTTGGATACACATTCTAATGAAGTACTTGGTAACACTAATGACTATTACAAAGAGCAGCAGCCAGAGCAGAATGAACATCACCAGCACTATCATCACTCCACAGAACGAGCTTATCAGTACCCATCAAGTGTAGAGCAAACTACTCCAACCCCTGACGCTGAATCTCCTTACGGCGCAGTTCACGATGAGACCACACAAGCATCCTCAGCCGAAGTTGACCGTGCGGGAGTCGGTTCTGTAGAACCTGTAGCTCTTCCCGCGACAGCTAGTCCCGTTTCGGATGTTCCTGTCAAGGAGGATGGCGTTGGTTTAGGTCTCTTTGCCACGATTGTCGACACCGTGAATAATTTTATCGGAAAGGAGCCACAGAGCGCACCGCCAGATAGCAGCGATGAACTTCAAAGAATTCTTTATCCGGGCAGGCCTGAGCTGGCACCTCTTCAAAAGAAAGCAGAAGGTAGGTCTTTTATTTAGACATAATAATAGTGTTTCAGTAAACCAATTAGAAAAGTAGATGAGCAAAGTCCATATATGGATAATTATAAGAGAGAACGATTAAAACAAAGATTTGAGATTAAAATTGATCTTTAAGGCAGTAATTATCTTGTAAATGCGTGAAATGGAGTTATAATCCTTTAAAATTCTTTATAATTCCAACAAACAAATTTTTAGACAGGAAATCTTTATCTCTTATCTTTATTATCCGGTGTATTACAGAAGTCTCGTTTAGTCCTAATTGACTTGTTGTAATTCACCGATAGCTCCAACTAAATTTCTGTTTCCAATTTTACAGGATCTGTTCCAGTAGATGTAGATGGATACTGTGCTCGTTTCCAAGCTCGAGATGAGCACTGTCATAGCACTATATCCTTAGATAATTTTGCGGAAGTAATGGCGGGCAAATTGGTGGATCACAGTCAACTTTTATTGTGCGTGGTCATTGCGGCCGCATCCTCTTTGTTTTTTGTGTTCGCCTACTACTGTTTCTGCAACAGCAGCCAGGAGGGTGCACTACTTTCCAAGCTGAACCACTTGGAGCGCAGTTTGTTGGCCTCTCATAAGGAGAACCTGATCATCAAGCACGACCTGATGACTACACGAACGAAATTGGCCAGCATTGAGGACAACTCCTTCGGCTCAAATGATATGGTTGCTGACCTAAAGAAGCAGCTGGAATCGGAGCTTTACGAGAAGGCCAAGCTGCAGGAGCAAGTTAGCTCACTGGAAAGGGTAGGCTTACAAGTTCGTTTGCTTAGAGCTGTATCTAACACATATTTTTCGTTAAAAGGATTTGGACAATGCGGCTGAGGCTGGCCTGGAACTGAATAAAATGCTGTCAGAGGTGCTGAGCAGCCAGAATGGAGATGAGGCCTTCATGAGCACCGTGGACGAGCTGCAGCGTCAGCTAAACGAACAAGAAAGTAAGTATATAAACATTAAATAAATGTAAAAAGAGACTAACGTTAGGGAAGTATACTTATTGATATATGTACAACTTGTTCACTTTTACAGAAATCATTTTCGAGATCAACTCGAGTCTGGCGGAGAAGAGTCGCGAGAACAGCGAACTGCAATATACTTTCACGGAGGCCACTGCGCGCCTTACCAGCGATTTGAAAGCTCTACAAGAAGACAACTACGAGTTGGAAATCGAGAAGTCTAAACTGCAAACATGTCTTGAGGAAAATAAGGCCAAAACGGAATTAGAGCTAGCCAAGGCATTGGAGTCACGCAACTACGAAATGCAGAGGCTTCAAAACCAAATTCTTGAGCTGACCACTAAATGGGAACGGGAGCACGGCGAATTGCAGACTAGTCTAGCAAAAATCGAGGCGCTTGAAGATTGCCTTAAGGCAGTCAAGAAGGACGCCAACCTAAATATACAAGAGCTGATCACCTCAGCCAAAACCCGTGGCGAACTAAACGCGGCTCATAAAAAGTTCGTCGACCTGCAGGCGAAGGTGGAGCAGGAAGTTGCACACAAGCAGCGTTTGGAGACCCAGTTGCAGCAGTCGAGTTCAGACGTGGAGCAGCTGAAGCAGGACTTCAACCAAGCAGAGCGCGACAAACTGGAAGCCCAGACACGACTAGAAGTCTTGTCTGGTTACTTCCGCGAGAAGGAGAACGAACTTAAAAAGTAGCTTATCCAAAGATTTCCTCTATAAGAAACTGCATTCATTCGTTATAACCATTTTAGAGAACTAAGTCTACAGGAGACCAAATGGCTCCAACACCAGGGGGAGAACGCAAGCACTGTGGAGACCCAGACGCTGATGAAAAACGAAATCCAAACTCTGAAGTACGTGAATCAAAAAACCAAAATAATTAAATAATACGTGCTAAAATTTGTGTAACTCTTGACATGGAAAAAATGTTTAAATCTATTTTATTTCAGATCTCAGAATGATGAGCTGCGTGCCGAGATCGAGGCCCAGATAGCCTCACACAAGGCCCAGATGGGCACGCTGGAGAACCGCGCTCATGAGTCGTGGCTGGCGGCCCGGCAGTCGGAGCGCCGATGCGAAGAGGCGCTTGCAGAGGCCGCCGGTCTGAGGCGCAAGCTAACCACCATGGGCAGCGGTGTAGGCGTAGCCGGAGATCCAGGGGTCATGGAAGCTATTGCCGCCAACGGAGCACCTGTGCTAGGGGCGGAACTGAAGACAGCCCCATCGCCTCTTCCCTTGCCGGGATCGCCACTGTTGAACATGCCAAATCCACTGCCATTCCTGGCGGCACCCTTCTCTCCGTTCATGGGTCTGCCGCCACCATTCCTGCCGCCGACTGGAGCGGGAGGTGCACGCCCTCCGCCCCTGGGACGCATGCGCTCTCCGCCGCCTTCCAGCCGCGGCGATAGGGATCGGTACTCGGACTACAGCGATTATGATGACTATGACGACGATGAAGAAGACGAGCGCGGCATGGACCGCCGTCGAAGGCATAGCGGCAGCTGGGGCCGACACCATCGCGACTCCTACAACCACTCGCCGCGCACATATCGCTCGCTTTCTCCGTCGGACAGCCGTTACAACTACAACGATACGGAGACGGACTTCAGCCCGCCCCCAAGTCCGCCGCCAGTTTCTTCAGGGCGCAGCGCGACATCGCGACCCTACAGCGAGGTGTAAGGAAAAGGGTGTACCCTTTGTAACCAAGTCCTACCAAGTATATTAGACTCAAAACTAGTTCAAATATATTTATTAATCAATGATTATCGATCGGTTGGGTCGGGGCCTCAAACCGATTCCACAAATAGGGATCTCAGGAGAATCTATTAACATCAACAACTGAAAAAAACACTCCTGACTGAATGGTGAATGATATCCAAGAAAATTCAAACAAATTAAACACAATGACAAAAACCAACCCAATGGCTGTTGTTTTTATTTAATATTTGATTTAAGCAGACGGTTCAGTTTATTAGTCAACAAAAAACTTTATTCGCTAGAGTTTAAAAAAATTAACGTACTTTCCAAGGCACAATTTCAGGGTTTACATGATCTAAAGAGAAAACCTTAAGAAGAATATTTACTTATACGAATAATAAACAAAAGTAATATTAAACTATTAGCTTCTTATTTAGGCAGATGACTTTAACTTTGCAGTTTATGTTTTTTGTCCTCTATTCAATCACTTTAATTTTGGTTATAAACATTCCAAGGGAATACAATTTAAAAGGTTTAACAATTAAATAACACAATGTTGGTCCCTAAAATGAATAATTTATAACGTCACGATTCTTGGTTTATCAGTTCAAGCTCTATACACTCGCCAGGTAATTGGGAATAAATGCTGTTCGTCGGATTAAAGGAAACATTAAGTTTCGGATGTCTAAAATTCTGGGAAATCTGCAGGTACGATGATTTTTAATAAAAATAGTTTAGAAATAAGTTCAATGTACTTACCAAATCTTCCTTGTCTGTTTTATAAAAATGCATGATCAATGCTTCCTTTCGCTGATCTAAAGCACGATTCATAGTTGATTTACTAAAGACGAAAAACTCGTCATATAGAATCTGGTTGGATATACTGAGAACCTGAAGTCGGGGACAGGCGAGGACTACGTCCCATAACCCGTCGGCATTGAGCCAAAGGCGAGATTTCTCCAAATGCAGTTGCTCCAAAAGAGGAAAGCAGTTGATTATTGGTCGGAAGTCAACGGCACAACAACCTTCATCGTCGACAATAGTTAGGCATCGAAGACTCTGAAACCTAGCCAACACCGTGGTGGACCACATCCAGATATTATCGCTAAAAGCGGCGGTCACCACGTTCCGGCCCCTTTGAAGACCAATTTCCGACAGTAGATCTTCCAAATGTTCGAAATTGTGCAGGCGAAGCTTTCTTAGCTTGGGCAGACGCAACAGTTTGCTTGTGTTTTCAGTGCTTAGGTGAACTATGTCTAACTCCAGCTCCTCCAGTTCCTGAAGCCCGCTGATGGCCTGAACGTAGGCATCCTCCTCAGCTCGATGCCATTGGACGCTCAGTGTTTGAAGTCGAAGGTTCTTGCAAATTTCCTCGAAGCACTGGGTGCTGAAGTACCAACATAGTTGAAGGTCAAGTCGGCGAAGGTTCCTCAAACGACTGATATGTTCGCCACTGGAGTTTCCACTGAGCCCAATGGCTTCCAGGTGCGGAAAACAATTCCACAAGAATGGCGATATCGGAGTCCCCGTCTATCTCATTGTTTTCAGGTCTCCCATGTAGGTCAACTCCCTCAAATTGGGAAACGTGTGGTTCTTCCATTGCTCGAGTTGCTCCATGCTCAGGTATCGGAGTGTGAGTTCCGTCACAGTGAAGCAGACGCACTGCAGGAATTCGTCGAGGACATCTGGAAATCCCTCAAATGTTTCCTGGCTCACGGAGTGCTCAGCCTGGTGCTGCCATGTGTACGAAATCACCGATCTCAGGCGTGATGAGGGCTCCGCACTCTTCCATAGTTGCAACTGCTCCTCCAGTTTCAGGTACTCTACAATTTTACTATCCAACTGTTATGATAAGGTGAGTTGTCGTTTGTAATTCCACTTACAGCATGCAGTCATCATTCAGGTTCTCAATGCTGGCCATTTTGATAGGATAAGGTTAACCGGCACACAAGAACGCCCTGGAACCCGCTGAGTAGTATAAAAAGTAAAATTGTTGCTTCCTATGACGAAAACATTACTACCAAAAAAGCTTTTGACGGGAAAAGCTTTTTATTGTTGTCGACCATCAGTTTCAAAGTTTACCACAATTGGGGGTATTCATATCCCACTTAATTTTTATTTGGTAATACCAAAAAATGAGAATAGTTAATACTTGTATTATAACAATTGTTGAAATATATAATTACATACCCAAAATTGTGAAAAATACAATAGTAAAGAATAGATTCTTGTTTTATTCAATACATAATAATAGTAAAAATGTATTAACGAAACTAATAAGAATATTAACAATAAGGATCTATAGTAAAAAATGTTAAAAATCGTTTCCTGAAATTCTAACGAATTGTGGTAATTATATTATCAGCTTCCCCTGATTTATAGACTCAAAAGTAGTCACCAGCGATTTTGTTAATCTGCAACTTAATATTTTTTAATATTGAGACTACCTTACTTGGTTTATCAGATAAGATTAATGCGAATAGTTCTTCAAGTTGCATTTATAATCTATGTTGTTGACATCATAAATTCGTGGTTAATTTCAGTCAATTTCCAATTTTCGGAACGAACCCACAGCCCCAAAAGACGAGCGATGATTCTTCCGTACATTGTCCTTGAATGCCCGCAACTTGTTATCAGCGCCAAAACTCTGGGATTCCAGAAAATATGATTCATAACTGGATAGTTTCGCCTCCATGGCTTGACTTATATCCTGAATGCTGCCCCCAGTTCCGCCGTATTCCGAGGGCAAGTACTCGCGACGCACTAAATTGAATATAGCGGTAGGATCGGAGCTCACCGAGATCTACGTATAATAAATAATTTTCTAAACCTTAGTTAAGAGATAAAGATGTTTAGTTTTCGTACTGACCCTACTCTTGATTTTGGCCGGGAAAAAGGACCGCAACGATTTGAACCCAGTTTCGAAGGCCGCAGGGACATTGATAAAGTGAATGCCCTTCTGACGTGTCGGCATCGCCTCATCTGCGTAAGTGGAAAACTTACTCAGCAACTGTGGCTGGAGGGAAAAGAGGTGGGACCCCGTGACGCCAGTCATGTCCATGACCTCCACATAACCACTGACCGTGGCATTATCATCCTCAAACATCATGATCTCACCGAACATGGAACCGACGCGGATAATGTCCTGAAACTTATACTTGCTCGTGTCGTAGGACCCAGCTCGAATAATAGTCACACATGGTCCTGAATCTTCCACATCCATGGGAATTTGGAGAATAACCCTGTTAAGAAAGTGAAGTATGAACTTAAGATACACGCATAATCCATTTTATAACTTATTATCTCAATTCTTCAATCTTTTTTCTTGGCAGAGGCTAAGGAAAGATTTTATTTCGCCCTAACTTCACTGTTAATTAATAAATAGAAGATGTACTTTCACTTTCTTTATACACCTGGTATAATAATAATATATACATACATAGAACCTAATCTGTTGATGCCAAATTACCCGCTTCCTTATATAGTTATAGGTCATATTATGTATCTTTTTCCAAAACACCATGTCACTTCTTACCCCATTCTGATGATATCTAGGACCTGGGGATCGGTGGTAAGACGCCGATCATTGAAAATCTCGGGAATAGAAGCCTGCAATGTGTAGAAGCGATCAAACTTTTCCTTGGCCCGTTCTAGGCTAAACTTGGTTCCGCGCAGAAATGCGAGAAGGAACTGGTCGTCGGTGCAGGCACGTAAATGTGGTTGCTTCAAGACCCATTCCCTTAGAGCATCGATATCCTGCGATAAACGCTGGGGCACCTCATTCAATTCCTTGATGCAAATTTCTTGAAGGGTAGGCCTAAGAGGTCGCACCGAATTCATTTTTGCTAACCCCAATGTGTATTGCTCTGGAAATTAAAGCTCTTAAATGGTAAAAATCGTTAATTTACTATGCTGCTCTTATCACATAGATATTATATATATAGTGCTTACTTCCCAGCTGCGGTTTTAGCTGTTTCACGTAACTCTGCAGATTGAAAATCGGCTTGCGTGCATATGTTTACCGTTTGAAAATACCTCCTCGACTGCCAAATTGATATACGAGAAACATGTGGAATCAACGTACTTTTGCCTGATCATAAGCCGAATTAACAATACACGAAGACATTTGTCGGCAGGGTGGTTGTTGGTGGTTTTCAGTGGTGCCGTGGGTGGTGCGAGGTGGTGGGTAGTACCAGGCTGCCGCTTGCAGTATTCCAGTCGGTTCATTTCGTTATGGGTCGCTTTGCGATTGATTGTCTTAATTGGCTTTGGATTTATTTTTTGAGTGCATGCGGCTGCGGTTTTTGCTGGCCCAGATATGAGCTGTTAAATCCCATTGATAAAGAAGGTTAATCGAGTGCAATTACTTAACGGAATTGATAACGTTCCCCGCTCACTGGTGGCGAACTGGCAAACTTGAATGTTAACACGGAAATGATGTACAGAAAAGTAATTATGTTTACATTTGTGAATATGAAGAAAATTTTGAAAATTGGTTTATTGGTTTATTTTTATTTTTGTCCTAATAAGGATATTTCATAAAAAAATTATATAGAGCTTTAATGAAAAATTCTATCCTGTAACTTAGAATCTTTTAAAGTTATTTAATTTTATTTACTATTAACTATTTTTTCTGTGTGCTTTCAATTCTCAACTTGTGATAACACATGTGCAATAGCACACACCAAGCTTGTTCTAACGGTTCTAACTTCAAATGCCTAAACTGATAATTGTAAATTAAGTTTACTGAAATTAACTTGCACTAATAAGATATCTTAAATACGTATGTATACCCAAAAAATAAAAATAAAACACAGACCAAAGTTGTAACAAAGTTCCATAATTATATTAGCCAACCTTTTCCTTTCAACATGCGCTAGTAGAGCCAGAATTTTGCCAAACTTGATTTTTGAGGTGTATTTCATTTTTTTCAAATATGTCCTCTCAAGAGTATGTATTTAAAATTCTACCGCCTAAGGGTAATATTTTGCTTCTTGGTATGTTTTAGGCCGTGTTTTGGTGTTCTCAAACGGGCACACTGCTTACACCTCAACCGACGTTCAGGTGATTTTCAAGGGAAACATCTGATAATAAAATCCAAATTTTCCCGATGACAAGCATCGAGGAAAACCCGTTTGCCGCTCTACTCCAGGAGGGCACAAATTCCGATGGCGTGACCCACAAACTGGTCGAAGAGGTGCTCTTGTTCACGCTGAACAAGTCGTCTTCCTTCGCAGGCTTGTGCCTGGCGGACGTGGTGGTAGACACCAACGAGCAGAAGCTCAGCGAGGACCTAGTGGCCCACGCCCTTTTTGAACGCCTGATGCTTGGTGAGACCGCGCAGTATGCAGTGGGAAATGCCAGTCCAGAGGCCTTGGAGCCAAAAGCAATGTGCTATCTGCACAAAGCTTTCACCCGATGCGAGCGCATCCAGAACGAGCGAAAAACCGACTGCTCCAAGATCCTGGCCCTGATCTTAAACAATGCAAGCACATGCATGCGGCAGCCGGACCTCTTTGCCCCGCAATCCTTCGCTGCTCAATGGCTGGAGATGTTTGAGCAGGCTGACGAGCACGACACCAGCACCCAAGAGTTTCTGGTACGGGTCGCCTGCAAGGTGGTGGAAGAGGACGAACCGATCGAGGCCCTGGGTGCTCTTAAGGCTATCTTCTACCCGTTGCTCACCGAGCTTCAAAAGCTCATAGCCAAGGAGAACCTGATTACGGTCAAAAAGAACGTATTCTGGATCCTGGGATTCTTCGTACGCGACAAGCGAGCGGCCGTTTTGGGAGAGCTGCTAATTGACTACACCACCCCTAATCCCAAAGCAAAGGGTAAGACTTTGAACCTTCAAAATAACCGCACCAAAAAAGAAACCTTTAGATTTAATGTTCTAGGTTTAAATGTTAACTTATTTTTTTTTTACCAAAAATAATTCTTGGTATTCTTCAGGTGGCGAGTATATGGACACTTTGTTAGGCAGTCTTTTGTGCATCTCAATCTTGCCCAAAACCCAAACGGCTAAGTACGAGTTTTTCCAAGAGTTATCACTGAATCAAACAGACGCTGCTCTGTGGGCACTCTTGTCCCATCATCAGCAGTCGATATTTCTGCTCGTCAAACAGCTGCTAGTGCTATCACCCGAGACCAAGAAGAAAACTCTTCAATGGCTAGCTAATTGCCTGGATGCAAATGTATCCCGTGGTCATCTGTGGAGCAGCATCAATCTGAACCTGGAACAAACGGTCCACAGCACGGCCAGCGACGCCTTCATGACCAGCCTTAGTGCAGTCCTTACACGTCTTTGTGCTCCACTATGTGTACCCTCATTAAAGGTAAATATTTTACTTAAATTTTTGAGACAGGTGAACAGATGATGTCTAATAAATCATTTTAATGTATATGCTACAGGTTCTTCTGGTGGACCCCACTTATTGTGCAGTGACGGACAAGGATCGTCAGACGAAGGGCGTGAGCCTGATTAAAGCTCACGAGGAGACATGCTTGCTTCCTAGCGAAGAGGGCGAAGAGCGTCTGACGGCTGAAAAGTATAATTTCGTGACAGAGATCTTCTACATGGCCCACAAATGTTTTGAATTGGCCAATCGTCCCTGTATTGAACGGCTTACCCGCTTAATGAGGGAACTGCAGAACACACAGACGGCCTACGGGGAGGTTCTAAACAGCGATCCAAACAATGAGCTGACCAAAAACCTGTTTCGTATGATACTGGAGCAGATGCAGCAAGTGCTATGCATTAAAAACACCCTGTCCGAGCCCACCAATGAAACGGCCTTGTTAAAACTTTTCGAGGCTTCGGCAATCTGGCTGACCGAGGTGGCAATGCTGCCTCGTGAGACTTATGAGCAGTGTTTGGACAAGCGAGATTTTTCCCCACAAGTGTTTCGTAACCTCGAGCTGCTTTCCGATACGCCGCCATTTATAGCTCCGTATATGCAATCAGTTCCAGAAAGCATTATCGACAACATTTCGGCTTATTTGAATTTCTGCCGGAGACTGACCGGCGATCAATACATTCATATTTACTATTCTGCCCATGATGCTTTCTTCAAGATGATACTGTTATTCATGGGAAGCTCGGGATTAGTAAAGAACCCTCACCTCCGTGCTAAACTGGCTGAGGCCCTAGAATTTCTCCTACCCACACAAATTGTTGGAAGCACTCGGCAGACTTTCGTCACCCATGTTTTTGACAACCATCCTGATCGAATGAAGGTGGTCCGCAGTCTACTAAACGTATTTGTGAGCATCGAGATGACCGGCCAGTCAGTACAGTTTGAACAGAAATTTAACTATCGTCGGCCTATGTATGCTATAATGGAGTTTCTATGGACAAAGCCGGAGCATGTGCAGTGCTTCCGGGACCTGGCTATCGAAGCGGAAGAAAACATGGAAGCCATTGAGCCGCCCATCTTTCTTCGTTTTATCAATTTGCTTATTAATGACGCCATCTTCTTGCTGGACGAATCGTTGTCCAATCTGGAGCAGATCAAGCAACTTCAGCAGGCCCAGGATAACGGTGAGTGGAATGGTTTGTCACAGAATGAGCGCCAACAGCAGGTGACGAATCTTCAACACCTGGGTATGCTAGCGCGCTTCGACAACATTCTCGGAAGGGACACTATAAACATCCTGAAGCTGCTGACCACGGAAATCAGGAGCATTTTTTGCCATAACAGTATGGTGGATCGCATCGCAGCCATGCTGAATTACTTCCTGTTGCATTTAGTTGGGCCCAGAAAGGAACGGTTTAAGGTTAAGGATAAGAAAGAGTTTGACTTCGATCCGGCCCAGACGGTGATGGAGATCTCTCACATCTACATTAACTTAAGCGCTGATGACAGCTTCTGTTTGGCAGTCTCGCAGGATGGGCGGTCCTACAGTGAACAGCTATTCGGTTACGCCGAGAACATTCTTATCCGGATCGGAGGAGGTCAACTGATCGGTGACATGTCTGAGTTCGCTGTAAAAGTGGCACGAATGGGAGCCCAATATAAGGAGGAGCAGGAACTGCTGGCCGATGCGCCAGAAGAGTACCTGGATCCTATTATCTCCACTCTGATGACAGATCCTGTCGTGCTTCCCAGCTCTAAGGTTACTGTGGATCGCTCTACAATCGCTCGACATCTTCTAAGCGATCAAACGGATCCCTTCAATCGCGAGCCGCTCACCATGGATAAGGTCAAGTCAAATGAGGCTCTGAAATTGGAGATTGATCAGTGGATTGCGGGCAAGCGAGAGGCGGCACGTTCCAAGAGTTGAGGGAACATTGGAGTCGCAGCTGCAGGTGCAGCTGCCCAACCAAAGAGTTAAGTTCACGGGATAATGGATAAGCCAATAGTAAATTTTTTTCTCATAAGAATTCCAGTTATACATAGTGTTGTGTGAATGTTTAATCCCCTTGTACAGTTAGTGGTTTTTGAAATTAATTTCTAATATTTTTCCTTCATTGGTCGAATAAATGTTTCTATATTCTCGAATATTGTTGTCAAGCAATTTATTGGAATCATTATGTCGCAATATTATTTTCAGTTTCGCTAAGTTACTATAGTTTTGCTTTTTGCAAATTCAATCCATACACAAAAGCTTTCTCAAATAAAAATTCCGTAACTGGCTTTTGGTTAAAATATTCATTGAATAATTAATGAATCTCTTAAAAGTCTGTGGTTACGAGAAAAGAGAAAAATATAAAAGCATGAATCTGTAAAATTGGGAATTTATTTGATCGAATCGGAGGACAAAGTAAGAAAGGATGTTACCCCGTTTTTATATTATTAAACTCAACTGATAATTCTATTAATAAACTCGTTTCCCAGCCTTATTTACTGCCCTCCATTTCTCGATCTTCTGCATCGAGGAAGCGATGAAAGTAGCGACGACCCATTAAATACATTAACGCTTCGCTGTAGCTGATGGGCAGGATCTCTGGAACCTTTGTGTTGCACGAATAAGTTAGCTGCAGCGTATAGCATTTCGACTCCTCAAAGCATTTTGCACATACAGCGTCCACCACAGTCAAAAGCTGAATATAATTTTCGTGGGTGTAAACCACGTAAGCTGTCAGCTTAATGTAGCTGTCCACGGGAACAGCCTTAATAAACGTAAGATCGCATATGTACCGGATGACAGGATAGTTGTTAGAGTAGAGGCATGCAGTCATATAGCTTATCTCGATGGCATTGCGCATGATGAAGCCCCCGAAAATGGTGTTCGATTCGTTACGGTGCTCCGGAAACGGATGCAGGAAGGTTGAGCGGTGCCATTTGCTCATCCAACGGCAATCCGGCGGCAGAGTGGTCATGTCAGTGGGTGTAGCACCCTCGATGCCTTTGGTCCGGGTGAACACATCGTACATGATCTGCTCCTCCTCCTTCGTGGGCTGTCGCTTAAACGCCAAACTGGAAGGCATACTCGCCCTTCGCTTTCTCCGCTCCAGAGCTTCCTGGTAGAAGCAGTCTTCCACCTCATTGGCCGGCTTCAGAGGATTTATTGGTGCCGGGCTAGAGTTGGTAGCATTGCGAGAGGCTATTATAAAAATTGCCTTTGCCAGCAACATTCCATTTTGACGCACATATGCTATGACCTCCATGACGCAATCACCCGTCCATGAAACGAAACCAGACAGGGACACATCTGCATCCGTCCTGAACTTCTTTACGAGGAAATGGGCTTGGTCCACCGAAACGGTGACGAAAGTATACGGCAGTGGAACACCTTTTGGAAGATTTGGGAGGAGGAGATGACGATGACAAATCCACACTGCAAAAAGATACTTTTAATGTAAGCAAAGCTCTTTTAGACAGTTCACCTAACCAGCCATAAGGTCCAGTTCCTCCATCATCCTGCCCATGCGCAAAAGACAGTTTCCATAGACAAAGCGTTCTCGCATCAGAGCATCGGATTCAAAGTGAATGTGGGCGCATGTTTGAGAGTCCACCATGGTGCGTTCCGGTAACTCGTTTGGCTTCGGCTGGAACTTGAGCAGCCCCTCCCTGCTCTTAGGGATGATGTGATAGCCCCCCTTCAGCCCGATGTGCTCTCGGATTTCCCGTGCCACTGTCCTTGGGATCGGGAATGGGGTTAATGGACCACAAAATTAAAGTTTCCTTAGGTTACCGTCGGCCATGGTGCCAGAGGAGTGTCCGGACTTCAGCTCCTCACTGTCACATTCCACGAACCGGTGACGAAGAGCTCCCAGTTGCGGACATAAGCGTAGCACCGCCATGGCTTTCCTTCCAAAATGGTGGCGCAAATGCATATTAAATTTTGAGTTTGTGTGCTAAACAAAAATTCTCCGTCCTAGTTCGCATTTTGTACAATAAAAATATGTCAATACTAAAATTAAAAAAAATTGAACAATAAATGGCATAGAAATAGGAAATAGGAAATGGCATAGAAATTTAATTCTTAAAATTCTTAAACACCTATACCCAAAATGCCCAAATCTCTGTCTAATAGGCTAATCGACTTTAATTATCAATCAATCAGTTTATGAAATTGTATTTAAGTTTATAGGAAACATCAATGAATGTCAAAACTATAAGTTTTATTTATTAAAACCAATTTACAAAATATAACCACTTCAATATATTTAAAATATTTAAAATATTTTTTTGCGTAACTCCTTTATATCAAGTCCGCTCCTGTCGGAAAGCAGTGTCGATATTTTTTTGCTCGTCGCGTGTGGTCACACTAAAGTGGCATACGGTTGTTTCCATATGAACTGACTGTTTTTTTTTAATACGGATTGCAGTGTAGAAAATGGTTGAGCTCTTTTAAAACAAATATATTTTATAAAACGGCTGTGCGATCAAAAGACAACTAAAAGCAGGTCAGCACGTTTACCTGACGCCGCCAGAGCGTGGTCGTCCTGTCCCAAGCACCACCACCCCACTACCCCCGTGCTCCACTCCTGGGTGCGCGAATCAATTACAGCAACGTAACGCGAAAATCGATTTCGGCTGCGGGTGAAGGCAGAATCAACAGAAAGTATGTCCCACTGTGATGTGGACACAAAAGTAGAGATGATATCGCCAAGCCGGATAGAAGGCGTAGCCAATCGTCGCGGGGTGCACCCATCCTGGCCGAAGGAGCACAGGCCGAGCAGTATACTCCTCCTGACAGGAGTGGCACTGTGCTTCCTGACATCTGGTTGCAATGCCACAGACACGGACATCGCTCTTGACGCCAAGGCCACACTCAATCACCGCATCCAGAGCTTGGACCTGCTCGTCTTTGTTTTTCTGCTAGCTCTCACAGTCCTCACCATCTGGCTGTTCAAGCATCATCGTGTCTCCTGGCTCCACGAGACCGGACTGGCAGTCATCTATGGTAAGTTTGAGCGCTTGATTTTTTGAGGGTATCAAGCTCACATCGCATAGTCTTTTAATTTCTATTCAAATGCAATTTGTCGACCTTCTATCAAAGGTGCTTACGTATATATGCACATTTATCCTATAGCTGCACAGAGAGAAAAATTAATGCGGCATGATCAATGATGTTTTAAAATTATTTTTTGATTGAAGGGTGAAAACATTCAAGATCTAATGACTATATACTTCTATTTTGTAATGTCAACGATTTGAAATGTATTCTTAAGTGCGAAGCACCTCATTATCGGTCACCTGCATCCAGATTGTACCCCCTGCTGTTTTCACTGTCACCTCTTTATTGTCACATATTTGGAATTACGCTTTTGTGTACGCCAGCCGTGACATTACGTGCAAGCATTTGGGGGCAGTGAGAGCCACCCTGGGCAGCAGTAATGTCAATAGCTACAGAAGAACCTGCACGCAACGGCGATAGAACTCATTGCAGAAAACATATTGTAGACGAGACCTTGACGTGCTTAGTCACACATTATCTTTGGGGTTTTCCGACAAAATACATTTTCACTACACGCTCATGATCGCGCCAATCTGCCGAGTACTTTGTTATTCTAACATTTTCATATACTGTACAGTGGGACACTTAAATGTGTGTGGCAATAAAAGAGCAAACAAGATTTCTTTCGACTAATTGAAGCTAATGAAACAATTCAATAAAACGGGTTAGCCTGGTCATTGAATGGGGAATGATCACAAAGCATTCCGCAGCAGTGAAAGCTTTTTGTTGTGCGCAGCTCGATTGATAAGCACTCAATTTGTGTTTATTACAACAAAACGAAAATAAAACACTGATTCTGTTTGCAAAGAAAGCAAGATAAACCGCAGCCCAAGCACTTGTTGATAAGGCCTGACACAGCATATTTCTTATCGTCTTGGGTTTATTAGTCACACTCTCATTTTTGCGTTAGGTCAGTCCATAAATATACTTAGTATGGATTGTAACGTGCTTAAACTGATATTTAATAGGCGTAATCTAATTAATTTCACATTATTCCTGGGTGTTTAAGTGATCCTAAAGGAACTGAATTCATCTATTTTTATTAACTATATGTATTTTTAATTACATTTGTGGGTTCTTAATAGTTTAAAAAATAATTTATTGCAACAAACATATGTACTTTCAAGAATAGTTGCCTAGAAACTGAAACAGATATTTGTCTTTATATGTTTACTGTATTACAGGCTTGATTGTAGGAGCAATTATACGGTATGCCGGGACCTCCGCCACCCTTGTCCACATGCAGGTGGAGCCCGAAGGTGTTCCGACGTACAGCGATAAGTTGCCGCCCGATACGCTTTGGTTTAAGGTACATAAGTCATTAACGCGGCCAAAACAATGGCGAGGCTAATATAATTGTTGTCTTTCTTTTAGTACCCCGTTAACCAAACAAACGGAACAAAGCTGCCGGAGGGAATTAAGACATATGCCTATGTATTTCGAGGTCAGGTCCACGATGTGGATGAAAACGAAATCGATCTTAAAGCAACCTTTGATCCTGAGGTGTTTTTTAATATTATCCTACCGCCAATCATCTTTTACGCGGGATACAGCTTGAAAAAGGTTGGTTCTCTGTGCTAAATATTGTGTTGTTAGCCATTTTTTAAGTTTTACTATTGCAGAAATACTTCTTCCGCAATCTGGGTGCCATCCTTACCTTTGCTATTGTGGGCACAACTTTGTCGGCTTTCCTGATCGGCGGCTTCATGTACGGCTGTGTGAAACTGATGCCAAAGTACTTGAGCAGCAGTTTCACATTCCTGGACACTCTATACTTTGGAGCCCTGATATCGCCCACAGATCCGCTCACCATTCTAGCCATATTTAACGATCTGCGGGTCGACGTAAACCTATATGCGCTAGTCTTGGGCGAATCTGTGCTGAACGATGCCGTGGCTATAGTTCTGAGTGGGTAAGTTTTCAGCTCTTTTTCAATGGCATGTAATTAATGTGTATTGTTTTCTCTACAGAGCAATTCAAAACTATGGAGAACATTATTCCAATACAGGGGAATTCGAAACTACAGCTTTTTTGCGCTCTTTAAGCGATTTCTTTTCCATCTTTCTACTGTCCCTGATGATTGGAGCTGCAATGGGCTGCTTGACAGCATTGATATCCTTTCCAAAACTTGTCTATGTTTTTATATTTATTTTCTTCCCAAAGCTAGATTAATATTTTCCTTAACTCTATCCATACATGACCAAGTTTACTAGGGTTCGTGACTTCCCCCTACTGGAGTCGGCGCTATTTGTGCTGATGAGCTACAGCACCTTCCTGCTGGCTGAGGCTACTGAACTAACGGGAGTGGTGGCCGTGCTCTTCTGTGGCATCTGCCAAGCCCACTACACCTACAACAATCTGTCGGAGGACTCGCGGCAAAGAACAAAACAAATTTTTGAACTGCTTAATTTTCTGGCCGAAAACTTCATCTTTTCCTATATTGGCGTGTCCATGTTTACGTTTCCCAAGCATCACTTCGATGCTGGATTCATTATTACAGCTTTCGTAAGTTCATTTTAATATGCATATGTGCTCCCTGTTCAAGACATTAACACTTTATTTTTGCAGATCTGCGCTGCAATAGGACGGGCCGTAAATGTGTATCCCTTATCCTGGTTGCTGAATATTAAGCGAAAACCAAAAATCTCTTCTAACTTTCAGCACATGCTGTTCTTTGCTGGCAAGTCCCTAAATACAACTTTTTAAAGATTTGTTGTAATAAGCGAATATATATTATAGGGCTTCGCGGTGCCATGTCCTTTGCCTTGGCCATCCGAAACACAGTATCGGATGCCCGTCAGACTATGCTGACTGCCACATCGCTAATTGTTATCTTTACTGTTGTAATTCAGGGTGGGGCAGCAAATTTTCTGCTAAATTGGCTAAAAATACCGTGAGTACACGACAAACATTTAAAAGGTTCCGCTTCAATGTCACAAAATCTCTATATATTGCAGTGTTGGCGTTGACGATGAGACTGAACAATTAAATAATTACCAAGTGCACAGTGTGAGTACTGAAATAACCCGTACTTACGTGATTTTAGACTATATTTTACAATACCTCAAGATAATGTTCTTGAAGATTAGTGAGCTCTCGAGACAAACTACTTATTAAGTGGGTTTAATTATAGTATACAGAACTTGAAACCATCAAATACAATATTTTCTACATGATGGTTTCAATGGCATTGCTTAATATTAAAGTAATCTATTTCATTCTTTTAAATGGATAGATTTTAACTCATTATTTTGTTATTTATACATTTCTGCGCACTTCACAACATTAAACCATCTGCTAAAAAAGGTTTACAATTCAATGGACAATTCACACCCACAGACGGTAGGTTTTGGCAATGATCATTCAATACATGGACATGTTCTTCTTTTTAAAATAATTTTCTAGTTTTTCCTTGCCTTAGTCAGGTCCCTTATTATTAGCATATTTCATTTCTTACCTTCTTGCATTTTTTTTTTTTCATCCGCATCTACCGTAGAGCTAATATCATTTAATTGAACTTTGTGTCAGTCTGATGGGTATTTGCAGGATGTGGAGAACGGAGGAGGTGGTCGAGGCAAAATGAGATTGTCTGGCGGAACGGAGTCTAACTTGGACACGCCAGCGGATGGGCCGAATGGCAGCTTGGGCGGCACAAGCGGCGGTCGACGTCGTAACAGTCATGAGAAGGCCATTTTGGCTAGAATTTGGGGGAACTTTGATACCAAGTTAGTGCCATCAAGATATTAAAATTTCAATTTACTTAAGCTTAATATCTTAAGGTACATGAAGCCTTTGCTGACGCATTCGCGACCTACTCTTTTGGAGACGCTGCCGGTTTGCTGCAATCCCATTGCCAGGCTGCTTACTACCACGCAGCAGTTAACGCAGGTGAGTTGGGAAATTCAGTAAGAGTTAAAAAGGAATACTGATCATTTGAGATTCATTTTAGGATGGGAGCGAGTTTAGGCGCGTCGACTCGGACTCGGATATTTGCATAGACAACGATACCGGGAACGGCCTCAGTCAGGATGTAGGTCCCGGAACGGGTCCGGGTGCAGGTGTGGGGCGGCGAAACTCCCTGAGTCGCGTAAGTATCAAGTACACCGGCGATAATCACCATCTACTCGCTAGCTACAGAAATATTGAATAATCGATTGAACGAAGCACCCAACTACCAAAGACTAATCTAGGTGTAGCAAGCTGGCCTATTAACACATGAAACGAAAAACCTCAACTAAACCAAAAACCGAAATCTACACCATAGATACTTCGGCAAAGTAGACACATTGTTATTTAAATTGGCTAACTACTTAACAACCTTGGAAATGTGATCTTAATTTAACGTTATTTTGTTTTTGTATAATTTAAATTTTGATTTTATGGTATAAGAGGAAGGGAACCTATTGATTTGCACCTTCTTTCAATATTGTTGATTAGTTGTTTAAGTTTGTGCGACGGCAAGCGATTTCTAGTCTACGATTGTAACACTTATGTAATATTGATTTGACTGTTAACTACTATTTAATGCATGTTTACCAAATATACTTACTTATATAACCAAATTGTAACAACTCTCTTATCGATGATATTAATTTATTTATTCATTTCTGCGGCATCTTTCTTTCTTTCTATCTTTCCTTCGACCAATCAACCCATCATCTAACAAACTATTCATGTGGACTTTTAAACAATTTAACTTTGGTTGCTCTAACAACAACAACAATAACAACTCCAACAACTAATGAAAAACTGCATTCATCTAAAACAAACTAATTTAAAACTAAAATCATTCAATCCATTGGTAAATGCCCAATCAAAAGACTGTCCAATTAAATGAAGCCAATCACCTTGCAAATGAGCTCAGCCTGGTTACTAATAATTTCATGTAATCATTTCTATGGAGTATCAAGAGATTGAGCCAGTTTCTTGTATATTTTTGATTAATTTACTATTTATAATATTTTTGTTTGTTTTTGTCTACTTTTCCTTGGTGAAACCAAATGTTATAAAACGAAGCACAGACGGAAACCCAGACATGATAAACAAATCCAGAGTCAGTTAGTCCAGTCAGTGAATGTGAATTTATTAACCGATTAACTGATTAACTAAAGCTTCTTAAGGCACAGCAGTTAAAAATGTTCGTTTGTATTGTTCACTTTTAATTTCTGTATTTTTCCTCATAATCTAATTTCTTAGATTCTAACACGCGACTAACCATGTAAGTACAAATTAAATTGCAGTTGATTTCCTCATTTTCTTATTGTTAATTGTACATATTACGTATTAAAAAAACAAAAAATAACTATTCAATCACTTTCATTTTTGAACTCACAAAATGTTTTGATTTCTTCTAAATGTTTTTGTTTCTTTTAGGTTAGAGGCGAGCATCGAAACGTTTACACATAAGTTTATTTAATTTTTATTTTTCCGTTGTTATTTATTTTAATTGGTCTCATTTAAAATGAAATATGTGAAAGCTGTACAAATTAGATTATTATTCCTCAGTTTCTCCTTGTTTACGATTGTGATTCGGAACTCTAGTTATAAACATTAAATATCAAGCTTATCAGATAATTTAAAATCCGTAAGGGCACTAAAGTTGAAAAAGGCTTTTATCGAGCTGACACACAAGAATACCATACCTTATAACACGATCAATTACATGCTTATATAGCCTCTATGATTCTATTATTTTAAATTCCTTGCGCCTTTGCAATATACTAGTTTACCCAAAATATACAAGTATATATGAATAAAGCCTAATGGCTAAATTTATGCTCCACTGAAAATGAATACGATTACTTATAGACATATTTCCTTTCTCTTATTTACTTGACGTCGAAAAATATGCAAACAATTTAATATTATTCGCCTGAAACCGCTAATAAAAATGTATTCAGATGGAGATTCTGGAGCATGTTCAAAGTCCGGTGTCGACGAGAATCAGACTCTTAGGATTTTATGGGAAAAAGTTATAGAACGCAAGGCATAAATAATCATATTTAATTTTTGATGTATTTTACACAATATAAACGTATAGCTTTTTCGTTTTAAGAAAGTTAGTGTAAATATATCGTTTTGAAACCAGCTAAATGTATTCGGTTTAATTTTAAAATTTTAAATAGCGATCGTTTCGTTGATCTACTTATTTGTTTCGTAATACCTAAGACACAATTTCTTACTACATACATACGCTGTATTTAAATCAAAGCGAAGCTCTCTGAAAATATTAATTGTTGTGCTGTTAATTTAAGTCTAAACATGAATAAATTAAATATAAAAGTAAAATTGGGTTTATTATTATCTAATAATGTACCATACAAAGCTAGGTTAAAGCCAAAGTCTAGCAAAAAAAAAAAAAAGTTATTTTAGTTTTTCAATACTTGTCAAATAAAAATATTTATGAAATCGAAAAATGTCTTAACGGTTGCATCGAAATGGTTAAATAATTTAACTAAAATAAATGTTTTTCAAAAATATTGCGCCGAAGTGTGCCCGAATTATATACATAAATGAAGGTATTATACATCATACAGCTGTGGGCACACTGTGACGGCGCGCTTCTTGGACTGGTAGATTCGGTTTGGGAATTCCTCTTTTTCGACATGGATGTGGTCAAGCGCGGCTTTCTACGCGCCTGCAAGAACCATAGCTTCCTGAGCTACGAGCTAATAGACAAAATCCTGACCCCATTGTGCGCCAACCACAAGGTTCCAAAACCCTCAAGCAAGGAGGCCGTCAAGGCCTTCGTTAGCGAAATAAACGACACCATCAGCGAATTGGGTGTATCGCTTGTCTTCATTAAATATCCGATTAAGGCCGAGGAATACCTGGTGTACGCCAAGACTGACGCCACACCCGATAGTGTGGCCAACACCGGGCTTTCTGCCGAGGAATGCCAGTACTTCTCCAAACTGCTGGACAAGATCGCATCCGAGGAGGACTGCCACATTCCCTGGAATGCAGCATACAACGAGAACTTCCTGCAGTCGTCTGCGAAGCCCGTGAAAAAAAGTCGAATGCAGGAACTACTTCAAAAGTGGACCCAAATGGGCTATTTTATGGAGCTGGACGAGAGAATCTACTTGGGCCCTCGCAGTCTCGTTGAACTAAGTTTCTATTTGGGGTCCAATCACGGTGACCACATCAAGAACTGCATGCTCTGCAAATGTTTGGTGCTGTGGGATATCCGCTGTGGATCCTGCCACATTCAGTTCCACCGCGAGTGTATCCACACATACCTACAACGTCGCGATATTTGCCCATCTTGCGGCAATCTGTGGACAACGCCATTAAGACGTTCCACTAGTTTATCTGGTTAAATACAATTTTTCATAACTATAGTATAGTTTTAGAGTTGAACCATATATAAATAAAGTGACGCCTGGCTTAGTTTACAAATTTAACTACATATGTATGTAGCCGTTAATATTTTTTTTCCCAAAAATTGTTTGCAAAATGCTATTTGTGTTTTTTTATATTTAAATTGTTAATTTTAAAGTAATGAGAAACTTATAAGAATTCTAGTTTTTTCACCGAAAATCTATCTAAACATTCAATTTTGTTAGGTTCGTCTTACCCAATCTTCACTGTCCACATTACTGTAATAACGCTTTTGAAGCCAAGTAACGTCGATCTCTATCCAATGAAAGTTTAAAATGGCGCATCAAAACAGTACTACTTTAATTTTTGCTGAGATGAGTGTGTGCGACAGTCCAAATAAAAATTCTAAGCTTGACAAAAAGTCTCTGACGCCTTTTAAAAGGTGGCGCCGCAAAAATTGGAAACAGGAGACGTCCTACAAGGTGATATAACGGCCCTCACCTCATTTGATGACCTAAACCCATTTTCTAATCCAAGCAGAGTGATACAAGTAAGAATCAAGAAGTTTCCTATTTGGGGGAAAGGTTTATACCCAATCGGTTTGACCGAGCGAATCTGGAACTCAACCTAAAGTATATTGGCATACGGGAGGAACGGGATATACTCACGGTGAGACCATGTCTTCTGACTTGATATTTGAAATCCCATATTTGATAACATTTTTAGGGTGAGACATTGACAGCCAGCTATTGGCGTCAGAGCAGCTTTAAAGCCAACATTAACCGGACCTTTGGGATTCGGGAGAATCGTCTGCTTTATTTTAGCCGTCAGCAAGCAACCCAATCAAGGGTGGTGGAAAATGACTCCGCGGACTCGGATTGGCCATGCTGTCCCCGGGCCCGACCCTATGCCATTCAGAACGCCACACATGAAATGCCCGGTATCAACAGCCCTATTGACTACAACTTAATGGACTGGTCGTCAAGTGGAATGGTGGCTATGTCCTCTGGCCAGGACATTATGCTGTGGCGCAACTTGGACGAGAGCACCATGGTCTTTAGCGTCGAGTCGCCGACTTCCCTTAAGTACTCTCCAGATGGGAAGTATCTAGCCATCGGATGCATGGATAGGAACTATCCAGGTATAGAAACATTCTCCTCTGGATAATTACACCAACAACAGCTTGCCCTCCTATTTTATTGCAGTCTTGGACCTCTGGGAGGTGAGGTCACCAATGGAGTTTTTGGTCTCCTATCGCAAGTTGTTCGTCAAGTCCGTGGGCTGCGTGAGTTGCATTGAATGGTCCCACGATGGCAAGGAGCTCATTTGCGGCACCCAGTGCGGAGTGATCGTCGTGCTGAACATGCCCAAATTAAGGACTGTGATGCAAATAAACGAGCACCTAAAAAAGGTAAACAAAATCAAGTTCTCACCAACCCGAAAGTATATTGCATCCAGCGATACGGATGGCCAAATTTGCATCTTTGATGCTACGAATAAGCTTCGCATGCTTGCGCTAGATGGCAAATCAACATGTTTTGACTGGCATCCCTGGACCGGTGAGGACTTGGCTCTTGGTAAGTCTGTAGCAGCCATATGTTTGTAAAATTAACAGAAATGTTTATGTCCATATTTAAAATGATTCCAGTATCAATATGATCAATATGATAAAGAAATATTTATTTATAATTGGAAGTTTTGTTATAAACTGTTACAAATTTTAATTATTATGAACTGGATACAAAAAAAATAATCCAAATTATTAATACAAATACATATGTATGTAACGACTTTTCTCTGCAGCGGAGCGGAGTCCCGCCACTATTTTTATTTTCAACATACCGCGGAGGCAATGTATGGCTTCTTACAAGCGCAGAGACGACAGGATAATTATAAAGACCATCACATTTAGCAAGATTACTGGCGAGTTGCTGGTCAACATTATTCGGCTGGGTATAGACTTTTCTAAAATGTTCATATCATCGCTTAAAAATAAGTTACTTTTGACAGACGATTCGGACTTTGCTATGTGCGAAATTCTGGTGCTAGCCTCTTTAAACCGCGTTGTAGACTTGTTGACTCATCAGGATCGCGGCACTTTGTTCCTCATGTGGAATCCGGATGGAACGAGCATTGCTACCAGCGGCCTAGATGACACCTTTTCGTTGTGGAACTTTTTCCCCACCCACAAGCGTAAGGCTATACTCGGAAAACAGGAGCAGAAGGTTAAGGATAAGAATAGCTCCTTGAGCCTATACAAAGCAATTCGGTGATTTCATATTTAAAATATATTTTCATGTTATTATGGTTAGTCTTTAATTTAATCCAATTGTGCTTTTCATTATTTATTCAATTCATATTCCTTCCATAAAAATTCCATTAGATTTAACTTAGTTGTGTTGTTTTACTCTAAAATGAACATAAGAAAATGGGCCTCTCCATCCAAACTGAAGGTATGAAAGTAAAATTCCATTGTTCAACATGGTTACAGCATTGAAATTTAGTAACTAATCACTAGGCTAGAGGTTTGTAATAAAGATTTTCATAGAATCGCTGGCATCCTTCGTTTAATATTCGCTCTGCTTGGGTCTTGATTGAGCTATCTGGGATTGCCCCTCCTGCTGGAAAAGATACTCCGCACATGCCTCGGCTTCTAGGCGACGTTTCTGCAGAAGATGGGGTTTGATGACAATACGATGAGTGGTGTATACAAGGACGGTGGATCCGATGCCAATGGCCATCAGACCGACAGTCGTTGTGGCGAATCGTTTGAAGCCGTTAATGAAACTCATCTATTAGTGAGAAGAGATTAAAATGGTTTAATCTAGGATACGAAGAATAGTTAAATATTTTCCAACTTTGTGGTCCCACTAGTCTCAGTTGCTCCTGCTGCGCCACTCTCAGTTTTCTTATCGTTCTTGTACTTCAAAATCAGTGGCTGCCAAATGTAAATACCGCCCAACACCCCAATGGCTGTGACCACCATCAATTGCGGAACTGTGACACCTCTCGGACGACGAATTTGCATGGCACGTGCGTAATTGGGCTGTTTATTTACTATTTCACATTAAATGCACAAGTTTTCGTTACCGGCTGCTGTTACATCAACGCACCATGATATTTGAGTTTAGAACAGCTGTTATCTATCGGTTACCAACACTGTTTTTTGCTTTATATCAGAGTTGCCAGATGATTCCTAGCAGACTTAACTTATAAGAAATTCAAATTTTTTAATACTACTTATCTTTTTTAAGTCAACTTATTGATGTTATTGGTGTGGGGTTCTGCCAGGGAACTTAAAGAAACTGTGACATTTTAGAAAAGACATTTGCTAACTCCCTTTTTCATAAGATGGGCAAACTCATTTAATTAAATTCTAGTATTAAACACAAATGGCGAAAAACGAATACAAGCGGAAATACTGATCATCTATATGATTTTTTTAAAATCTATAAGATATATATGTACGTATGAAATTGATTAATAGTTTTTAGAGGCATTTCCTTATTCATTTTAAATAAATTATTCTTAAATTTACACCAGTAAAAAATTAATGTTTAACCTATTAACTACTGTTGCATTTTCGAAAATGGCATATAAAATACAAAATTAGAGGTTCATTATATGACAAGAGGGAAGTAGGCAGAAATGTTTGTCGTTCCAATATTATTCACTTAAAACTGCTTAAAAAATTAAAAACATGAGTAGTTTTCTCGTTTATCCATTAATATTACTCCCCCAGATAATGACGTATACCGTCCATCTTCACTTTGGGAGTCCCAACAAAAACCAAACACGCGCAACCACACCGACACCAAAGTCAACAGCGACGCGAGCAGCGCATCAGCAATAGAGGGAAGGCGGGAGCGGCTTGAAGCTGGTTTTTAAAATGGCCAGTGCGCTCAGACCTCCAGTCACTCTCAGTTGGAACGCCGCGTCAAACGGTTATCGCTCGTTCCCCGGCGCTACCTCGCCTCTCGCCCCCACCGAACCCCGCATTTAACAGTTGTTTTGCTGCGAATAAGAAGCGGAAGGCAGACGCCAGAAGAAGATCGAGACATAGAAGCAGGGGATAACACAGACGATAAAGATGGGCGGAAATTTGGCAGTGTTGCTGTTGTCGCTGCTCTTAAGTGCGTTTTCCACCGGCAATGGAAACTCCATACCGACAACGACGACGCCTCAGGGCGTATTTGAAACCCGCACGGATAAGCTGCCCGGTGGAGCTTCGTCTCTGCCCACAGGGGGTAGCAGGTGCCTACGACGACATAGACACCTTTGTGCCCTTCAGGAGTGATTCGCACGATCCCTTCTCGTGGCACCTACTCAAAACGGTGCTCCAAAACGAGACGGCCGCTAAGAACGTAATCATCTCACCGTTTTCCGTTAAATTGGTCCTGGCCCTACTGGCTGAGGCTGCCGGAGCAGGAACCCAGACACAAGTGGAGCTGGCCAACACACAGACGGACATCCGATCGCAAAACAACGTCCGGGAATTCTACCGCAAGACCCTAAACTCTTTCAAAAAGGAGAACCAGCTCCATGAGACGCTCAGCGTGCGCACCAAGCTTTTTACCGATAGCTTTATCGAGACCCAGCAAAAATTCACGGCGACTCTTAAACATTTTTACGACAGCGAAGTGGAAGCCCTGGACTTCACCAATCCGGAGGCGGCTGCTGATGCCATCAATGCCTGGGCCGCCAACATCACACAAGGGCAGACTTCGACAATTAGTGGCTCCAGACAACGTGCGTAGCAGCGTGATGCTGCTGACTAATCTTATATACTTCAATGGTCTGTGGCGCCGGCAGTTCGCCAACACATTCCGAGGTCCGTTTTTCCGCAGCAAAGAAGACAACTCGCAGGCGGAGTACATGGAGCAGACCGATTACTTCTACTACACCAACTCAGAGAAGCTGAAGGCACAAATCCTGCGTCTACCTTATAAGGGCAAGAACTCCATGTTTGTGCTGCTGCCTTATGATTTAAATGGCATCCAGGAATTGGTCCACAACCTAGAAAACGACGAGCTCAAGGGCGCCCAGTGGGCCATGGACGAAGTGAAAGTGAAGGTGACGCTGCCTAAGTTTCACTTTGACTACCAGCAGAACCTCAAGGAGACACTGCGCAGCCTGGGCGTGCGTGAAATCTTCGAGGATAGTGCTTCACTACCGGGACTAACCCGCGGAGCCGATGTCGCCGGCAAGGTTAAGGTCTCCAACATTTTGCAGAAGGCCGGAATTATTGTCAACGAGAAGGGAACCGAGGCCTACGCTGCAACAGTCGTGGAAATCGAGAACAAGTTCGGCGGTAGCACCACCATCGAGGAATTTAACGTGAACCGGCCGTTTGTATTCTTTATCGAGGAGGAGTCCACTGGGAACATACTGTTTGCCGGAAAAGTACACACTCCCACTAACTAAGCCACTCAGACGGTTTTATCTTTAAATATGCAATAAAAATACAAACAAATCCGAGTCGATGGTCCACTTTTCTATCCGGCAACAAAAGATAGTGCAAAGCAGGGATTTTATATTTTGTACCACTTATCAGAATTAAATTAGGTTTGTGGGAGTTCTGTTTTGATCACAAATATTTAAAAAATCTTGTAAAAATTTTCAAAGCCTTCTTTCTTCTTCTCAATATATTGCCAGTAAAACGGTAATATTTTCCATATCAGAAGCCTGAGACGTGCTCTTTACCCTCGTTTGGTGCCCATCCGCAACAACAAAATCTCTCCTCACCCATTTGGATCCCATCTTAGCTACATTCCAATTGCTGATAAAGCAGCACTTCCAGTCTGTCATTTAAAGTTTGTTTTTATATTTTATTTCTCGCCTCAGGCGTACCTTGAACAATTTAAAGCAAAAGCCCGCAATCAAGCTAGATGCAAATACCTTCTGACTCTGGGAATGTCCCACGTACGTAACATTGGCAATATCCAATGGGGAGATCGATGGGTAACCGCTTGCGCACATAGTCAGCGTCAAATAGAACCCATGAGTCAGGGGACTGAGATGTTGTTTGGGTGGAAAATCTGAAGTTTGTTTGGCAAATTAAAAAAATTCTGATTGCTGATGTTTTGCACAAACAAGGAAGGAACTTATGCTCAGAGACGGGGACTTCGGGAATTTATATTTGGTAAAGTTTTTAAGTCTTCTAATTTAATGTATAATATCTTGTTTTTCTAATTAAAGCCATTCCTATTCTTATTGGTAGCAACACTATTAAGTTTGAGAGATATTTGTTTTTTAGTAATATAGGATTAATATGAACCCAAATTAAAGAATCAAAATTCTTAATATTAAAAAACAAAAAATTCGAATAAATTGCAATAGAGAAAAATATAAGTGATGAAAATATGATTTTAAGCATTAAAAAAACTATTCTTATTTATTTTTGGCTATGGGCAGCAATTAAGTATTTAAGTATACAAAAAGATAACCCATTAAATAAAAAAAACTGTTGTGAATTTGAAATGGTTATTGTTTTTAATGTTTTCCCTATACATATATTCGACCTATTTTATCTTTCTGACGCGATATTACACCCAGCACATCCTTGAAGACCCGTTCAATTGTCGATATGAACAGGCTTTAAGCTTCGAGACGTGTTCGAACGTATCGGTGACGTGATAACAAAGTGTGCAATGTTTGCAATCATGAAAACCAGTTTATAAATAATACGTGAAAGTGCTCATTAAAGTGAATATTTGCTCTGCTTTCGAGAAATGAGACTGAGAAATGACTGTCTGACTCAGACAGGAGATAAATCCAAGAAAAGGGGGCCGTAAAGACTTATTTAATATTGCCTTAAATATTATAACTTGTAAGTTATGTTTTTAAAATTTTCGCAAATAATTTGTTCAGTTTTCCTCTTTTATAATTTGGGTCCAGCTTACAAAGTGCATAAGACCAGGTGTTCTATTAAGGTGTTCTATTGAGATAGATACAAGTTTAAAGATTAATAACTTATTACAAGATTATTTGAAGCCACTTTTCTTTTAACATTCCTCTTATCTATCCCCAAATCGTACTCATAAAATCCAAGCTATTAATAGGACTTATAAATTCAATTATATAGTGACTTACCTCCCCCATTGGGCAACATTGCAATAGATGGTTGAGCCTGCATTTGAGACTTGCTGAAACTGGTACCGCCGCCCGAGTTATTCTGATGGCGCATATGATGTTGCGGCTGCTGAGGATGTTGTTGCTGTGACTGTTGATGGTTTTGCTTATATTGCGTTGAAAAGTGCGGTTGGTTGGACTCAAAAGTTTGGAAATTTTGGTTCTCAGAGAACCGTAAGTGGGTATCTGCAATCGGACGACGATTGTTCGTGTTCGATTGGTGCTGCTGTCCAACCATTAAAGGTACAGTAGCATGATTGTTTCCACTGCCAGAGATCAAGGCCTGGAGAAGAGCATTTGAGGTGACATCCGATCGACCATGACGTTGCTGACCACGGCTTAGTTGAGGCTGCTGTATCTGATGTTTGCCACCCCCATTTATTAATTTAGAGGTCTGCTCCTCCATTTTGCGCTTCATCACAGCATTTCGCATTATTACATTGGCATGGGCTTGCAAATCTTCCTGAGATAGTTGCTGCGGTAACTGTGCCTGTGGATTCACCTGTGGCTGTTGTCTAGCGGCCAGTGTCTGCTGCACAATAGCTAAATTGTGAAGATTCTGCAGCTGGCTGGCAATAACCGTGCTTGATAGCATATCCAACTGCTGTTTATGCTGCTGTTGCTGCTGCTGAGTGTTGGTGAACTGCAGCACAGCAGTGATGGCTTCACGATCCATCTCTGACAAGCGTGGGTTGGCCAACTGTACCAATAGTCCGTGCTTGGATATTTCCCCTAAAAGTAAGACGACAACTTTTTAATAGAAATAGTTCTTGATCTTAAACAACTTAATTTAAAGCCTACAAAAGATACTCTTCAAGAATGAAGAAATGCCTTTTATTGAACAGAAAAATTACAAATAGTTACCTTTAGTCAGACGCAGAAGGAGCAATTGTGTGTCGGCCCGTCCGAGGATAGCCTTTAGCTGCAGACCCGCCAAAAAAGCAGTTTGTTGTTGCTGCTGCTGTATGATAACGTGCTGCTTCTGTTGTTGCTGTTGATACTGTTGTTGCTGCATAATGAAGTTAGAAATGGCATCGTAGCCCACCGCTGGCGGTTGTTGCTTGGCCGCAGATAGTGACCCAATAAGCTTTTGGAAGTTATCAGACTGTTTGTTTGCAGGCTCGCTAGCAGTTGTCAGTGAGTTTCGACGCCATTTGGCCTCCAGCTGCTCAACCGACGGCATTTGGCTAATAAGGCTTGGCGCCTTCGGCTGCTCCGGATTATTGCCATGACCCTGGTTCATGGCCTGCTTGAAAAACTCGTTCAGCGAAGACGATGAAGTGTTCCTCTCCCGCGCAAAGAATGACATGAATTTAGAATTGTTTGAATTCGGATTTGTTTGCTGCTGCATTTGCTGAGGCTGTGTTTGCGGCTGTTGCTGGTAATTTACATAATTACTATTCTCATAATTCTGTTGGCTTGGATTAAATTTGTCAAACTGAAACGATCGGGCACTACCAGAACGTTTTTCATCCTTTGGCAGTTGATGATCCGTGGCTTGTACCTTGTTCATGTTCTCCACATTCTGGTTATTATTTGTATCCTGCTTTGCCATGAATTTATTGCGACCCACAGGCTCCGAATGAGTCCATTTGTACTTATTTTGTTCCATCTGAAGACAGAAATGTTGAAGTATTTTTTTGGATTGAGTTACAAATCGAATTTACTCCACACTTACCTTATGCTTCGGTAGTTCCCTCTCTATTTCGTCAACTCCATGGTGTTTGTTTGCCTCCTTTAACATTTTCTCCTCGTCCTCGTCGAAACCACATAACTCAATGGTATCCAACCTTGAGGTGGGACCACAGCTGAACCACTCCGGCTCTTCATTCTGGTTCCTGTACCGCCGGTGGTGCCGATCTTCTGAGTCCCTAGACTTAGGTTTTGACACAACCAGGAACCCGGACATAACACGCTTCACATAGTTCTCGTTGGCGCGGCTCAGATCTTCACTGGACTCATTCGACTGCAACGTGTCGTTCTCGGAGCGATTATTAGACATCCCCATTACAGGAGTGTTAGGTCGCCCTTGCGGCTGGCTACTGATCTCCCCGTTGTCGAAAAACTGCAGGACCGTCATGTTGCCGTTGTTCTGGTGTTTCGAATTTACCTCTTCCGTCTGGTGTTTGCCACTGTGGTACGAAAAGTATTCGCCTTCATTGTAGCCCCACTTGGAATGATTAAAACGACCGCTTCCAATGCGTCTTTGGTTTACAATTGCAGGATCCTAAAATAATGTAATCAAATGCATAATTAAAACAATAGATGAGGGGTTAACAACTGTCTTTGATAATGAATTGTTATTCTTAATATTGACATATTCTAATACAATCAGATATTAAATTATTTTTTGTTACTTTGACTGTTTTATTTTATATTTTTATTAATTTTAATTTAAAATTTCATCTTAACTTATTTCCCTTTAACTAAGCCTAGGTTAAAAGTTCAAGATAAACAAATTTTTTTTTAAAACCCTAAATAAATCTAGTCTTTATCTTATTTAAGGTAAGAAATACACGGTTACTATTAAAACTAAGATCACAGAATCTCAATAAATATTACCGCTATTAATTGTCGGATCTATGTACATATGACATAATAAAGTTAGGCAAAGAACAGACAAAAAGGAAGGAGAAAAAGATTGGCAAACAAAACAATAGATTCAGTAAGTCCATTCTATTCCATAAAAAATTCTTAAAATATTATACATATGAAAGCTTTGAAACTTCCACCTTTATGGGCATATTATCGACTAATTCACATCTCTAAGGGCTAGCTTCAGTAGTACGCACACACAAATAGAAGCTCACATAAATAACCCAGCCATATCAGCATGGCCGGAGTGAGTGGGAGAGATAAAGCTTATAAAAACAGTTCTACAAAAAGGCAGAATGCGTGCTAAACTAAACGGCCGCCGGCGAGCGAGAGCAAAAGAGCGGGAGCTGAGCGAACAGAGCTGAATGCAAGGGAAAACGCGCGCTCGTCATTACAAACACAAGTACTGGATTTGGAATTGGAATAAGAATCAGAATAGGAATAGCAATAGCAGCCGTAATCGCAACGCGGCAGGTTGACATTGCGCTTGTCCCGTGAATTTGGTCGTAAGCGGAGCAGCGACCATTACTGTAAACAGTAATCATAATTCGATCGCAGTGATACGAGCCGCCAGACACGATGCAGTTTGTTGCCAGTGGTAGGTGGAGCGGTCAGCTCGAAAAGGACAGAAAAAATAAAGCCACGAAGCTGTGGCAGCAATATAGTTTAGGACTAGACAATTAGATTTACTTATTAATATTTTTTATAAAACGTAAAAGTTAAATACTTTTTCAGTATTTAGTATTTAGTGTTCGTTAAATCCTAACTTAATATAATCTTATTTGAGAATATACATATTTAATATATTTAAAGCTGACAATAACAATAAATGAATCGCATTCCACAGAACACCCTCATCGAAGATTTAATCCATTGACCGGACAATGGGTCCTAGTGTGCCCACATCGAACACAGCGCCCTTGGTCGGGTCAACAGGAGAACCCACAGAAGAACGAACTTCCCGAATTCGATCCCACCAATCCCCTTTGTCCTGGAGTTACCCGACCCAATGGAATCGTATGTGTTAATAAGTTGTGTTGTCTTTTGCAATGATCTATCATACATATATACAATGACTAGGAAACTCCTGCCTACGACAGCACCTATGTGTTCGAAAATGACTTTCCGGCCCTGGTGGAGGTAGTGCCCGTTCCTCCCAACAGCGATGATCCCCTGTTCCAGATAGCACCCGCCCGTGGCAACTGCCGAGTGATGTGCTTCCACCCCAAATCGAATCTCACGTTGCCCACGATGAGTGCAGCGGAAATTGTCGTTGTTATCGACGAGTAAGTTAAGGATTTATGGCTTATATCAGAAAATGCCAGTGATAAACCCAATTTTATCTCAATGCCTATCTAGGTGGATCAGTCAATTCAACGAGCTGAGTGCCAAGTATGCCTGGGTGCAGATATTTGAGAACAAAGGAGCTGCTATGGGCTGCTCCAATCCGCATCCGCATTGTCAGATCTGGTCGTGTTCGTTTCTGCCCACGGAGCCACAACTGAAACAGGAACGTCTCCGTGCGTACTACGCCACCCATGAGCGACCGATGCTGGCAGACTATGTAGAGCGGGAGCTGCAGCGCCAGGAGCGGATCGTAATCGAAAATGCCGACTGGCTGGTGGTTGTACCCTTTTGGGCCACTTGGCCCTTTGAAACTATGCTTATCTCGCGCAACAACAATAAGCGGATTAATGATCTGACACTGGAACAGCGAAAGAACCTGGCGGTGACTATTAAGGAGTTGACCACAAAGTATGACAACCTATTCCAGTGTTCGTTTCCCTACTCGATGGGCTGGCACGGGGCACCGACTGGTCCGGAACATGCCCACGCATCCAGTGCCCACTGGACTCTTCACGCTATATACTATCCGCCGCTGCTGCGATCGGCCACAGTGCGCAAGTTCATGGTGGGATTTGAGCTGCTGGCCATGGCGCAACGTGATTTAACTCCCGAGCAGGCGGCCCAAAGGTTACGGGAAGTGGACGGAAAATGCCATTACCTGGAGAAGTGATTTCGTTTAAGCTAACTTACAAAATCACCGCCAGCTGTTAAGATGTTGGGAATTGGTATACAATTTAATAAAACTGATTAGTCAAATACGTTGGGAAGTTAGTGTTTGTAAAGATCGACTGTAGTAATCATTTACTTGCAATCTCTTGCTAGTTTTACAATAGTGATTCGACTGGAGGGAGGGTCGGGAAAATGATCAGCATGATTGGCAACGACCCCTGGAGGTCATTCATTGCAATCATTGATTTATCAGATAAGCTGTGGAATAGTGCGACTTTGTGTTACCTAATGCACAGTATGAGTCAAAACAATACTTCGCCTAATGAACCGTTTAAAAATAAAAAAAAATACAAGTTTGTGAAAAAACTTTAGCTACATTTAGTCCTAAGATATTAGTTCAGGTTTTTTTTAATTTAAACATATTCAAATTATATAGTGAACCAATAAAATATAAGAAATAGCACATATTGTTGCTTTCTTTTTCAATTCTAAATCGGAAAAGTCCAAAACTCAAGAAACTCTATAAGACCAGATATCAAACTTGACTAGACTAGACTCACTTAATTTAAATAGGAATGAAATCTACGTAAATAGGGACAATAAGTTGCTCACCTGGAACTCTGTTTGTGGCTGAGGCGGTTGGCTCTGGATGATAGACTCATCACTGATTAACTGCGGCTTGTTTTTGTTTTTGTAGAATGCCGGCATACACTCATTGTTGTTCATATTGGAGTTGTTGGTGCTGGAGCGAGTCCGGAACCTTGTGCCGTCCGAGGTGCGCCAGAGATTCATGCGGCGAAGCCGACCCTCCAACTCAATGTCATCGCATGTGGCGATGCGGGGCATGACAAAACTTTCCTTCGACCTATGCATAAGAGCATTTAACATGCCGCTGCGAATATCCAGCAGGTGGGAGCGCGTATAGTTTTTGACCGGCTTGCTACTGACCATTGGAGTGTTAGTAGCGCGAACCGCCTTTGGAGCCCGCAGATTTCCTGGCTTGTGCGAACCCGTGCTAAGAGGACGTTTCTGCTGCAACTGACAAGACTGTTGATCCAGCATGTTGTCCTTGTTAATGAGTTGCTTTTTTGGAGATTCGTTCTCCAGATCACAGCTAACGGCCGTGCAGGACAACATACTGGTGGGCTGGGTGTAGGGCGTAGATGCCCGTGCCGAAAGCACTTGGAGCGCCAAGCCTTCGTCCTCGTGCGTCTGTTTCAAGGACCCATGCATCGGAATTGCTTCCCGGGAAATGGCTGAAAGGATTCGATTCCGCTTGGCAAGCAGTTGAACTATTTTAAAATGCCTCTCCAGCTCTACAATCACAGCTGGCTTTTTGATCATCGGGTGCAACATGACAGCCTTGGACTCGGAGGGCTCTCCTAGGCTGCTCGATTATTGTATCCGTGCTCGAACGCCTAGGTAACATTTCCATGGCCTCCACTTTTTTGTTTTTCATGGAACGAGAAGACTGTTTACCAAAATAAAAACAACATTTAAAAAGTGTCATAATGTCTGTATAAGAACCTGTCTATATACTTTGAAAAAATAATGTCTACTGTGACGATGAATTGTCGACAATGCAATAAATAAATTTGTTGGTGACATATTTATCACAACTGCTCAGGTTATAATAATATGTTTGTATGGATGTTTTGAGGGTAAGTAAGAAAATTAATTTTGAATGGGGCAAAATAAGTTAAATTGTTATCCATATACTCAAGTGCAAAAATAATTAATTTGATTTAATAACTATTCTTATTTAAAGCCTACTAACTGATATTTATATTTCTATATTAGTTTTTAAACAAAAAGTTAATATCGGAATGTTATTGTTACAAAAAAAATTATAGATATGTATTTTACCTTGATGTTTAAAGAAATCTGGCCAGTTTCATTGTCAACTGGTTTGATAAATAGATTGTTTAAATTATAACTAATTTCAAAAACTGGCTGGCTCTTTTTCTTATATTTTATTCCTATCAAGCAGCTGAATTACATAGCCGATCCAGGCAAGACTCTTGAAAAATAAATCAATTTAGACGTAATTGGGATTGCAACGTTAAGCTGAGAGTAATTCAAAAAAAGTTTCCAATTTTTAATTTATATTTTCTAAGGGGCTAGCCAATAGAGGAAATGCAATAATTAATCCGGGTGACCTACATATGTTACAAAATTAAAGGCGCATTATCGAAATTTTTTTCATAACCTAAAATTGCCGAGAAAAATACAGTTTATTTCATTTAAATATTCAATGGCAACTCACTTCGGGACTGGCCTTTTCCCTTTGCATCCGCTTGTTGGCCTCCAGCTTTGTAATGGCCTTTTCCAGCGCGTCCTTCAGCTTAAAGGCGGGCAGTTTTAGGTAGCCCAGGCCCGTGGACAGAAATGCATGGGCCGGAAGCGGGGGAGGGACGGGAGGCGCGCAGGGATCCTCCCACTTCTCAGAGTTGGTCTCGTCGTCGTCGTGCTCCAGATTAGCCATCAGAGCGGTAGGCTTGGCCACCGTCGGTGCCTGAACGGGAGTCGGGGGCGGCGGAGGGGGAGGGTACTCAAACTTGGACTTCTCAGCAGGCGTGAGCACCTCATCCTGTTGATCCTCGGCGGGAACCGAGAGCTGGTGTCGTGGGGCCTGATCTGGTGCACCCGCACTCGTTGTAATTTTTAGGGCGCCAGCGCCATTTTCTTGCCCAGCTTCAGCCATTTGCATTGCGCTTTCGCGGCATAAGTGGCCGCTTAATTCGGTCGCCTCTTCATTTAATGGGTCCATACTCACGTTAATTCAAGTTTTTTTGATTAAAAATTTAAAACGAACACTTCTGGTTGGGTTGAATATTCAAACTATGCAAAAGAAGAACGAAATCACGTTTAACAAAAGTTTGATCATAAGATCCGTTATTTGACTTCGGTTCGGTGAGTAAGCAGGACAGGAATACAGGAAAATACCGAAAGAATACCATAAGGAATGTTAGAAGAGAGAAGACACGATGATGTCCAGTGTTGATAGGCTCGTTAAAAAGAAAATGTACCAAAATATGAGCAGTATGGCTAATCTAGCCATTTTTTTTATTACCTTGACTAAATAGCTTTTCTCGGCATTTGGTAGATCCCTATTTTTTTTTTGAGGATTTAAAATTTAAACATCTTTAAGAAGATATACCCTATTACTTCAGACGTTACGGATATAAAAAACTTTAGAAATCTTCAAAGTGACTGAAAAATATATGACAGCATATCATATTTCAGTGGGTCGCATCTTGTTTCGTGCAGCCCGAAAAGCGAAAATTCAAATTGTTACTGCGGGTAAACTAAGAAAGATAACTCAAAAAATTAAACGCTATATTTTGGGAATTTATTTAATGGCTTAAAATCAACATCAAACAAAAACAAAAAAGTTACATATCTAAAACATTTTGTGTTCTTTCTTATGCCGCAGCCTATTCCATACTTTTCATTTAGGGAAACATAAAAATAGTAATTTGTATTTAAATTTGTTGTGTGTCCCTTTGTATGCTTCTGGGAAGCCTAATAAAGAGTTTCCATTGAAAAAACCATATTTCTAGTGGATTAAATACGGTTTTTTTTTTGCCATTCTTCCAATAGCAACCTTTTACATAGCTTGTTTTTAATGGAAATCTTACGAATAGCCTGGTCCAATTTTTAGAAATTCTCTTTGAAATTTAAGTCCGGTGATTGGGCTGTTGTAATCAAAACATTTGGACAATTTCAGATAGCCTAAAAAGCCCTGCCTGCTGAATTAATCGGTTCCCTGACCTGGTTAAACGGAAAGCGATCGCGGATACCAAGACTATTGGCACTTTGAAGAAATTTTTTTTCAGGTGCTCCAAGTACAGTTTTGCATCCATGAGTCCATCAAGAAACACTAGGTTACCAAACATGACCTGAACCCCAAAAAGCTTAACCGTGTCTTTTAAGTGTTCCTTCTCCAGCTCGGTATTTGGTCGTCCCCAAACATATTGACACCTATCCGATTCAAGAGTTGAGTTTAAGTTGATTTTTAGCTTTTAAATAGGTATGTTTTTCTTAATTTAGCCGCAATAAAAATTAAAGTCTTCGGCTGCACGAAATAAGCTAAATGGTTTAGTTTGGCAGAACTTTAATGATGATTGTACACTCTAAATTTGAAAAAAATCCGAAATATCCCTTATTACCTTCAAATTCTATTTCATCAATGCTATATGTAGTAGTCTTTACTTTGCAGCTTAATCTTGACGTTCTTATCGTTAAAAAAAATATTCCACAACACAACATTTCGCAATACAAAATATAGGTTAAAAATCCTCTCGAGGGCAACGTCATCACCGTCAGTTTAAAACATGAAGAAAATGGCACTAGTCGAGCCCTAAATTTGTAGGTATCTTGTTAAATTAAATATCAATAAAACAAAATGATTTATGCAAAATATGAATTTATTATTATTCGCCTTTTATAAAAATTAAACTTTTTATACGAATAAATACATATACAAAATATACACGCAAAATTTCGATTTGTGATCACTCGGGACGGTTTACACTTTTCACTTTTTAGGGCAAAAATCAACAAATAGGTGCCAGACAAGGAAGCGGATCATGGAACACCTTTTCTTGATATATTCAGCGCTATCTTCGTCAATGTAGCACGTTATTTCAATGTTTTGTGCTCCTTCATAAACCACTTTCGAATGATAGTCTTCACTGTCTGGATCCAATTCAGAATTTCCCACAACGCACCACTTCCCAGTGCCCAGGCCAGCGTTCTGTCTCTCAAAAATGTTAAAAATCCTGCACAGGCGCTTATGGACTACCATGGGGATCACAAAGGAGACCCTCACCAGTTCAAAGTGCCTAATAAAGGTGGTGCACTTGAATGGAGGACATACGGTTCGAGTTTCCCGAATAATCCAATCCTTAGTACAATCGTCTCTGCAGACTATAAGAAGGTTGCAACCGAATGGCTCTATAGAGGTACACTCGCTAAAAGCGAGAGACCCCACTTCGTCGGATTGCTCGAACCGCTCGACCAAGAAGATTAGAAAGCAGTTGAAATCACAATCGCAGGGATCCTCATCATTTGTGACGACTACTCCGTAGCGCCTGTCCTCCGGCATCACCCTAACATATGGTGGACGCGTATCGTCCTCTTGGTCGCAACAATCTATTTGGCAAACATCCCTCTCGCTTCCCTCTCCGTTTGAGCCACTCATTTCTGAACCGGTGCCGCTATTCCCATCTGCTAGACTGCTAGAAATAGAATTGCTGCAGGCCGAGGAATCCATGTTATTGTTATTTATTAAAACGCTTTTTGCAAATAATTTGGAGATAAAAACCACTTGAAAATGTTGAGTATTAAAATTTTAAACCAAAATGAAGTTTGTTCGACCTAACTGACTCGAGACTTTAGAATAATGAACCTGATCTATTCAAATCGTAACCTGCGTTAAACTCATAGCTTGCTTTTTATAAAAGCTTTACAAAATTAATAAAGAAGCAAAAGAACAATGAAAACATTAAAAACATTGTTAAACTGAATGTGTAATAAAAATAAAAACGGTAATTTGTATTTGTAATACCCTTGTTGAATATCCAAGCCACTTACCTTTCTATTGGTATTTTTTCCGTATTTTCTTCCTTTCAACTCAGTATATCTGGACAGTTCGGCCGCTTAATTCTTAGGCCGTGCGATGGTCACATTAGCAATACAAGCAAGGCGAAAAACTGGAGAAAAATTGAAAAAAATCTGTTTGTAATTAAATATATAGGTGGTACTTAGTCGGAGTGCCGAGTTTTGTTCTTGCTAAGCGGATGGATGCCTAAGGTAAGCTCCATCAAGCGATTCTAGAGCGTTGCGGGGTAAACAAATCAAAACCTAACCTCAATTTGACCATTTTTCGCAGACCAGGATCTTTAGGAAAAGGTAATACACAAAAAGACCCCAAAATGACCCAATATCTGCCGCCGAATCTGCTGGCGCTTTTCGCGGCCAGGGAACCTATACCGTTTATGCCGCCTGTGGACAAATTGCCCCATGAGAAGAAATCCCGCGGCTACCTGGGAGTGGCTAAGTTTATGGCCGACTTTGAGGACCCCAAGGACACACCGCTTCCGAAAACGGTGGAGACGCGTCAGGAGCGACTAGAACGGCGCCGGCGCGAGAAAGCTGAGCAGGTTGCCTACAAGCTGGAGAGGGAGATAGCGTTGTGGGATCCCACCGAGATCAAGAACGCCACGGAGGACCCGTTTCGCACGCTCTTCATTGCCCGCATAAACTACGACACATCCGAATCCAAATTGAGGCGGGAGTTTGAGTTTTACGGACCCATAAAGAAAATCGTCCTGATCCACGACCAGGAGTCAGGTAAACCCAAAGGCTACGCCTTCATCGAGTACGAGCACGAGCGGGACATGCACGCCGCCTACAAGCACGCCGATGGTAAGAAGATCGACAGCAAGCGCGTTCTAGTAGACGTTGAGCGGGCTCGCACTGTCAAGGGTTGGCTGCCCCGACGCTTGGGCGGCGGTCTAGGCGGAACGCGTCGCGGTGGCAACGATGTCAACATCAAGCATTCCGGCCGAGAGGACAATGAACGGGAGCGCGAGAGGTACCGGCTAGAGCGAGAGCGTGAGGATCGCGAGGGTCCCGGACGCGGTGGAGGCTCCAATGGACTCGATGCCCGGTCTGGACGCGGTTTCGGTGCAGAGCGGCGACGTTCACGCTCCAGGGAACGCCGCGAACGGGAACGAGATCGTGGACGTGGCGCTGTGGCCAATAGCGGTCGCTCGCGCAGCCGATCCCGTGAGCGCAGAAAACGGCGAGCGGGAAGCCGGGAGCGGTACGACGAGTTCGACCGCAGGGATCGGCGCGACAGGGAGCGTGAGCGAGATCGCGATCGGGAGCGCGAGAAGAAAAAGAAGCGCTCTAAATCGCGCGAGCGGGAATCCTCCAGGGAGCGACGCGATCGAAAGCGAGAGCGTAGAGATCGTGAACGTGGCGCCGGAGCTGGCGGCGATGTCAAGGAGCGCAAGCCCGACTTCCGCGACATGGACGTCATCAAAATCAAGGAAGAGCCCATTGACGATGGCTATCCCACATTTGACTACCAGAACGCGGCCATTAAGCGTGAGGTCGACGACGAGAACGAGGAGAAGTACCGGCCTCCTCCAACATCCCATCACAATATGTTCAGTGTGCCGCCGCCGCCTATTTTGGGACGTGGCAATGCCAATCAAAATCCCAATCCTGATAATGGCCAACAGAGCTCCACCGACCAGAGCTGGTGGCGTCAGTAAAGTGAGAGGGTCTTGGAGCAATCTTTCGAGGTTAATAATTCTAGAAATCAGCCTTCTGTTGGTCGCAACTATTTATTCATTCGACTTGAGGCACAGCAATCCTGGAGAGACTAATCATAACAATCCACGGTTCCATTTTACACAGAAAATTTTAAGGTTTAGCTTGAATAGGCCCCAAGCAAAACAACAGACCGCAAAACGCAGAATCCACTAATATGTGCGTAGCTTAAATCATTTAAACTTATAAGTAATTCTTAACAAATGAATATGAAAGAAAAGTAAGTAAAATAAAGCTAGCCCTACACGTGTTTGTTTCCCCACCTTTGGTAAGGGGGTTAAAGGGAATACGGAGAGTCAGGAACTGGAATCGTTTCGGAGGCGAATATGGTATCCCATGGTGGTTCCTGGGATTTTCTTACTCACTAAACTTAAGCTCAACAAACGCAACTTCAACACAAACCCTTGCACTAACCCGTGCCTTTTATTTTCTCTGTTTTTTTGCAGTTTTCAATTAATTGAAAATCTGACTGACTATTGTGAAAGCAAAAGCATAAGTATATTTAATCGAACAGAAATCCGAAAATGGAAATTAGTTCCACAAGAATTCGTAGCCAAAGCCAAAATTCCAAGCCCACATCAGGTAATTTGGTCTAAGCACAAACCTCACTAATCCATGCGTCTACTGTTCTAGGACCGCTCTAGAATCGAGACAGCTACCGATACTTTCCTCCTCTTCTTCCGCTGTGGGTTACCTCTTGTGGTGTGTAAGTTAAATCGGGCTAATTTTTAAAACCTTCAGAACTTAAAAAATATCTGGCTATGTAAGTTTTCCCTGGTAAGATTTGCTCGGCCGCTAGAGTGTAAGGGAGCTTTCCTCTGTTTGGTACACATTGGGAACTGCTCTGATGGTCTGTGGCAACCTACTTATCCATTATTTCTGTAACCAATTTACCATTTCGATATTTTCATGTACGTTGAGCTGAGTGTTATCGTACTGAAGAGGAACCCGCTGCGGAAACTCGAAAATATAAGAGAACTCCACAAAGGTTTGCTTTTTGGTAACTGGTTACTGGTAACAACATGTCAGATCAGGTCTTTTCAATTTATTTATCTTGGGTTCTGGACACAGACACAGACAAAATTGTGGGGTCTTTTATTTTACTATTGTTTGGTAGATAGGACCCATGCAGTTGATTTTTACGATTGTGACTTACGGGGAATGAACTATCGACTAGCTAAGGCACCTTATAAATTACCACATAATTAAGAGTGATAAGTGATCATTCAAAAATATCACTTAGCTTTACCAATTAATAAACATCTATTTTGCTTCAAACCCAAAAAACTTGATTCATTTGTTTTACGCGTTGTCAATAAGATCGGTTTGGTTGGATAAAAGAAAAATTAAACAAAATTTTTATGAATTCCTGACGGATTGCTCTACGTTGATTAAATTATAAAAAAGAATGTTATGATATTCTATACGCTTTTGGTAATAATTGGTTTGAATAAGTAATGGAAAACGCCTTAGTGTTATAAGTAATTAAAACAAATTAAAACTTGAGCTTTAATAAAATGTATTCATTTTAAAAAGTCGGAACATTAAATATTATGCATTGGACGATACTTTTTTTTATTTTTATATATTTTTGCCGCACTTGTACACTTATGAACTTTTTATTTTCATAAGAAATTAAAGAAAAAAAATATAGTAATAGTATTTCTTTGAGTCCGAAAATACAAGGACCTTTGTTTGAAGTGACAGACCGGATAAGTAAGTCATTGCATTTTATTCAGTTTCGTTCTTAAAACTCAATAAATCTCTCATATACAAGTCTCTATAAAGTCCGTCCAGAGGTGTGGTATATATGTTACATTTTCAACTCGGCTCCAGTCTTTTAAAACATTTCTTTTTTTACTGGTTTGTTTTTAATTCAATTCCCTTAAGTTAAATCCCTTTTTGATTAGTTACAGAATGTTTTTTAATTTATGTGATCCTATCGTTGTATTAATAATCAAGACAAATGAATCCTTTGCTTGATTGTGATCAGTTTTAGAAGCTGGTAATATAAATCAATATAAACAAACACATATGCCAAGATCTATTCTTCATTCACGTCTTGAATTCAAATTCTATACGATATAATTTGTATCGTTGTATAACGTAAAAACGGCGTTTTCGACTATATAAGTTGTATATCTATTTAGAATCACTATTATTTAATAAGTTATGAAGAAATTGTTAAGAGTCTTGAAGAAATTCGTTATTATATTTACACTTTACATATATTATACATAATATTATATTTTACTCAAAGTAGATATTTACTTCTAAATTTGTGAACAAAGTAACGGATTTCGAAACTAAGACTAGGGCATTTCTTCACTTTTTCTGTTTTCCTGTATTGATACATTCTTAGTATGTTTAATAAATATGTAAAAGAAAATTTAAAAAAAAAAAAAAAAATCGGAAAAGTAAATTTTGCCATATATAAGCCGAATATCTGTCAGGTCAAAATTTTTATTTAGCTTATCATCGGTATATATGCATATACATATGTTTCATTAGTTACTTATTGCCTTTTTGAAAATTTATAATTTTTTTGAATTTGGTTTTATTACATTTCGGTATTATTCTAGTGTTAATCGAGGTGTATTTAATTTCTGTATATTAAGTGACTGTTGAAACAGTGATTATATCGATAGTTAAAGAGGTAACATCGATATTAGGAAGTGTTGAGTGACATCGATAGTAACGATACGTCGATTTTTTTGGCGTGTAGCTGTAGCAGAAAGCAAAAGGAAGCCGCTTGTGGAAAATTTCAACAGCATCGACGAGCATCAAACTCGGAAGAAATTAGGTAAATTTTTGATGCATTTCGCGATCTACGGCTGCTCTGCACTTTACTCAAAACATTACGCGTGTGATTTTCTAATTTGCGCTTATTTTATACGGCATTTTCTCTTGTTTCTCGTACAGCACGCCCGGCATTCGACGCACTGCAAAAACTTCTTCGTTGACTACTAAGCAGCTCCGACGAGCAACGACGAAAAAAAACAACATGTCTGACGAAAAGAAAGGCGGCGAAACTGAACACATTAACTTGAAGGTGCTCGGACAGGATAACGCAGTGGTCCAGTTTAAAATCAAGAAGCACACACCCTTGCGGAAGCTGATGAACGCTTATTGTGACCGAGCCGGACTTTCCATGCAGGTGGTGCGCTTCCGCTTTGACGGACAGCCCATCAACGAGAACGACACTCCAACCTCGCTGGAGATGGAGGAGGGCGATACCATCGAGGTTTACCAGCAACAGACAGGCGGCGCTCTATAAATATACGTAGTTAAGCTAGTTACACCACCCTTTATAACTAACAAACAACAAAACACAAAAAGAATCCAAAACAATATGAAAAAACCAACACAACAGGCAGAAAACATAAATCGAAACAAGAGTGCGTTTAGTACAACTGTAGATTTTGTCTGTATGAAAGACCACAACTTACAACTATTGCAGACAAAACATGGAAAATAAAGCATTTTATAAACTATATGTCGCGTCTTTTACCTGCCTGATCGGCGCTCGTTTTTTGTTTGCTACCCTAAATAGCCGGCGCGAATTTCCCGCTTTGTGTCCCTCCTTACACACACACACTTTCTGTGGTATTCAAGTGCATTTTAGGACTGGGTTGAATGCGTGTGTGTGCGTGCAAATTGGTATACATACACAACGGGGCTCACTGAATTTGCGGGAAAAGTACATTAGTATGTACACCGGCGAATCTGTAGACTATGAAAACATAACCTCAATGTATGTGACGTCATTTTATGGAACCTTCTGGGCAAAAGTGCATAGAGGTACGTATTTTGATATAACCTCAAAATTGAGAAAATTGTAGTACTAAGCCCCATGTATGTTTTTGCACGCAGACTACATGATAATTTTGTATGTACACCATGTATGTGTTCAAGTTCGAGGTACAGTTGTGCAAAAAATTCTGATATACATACACAAATGTTACCACTTTTAATCTGAGATGAGTTCGAAAAAATTAATAACATAATGGATGCTTATTTATGCTTCTAAAATTGTTTAAACAAAAATCTAAAACACTTTTCAAAATTTATATTTACATATATAAGTCGATATCTGTAATCATTTTAGTTTTGTGAATTACTTTTTATGAGATTAACGGAAATATATTTCACACTTCATATTAAATGTTTTTTTAAGCAGTGGTACACCCGACTATACTTCAAAAATTGTAGAACTTTTAAATACTACCAAAAAATGTATTAGGAAAAATTCATATGTATGTAAGTGGAATCCGTGAATTGGGATTACAGATAAAATCATTTTTGTACTCAAATTCTATATATGTAGCTACATATTAAAATAACATTACAAATTTAAAACTTTCCATAATGTTATCATTTACTTCTTTTGCAAACGCCAATCCATTCTTTAGATTAAATGGTACAAACTATATTTTCATTTATAAAAAAAAATATGTGAAATCTTAATGAAACTTAACATTTTGTCATGTTTATTTGCAACAACGATTAAAATATTTACACATGGAGTTTTAAAAAGAGTGTGAAAGGCACCAATTCCCACTTAAGAATAAATAAAAACAAACCCCGGCTTAGACCCATTCCTTGGGGTTCTTCAGGACCTTCATAAGCTTGCCTTCTTCGGATTTGGAATTGGGCTCGTGCATGTACTCCCATCGGGCGTGCAGGGGCAGTGACATCAGAATGCTCTCGTATCGTGCTCCTGGCGTGTATAGCCCGAACTTGGTGCCGCGATCGTAGATTAGGTTGAACTCTACGTAGCGTCCGCGGCGCAAGAGTTGCCACTGGCGCTCGTTGTTTCCATACTCCCGGTTCTTGTGTTTCTTGACCAGCGGCATGTAGGAGGGGATTACTGCACGGGCACAACTGGACACGAAGTTAAAGGCAGCATCCTGATTGGGCGAATCAATGTCGTCGAAGAAGATACCGCCGATGCCGCGACTTTCGTTGCGGTGCTTGATGCGGAAGTAGTCGTCACACCATTTCTTAAAACGCGGATAATAGCTGGCATCGTGCTCGTCGCAGGCGGACTTCAGAGTCTGGTGGAAGTGGCACGCGTCTTTCTCGCAGAGGTAATATGGTGTCAGATCCGTACCACCACCAAACCACCACTGTTTCTCTCCCTTGGCCGTCTCCACCTCGAAGTAGCGATAGTTAAAGTGGATAGTGGGTACATGTGGATTCCTAGGGTGGATGACGGCACTAACGCCACTGGCGAAGAATGGCAGGGCAGCGCCCTCTTTTCAGGTTCTTTCCACGAGCCCGCATTTGCTGAACTGCAGCTGGAGGTAGGGAACCGGTGACAACGGATATATTAACGCCAGCCTTTTCGAAAACATCACCATCCTGTAGGACGCACGTGATCCCGCCTCCGCCCTCGGCCCGCTCCCAACGGTCCACCTTAAATTTCTGACCGCAATTCTCCTCCGCCTCCAGGGCTCGGCAGAACTGTGCCTGGATCTCCATGATCAGTATCTCCATACGGTGTCGCATGTTATCCTTGTCCTCCAGCAGCGCCTTGGAGTCCGTAATGGGCTCTGCCATAAACCGTGAGGTATCCAGCTGCACCCCCTTGACCTTCGGGTTGACCGCCTCCGCAGAATGTGCGTACGTGACCGCCGAAAAGCTGGCCAAACCTAGCCCGGTGCCGAGAAGAAAGCCCCGAACATGCTGGCCTTTTGTACGGCGGACCAGTTGGAAGGTACCCAGCGATACTAGGGATATTGTGTGACGAAGTGTGTTCATTTTGTGTTATCGTCTACTTCAAATTTTAAACTTCATTTAAGTACTTTCCAGAAACGCAGTCTGTTTGTTATCTTTCACCACCGGCATTTATAGTTGCATAGTCGCTAGTGTGACCGTTGTAATATTAGAAGTTTGAAGTTTGTCATCATTTTTCTTAAACCTAATACGTCATAAATATATTGATGTTGAACTCCTAAAAATGGTATTGCATTTTTAAATTGTAATTTTATGTTTTTTTATGTGTAATTCTTCTTTTACTATTATATTAACACTATGCATACGAAAGATTTTTTAGACGAATGTCAAGTGTTAATATAACCCGTAAATGTTTGGAACACTTGAAATCTAAATAAAAATATTCCAAAGGATTACAATAGTCTTAAAGAAATAGTTGTAGTTTTATAATTTTTATTGTCATCTATGCTCTCGGCAATAAGGAATACCCCATTGAAAAGTACGTGTGCCTTAAACGGGCACACTGCCGTGGCATTTGAAATAAACGTCAACTCAGGCGCGTCGATCGTACAAAAGTGTTAAAATAGGAGTTTACGTTGTGGAAAATATAGGAGAAACTCGCCGAAACTATAGCCACAAGGTAGGTGACTAACCGACTTTAAAAGCTTCAAACTATAGGCAACTCGCAATTACACATACTTACCCTTCGGCTGGAGTCGTTCACCCAGGACACACGCACACGGACGCGATGTCTGATATTAAGAAATTCCAAAACACTGAAGAATGGCGTCAGAAACTCCGTGAGTTTCTCATGACAGAACGGTAAATACGAAATTCAAACTCTTCCTTGGAATAGTGTTGCACTAGTGTTCGAAATTATAGATATTTGATGATCCAGCGTTGACAACCTTTTTGAATGCCTGCATGTCAAAAATGATATCAAAATAAATAGCATATACATATATTCAGTTGTGAATTTTTTTAAACTTGTAGTTAATACTTTCAGCTTGCCGAAAAAACCCGTAAAAATGGATGAATCGAAAGATATGCGATACAGTCTAGATATAGATGAGGATCTTAGGAGACCGCTGGAGTCCAGGATCAAAAAATTTCTTCCAACGAATACTTCCAATCAAAAAACTATCCATCTGGGCGAGGATACCATGTACGAGGTGGGCTCCTCGGAGTACTTGGAAGATGGCGATGACAGCTTCAGTGCCTTTCGAGCGAATGTGCGATAAGACGGGCTCCGACCCTGACAGCACACTGTTCCAGTACCTGCACAGCGAAGACCGAAGCCAGGTGATGGCCAGGGCCAAGGATCGCAGCACCGATGATCAGAAGGAGATTGATGCACTACGGCGAATGCTCGAGGCAGTGGGCACTGATGATGACTTACTAGAAAACGAGAGTCCCGTCAAGGGTGTGGAATGCACCCAGTTGGAAGATGTGGAGGCGCCATCCCGTTTCTGGGATAACACTCTAGCCGGGATCGATGAGTCTGCATCCTGGTTCGGGACTAGAATTGAAGGCTAAAGTGTCGCCAGTCAAAATGGTGGGCCTGCTCCGGCCTTCGACTATCATCGAGGACAACGAACTGGAATCGGATGTGTCTTCCCACACTAGCTTTCTAAGCGCTCGCACAGTGAAGACAAATGCTTCCAGTTGTTACGAAACGGCTACGGATAGTTCTTTAAGTGGCGCACTGCTAAACGTCGATGATCTGTTCTACGCAGCAATTGCCAAAGCAAAGCCTCCGGGAATGTCAAAAGGAGAAGAGCTGGAGCTTATAAGCGATCTTCATGGCAGTCTAAGGGAGTTGACTTCAATTGCAAAGGAGCAAGAGGAGGAGGAAGAACAGGTGGAGGACATAGAGGACACAATAATCGAGCTGTCCTCTTCTGACGAAGAGGACGTGCAGATTGTACCGGAAATAAAGCAAGAAGATACTTCTCGCGGTTCTTCAGTCGAAGTAAAAGATACCACTAATATCGAACCATCGGATGAGAGCTTTGAGAATAAAGAAAACTCCCTACATTTCAATGATACTATGGAGGAAATGCAGTATATGATGAAAAAGGGCATGGAGTATATGGCTGGTGGGGCTCCACCAAACACCGCAATCCCTCCTAAAAGCCCAGTGCAAAAACAAAACACTTTTTTGATTTCTCCCAAACAAACACCAAAATCGCCGTCGGTTGCTTTCTTGCAGCCATCATTGCCGTTGCGTTCATATAATAAGCCACTACCAGTTGTAGCATCCCCCAGCAAAATTAAACAGCCTCCCAAGTTCGACCTTAGCATGGAGTGGACCAGGAAGAAGTTTTTTACTGCATCCTCAGGCATTCCTCAACGTCGTCAACAGCAAATGAAGCAGCCCTACGCCAACATCGTTAGTCCCATTCGCACATACACCCAGAAATCTGGTACTGCTCCACTTATGAGTACATTTCGTCCAACCGGAACAGATGCTATGGCCATCAGTGAGCTGGATCAGGAATCCCGCTTGTGTCAGATGAATACGGTATCTACCGCAGAGACTGGAACACCTAAGGCGAAGGAAATGGTGGGGCTATTAAAAGGCATAGATTCTACTGGTCCTCTTCTTCCCAAAAGGCTTATCATATTTAGAATATTAATGCAAAATCGGTAGATCAAGCGAAACAATTCTTTTTAAAAATTACTGTTTTATTTATTTATAAATATGATAATATTAAGAAAACTGGAACTGCTTTGGCCATTTTAAATAAAGCTTTTTAATTAACAATTGATTTCATTTGACAGGTGGTGGATGAACGAACACCTGTGCCCATGCCCAAGGTACCTCGCATTCAGAAATACCTTAATTCGGCCGTGCAACCAACTGTCTTGCGCCATGATGGGAAAAAGAAAATGCCCGGCGAGGCCATCAGTAACCCGTGCTCAACACACATACCTCGGCGCGCTAACCACAGCTTGGCTGATTTGTCGCTCGCTTCCGGTGACGTGTCCTTGTACACGATTAGAGATGCCCAGAAGTTTTAAAGCTCTTAAGAAAAACTCACTCTCCTAGGGTTTATATTGCAACAATAATAATAAATGTATTGTATAATTAGTGCTAGTAAATGCCTTCGTTTTCGTTGTGTAAAGATATCAGGAACTCTAGGTTCGTGGCTGAAGACCTTTCCAGGCGCGATTGACCTTAGACTCGGAGGGCCTGCCCAGTTCGGTGCAAATATAGCGGCCCACTTGAATGAGTTTGTCCAGATTAACGCCCGTGTTAAGTCCCATGCCATGCAGCAAGTAGACGACATCCTCAGAGGCTGCGTTGCCAGAAGCTCCTTTAGCATAAGGGCATCCGCCCAAGCCAGATACCGAGGAATCCACTACTCGAATGTCGTAGTCGAGAGAGGCCAGTATGTTGCTCAGCGCCTGGCCGTAAGTGTCATGAAAGTGAACAGCCAAATTATTAGCCGGTACGGCCTTGGTCACCTCATCCAACATTCGACGTATAGTGCCCGGAGTTCCCACGCCGATAGTGTCGCCCAAGGAAATCTCATAGCAGCCCATTTGATGCAAGGCTTCTACAACTTTGACCACGGCACACGGCGCAACTGCTCCCTCATAAGGGCAGCCTACCACAGTAGATACATATCCTCGCACGCGCACTCCATGCTTTTCGGCTGCCCTCAGAACAGGCTTGAAACGTTCGATGGCTTCAGCAGCTGTGCAATTAACGTTTTTAAGTGAAAACGCATCGGATGCGGCTCCAAAGACTGCCACCTCTTCGGCTCCCGCTTCCAAGGCGCTCTCGAATCCCTTTAGATTGGGTGTAAGCACTGGATAGCTGATACCTGGCACCTTTTTGATTCCTTTAAGCACCTCCGCATTATCGCCCATCTGTGGAACCCATTTGGAGCTCACGAAACTTGTGGCCTCAATGGTCTGTAGTCCTGTCTCGGACAATTGATTGATTAGCTCGATTTTCGTGGATGCCGGAAGCAGTTTCGGCTCGTTCTGGAGTCCATCCCGTGGACCAACTTCAACAATTCGCACCTGGCAGCCGGCCTTTGTAACCGCCGTGCGCTGTTGATTTACGAAGAATTCGGTTTAACGGAAATACATTGTAAATATTTTTCATGAATTAACCTTTGTCGTTAGCCAAGCAAGTGTGCGAATTGAAGGAATTTTCATTGCAAAAAATTTGAAAGAAAATAATTGTTACGTATTTCTTCTTCTTCTTTCCTCTCAGCAGATAACAGCTGACAACTGTTGCGTTCGTATTGCGGTTCCATTTGTAGGAATAAGGTGTAGTCTAATCAATTTAAAAAGGGGTCTAAACTTATTGAAAAGGGATGAGTAGTGATTGAGAGCGTAATAATTATTATTTTTACAAGATTTGTTTAATAATTTATTGTAAATAAGCTCTTTGTAAAGATCAAGCTTAACATAAACCTATTGAGAGCACGTTTAAAAATTTGACACAACAAAGGGGGTTTCGTATAGTAAGCCTACGCCTATGCGTCCCATATGTTGTAAATATATGTATGTATGTATGTACATACCCTTAAATTTTTGAGACGCGTTTTTTGTAAACAGTAAAATAGTGTGCGGTGGTAACAGCAATATTTAATGGAACCAGTACCAATAGAAGATCAATCTCTGGAAGATGAGGATGTGTTTCACTTTGAGACAGAGCACTTGGCCCTACGAGGAAACCAGTGCTATGCCAACTTGTTGCGAACTATGGCCGTGCTGCAGGCCCAAAGGATTCGTGTCCATCAGCAAATCGATGAGCTGGAAGCCACCCGTAACGTCTACTTGGATAATCCTCAACTGATGCTGGACAAGTTACAGAACAACGAATCCATTATATCTGATAACTACATTAACACGGTTGTGCTGCCGGAGTTGCCAACTTTGAGCGCTAATGATGAAAGAGGTGGCTTAGATAAGACACTGGCGAAAGCCGCTTCGTGGTCGCAACAGACAGACGAGATTAGAGATAGGAGCAACGGTCGATCGGAAAACTTCAATCGCTTGTGGACCAACGAAGAGCAGCGCCGCTTGGAACAGCTGCTCATCCAATATCCTCCGGAGGAAGTGGAAATGCGGCGATTCGGTAAAATAGCCAAGGCTTTGGGCAACAGAACAGCCCAACAAGTGTTCAGCCGGGTCCAGAAGTACTTCCAAAAACTGCATGATGCTGGCATGCCGGTCCCCGGTCGTATACCCAAGCATCGCCGACCGGGCCTGAGTAAGCCGAAGGTTCATTTACGTAAGTCAACATTCTTTCCTGCTCAGAATATATCGCTTCAAATGCCGGAGGACGACATCGCATTGGACGATCTGCGTGTTCCATCGCCTGCTAACGATATGCTTCTTATGCCGGTATCCTCGCAAATCAAGATAGAAGCAAAAACTGAACACGATTATGTGGATGCCGATCTGGACGCAGAGTCCAAGCGAAAGCAGGAACTGCGTCTTAAGCTTCTGACAGCCATTCAGGAAGAGAAGCAGCAAGTCGAGAATGGCTACGGGCCCGATATGTTGGCGTCAAAGTGTGCCGAATGCGAGGAGTCGTCTGTGACCAGAACTCAATGGCGTTGCAATAGTTGTTACTGTCACCTAAATCTGTGCGGGGATTGCCTGGCCAGCCAGTTAATCGAGGGGCGCTTCGAACATTTGAGCCATGAAGTTATAGTCGACCAAGAGTGTTAATCGCAACCCAAATGCATCACAGGACTGAGCTTGAAAATCGTCAAGGTTTTAGATTTCGATCAAGCGGTATTAAGATGACTCTTTTCATGGCAGAAGTCCGGGAAACCATATTTCCAGATCTTTTAATTGCTTACCTTTACCTAGGGTATCAGAGGCCTAATACTTTTTTGAGTGGCATAATTTATTAAAATAGTAACCCATAAAAAGTAATATGGTGTAGGATCCATTTGGTTTTTGGGAGCTCATCCTTATATACTGATTATAACTTAAGGTAATACAAATAAATGCTTAAAATCCAAAATTAATTACGCGTTTGGGAAGCTGATTTCGGTAGGGATTGAAGGCGCTGGCGACGTTTAGCCTCGAACTCGGTAGCCAGCTGCCATGTTTCCTTGTCTAACGTCTCCTTCCCGCGGGCAATGCCCAGCAGCCGAGAAAGGACCAGTAATCCATGTAAATCGTCAGCATTACTTTTTACGTTTGCCTTCCGCATGTCAACAAAGTCCTGCTGGATCATTTCAGTGTGTTCCTCGCTGACGCTAAAGCTGCTAATCCGTGCTGTAGTTAAATACTTACGAAACTGCTGAAGGCGAGACGGTTTCAGGTAGTGATGGGCTGCCTTAAGAGATTCACTGTAAAGTTCGACGGCCTTAGCATCGGCATTAATGGGCATTACAAAGTCACTCTGAAAACATGAATATGTTAGTTTAAAATATGACTAAAAGCGCTAGTAAATATGTTAAAAATTCATAAAGATCCTACCGGTAACATACTTCGCCCTTCACTCAGAACAAGAACCGGAATATTTGCTTGGTAGTCTATTTGGTAATACTGGAAGTCGCACTTTAGCTCCTGGTTGTTGATCAGATGAGCCAAATGTTGGACGGCATAAACGCCATTCGCCTCCAGCTTTCCCTGTTGCATGCACGTCTCGTCGAGTATGAGATGCGTATGGGGCGCCAACTGTAGAATACCCGAGACCAGCTTGTTGGTCTCATAGTCCTTCCTGCAAGTAAAAATATTAAATCTCATTGACTTCACTTAAAAATGCAATCCCACTCACTTTGGAGCAAAGGCTGCCGTGTTTAACGTATCCAGAGTCATGGGCAGGTAATGGCTCGCAGGCAGTAGAAGCTCCAGAATTTCGTACAGCTTGGTTGAGAACTCCACACATTCCTTAGGCAGATTACATAGATTAAGGGCAAACTTTCCGATGCTCTGCATTTCGGAACGGCTGTATACCGTTGAAATTAAATGGGAGAGCATATACTCTGCAGCCAGATCGTCGTCAAACAAGCATAATTTGAGAAGCATGCGCAGATCCTTGTGCACTGCCAACTGTGATGGGTACGCCTCTTCACATTGCTCAATTGGCTGTCGCAGGCTTTTGTCTAGTAGCGGATTGGAGTGCGGCAGTATCTGGACGCCGAAGGCATGTAGCCGGGGTATGAGAAACGGCGATGGGTGAGTTGCCTGCAGTTCACTCAAGTTTTCACAATCATCTATCTCCAAGGTAGCTGCATCCAGCGAGGAGTCCACTGATAGGAAGCCAACAAAGTCGACTACAGAGTTAAGCTGATAGGTGTCGAAGTCTTCATAAACCTTTACCATGCAGGCCATGCTGGGTCGTCCAGGCAGGGGGGAATTAAGCAGGTACTCTGAGCCGAGAACGGTAGATTTTGTGTTACCCACCTTTTCCCCATCCGGCTGGATCTCCTTCATACATGGCCGTTTGAAGATGGTTTCGTCGGCTCCGTCTACCTCCATCGATTCTTGTTCGTCTAATGTGCGTTTTTTAGCAGAACTGGGGGATTGTGCAAGGTTGATCAACTCGATCTGCGGGCAACACTGTTTTTCATGTTCCCTGCTCCAATTATTTAAGCCCGGCACAGAAACCACGAACATGGTTCGTCTCTCCCCGTGTATGTTGCCCTCGGCATTATAGTCGATCTCCTCTCCGGTGGCCATCTTCAAGCAGTCCCTGTACTTTCCATCCTTTAGGTGTTGGCTGCCATCTGGAGACTTCACCTCATAGCGCTCCAGGTAAATCTCCGGGTCCATCATGTCCTGAATCATGCCGCGAAACCGCACTAAAGTCTGATCCTTCAGTTTGTGCATTGGCGTGTAGTTGAGAATTGGAATCGAGTGCCAGCGACTGGGATCCTTGAGCAGGTCCTTCAGCTCGGAGCTGCCACTATGCTGGGCAACTAGTTCATCGGGCGTTTTCGGCAGATCCATGGCACTGGGCATTATTCAGTCGAGTATAAGAAATTAAATTAAAATATTTATGAAGACTCAGGTAAAACACAACAGCTGCTTTGGCGCGCCAAAATCTGATACGCAGCATTTCGATTAATTCCATCTAAGTGCTTATCGATAGCTGGCAGGGCTTCCAAACCTCTGCTGCAGAACGGATGTAGAGGCGGATATGCACATCCGCAAAAAGTGTACAATTTGGGATTTATCAAGTCTGGAACCATGAGCAAGAAGAGCAATGTGTGGCAGTACTTCTACAAGACATCTGGCACAGTGGCCACTTGCCTTTTGTGCAACAGGAACTATTCGAGAAGAGGACGCGGCACCACTTGCCTTCGAAATCATCTGAAAAGCAAGCACCCACCAGAGTTCCTAGCTCTATCCGGGGACATAAAGTTCCTGGACCTGGTAAAAAGAGAGATCTCTATCGGTTCGCCACATCACCCCACAGCGCAATTGGAATTAAATTTGCATGTGAGTGGGTAATACTACATCAGTATTAATGTGTACATCAAAAGTGGTCCGATAGAAAGATACCCTGTAATGTGGGGATTACACCCAGACCAATACCATTACATTTTAAAATTTAGAAATTTAGAAGGTTATAAATGGACTTAGTCAAAATACATAAATCTCAATTAGTCGATCACAGTATTATTCTGAGAATGCGGATATAAAAATCCGCATGATGCTCTAAAGGACAAATGTTGCCAATTGCAGTAAAAGCTTTATGTAAAGTATAAGATAATATAAACATGCAACATTTGGAAACGCAACCTGGAAATCCTCTTTACATATAAATCTCTTCCAATTAATTATTTCTTTCTTTCATGAACCCCTTTAAAGGTACACCAATTGGAAATAGCTTCTTGTACTAGGATTTTAAACCAACTTAAATTAGTTTTAGATTCTATAAAAGATTTCGTTTTAAATGGGTTAAAATTCAACCCTGTTAGACTCCATACTCTATGATTAAAAAAAAAAAAAAATTTAAAATAAATGATTATAGGAAACTGATCCAGATCCTTTGGATACGGACGAAATTTCTTACAACCCGCGCTCTGATGAGAAGTTGGCCCTCATGCTATTGAACCACTCATTTGAGTTCATCGAAGAAAGCACATTCGTAAATTTTGTAAGGGTGCTTCAGCCAAGATTTCTGATTCAACCAAGGAGCTACTATGAGAATATACTATGCGAGGATATACACAGAAAAATGCAAGAGCACCTAAAAAAGCAGCTGAATCTTCTGGATGCCGTATCGTTATCTACAAGCCTTTACCAGGATCAAAATGGCGAAGGGCTTTTAAGTCTATCTTGTTCTGGAATCTCAGGAGATTTTCAGAGTGTCCGGCTAATGCTTAAATGCGAAGCCTTAAATTCTGAAAGCACTTCTAAAGTAGCTTGTTATATTCGGGATCTAATACCCAGTTCGACGATAGAGATTCCCAAGGAGAAGACGCATTGCATCATCAGGGATGAGATCACAGCTCTGCCAGGATCTCTGCCCGATTGTAGTGTACATCGCCTGCATATGTGCGTGAGGATTGCTTTGCAATCGAACGAATTGCTCCAGAATCTTTCATCCAAATGCAAGCAAATAGTTGACCATTTTGCTTCTTCTAAGATGGCCAATGATCATCTAAAATTCATACAAGAGATTCGCCTGACGCGAGATCCATGTAGACTTAAGCCTTTTGATCCTTTTCAATGGAATTCCACCTTCCACATGATGGCCAGCGTATTCAGAATGAAAGATGCCGTCTCCTTATATTGCGAGGAGTATAATCTGGTTCAAATATACCCTGATGAATGGATAGAGATTGATTTGTGCAATAAAGTTATGCAGCCTTGTGAGGAAACAATTAAGATTTGGAGCAATCCCTTAACGACAACATCATCAGTAATTCCATTAGTGGCCGCATTACGGGATTCTCTTCGAACAGATGTTCATAATTATGTTTCCTCAGTGGTAAGAATAGAATAATTAATAAAACGGATTTTTGTTAACCTTTAAAATTTATAGACTATTTGTAGTTTCGCCAGAAAGTTGCTTGAAGAACTGGAAATTAAATTTTCCCACGTCTTAAGCGATATGAAATTTTTGATGGCCACGTATTTGGATCCAAGATATAAGCAAGCATTTTTCACGGAGCGAGAGGAGCACTTGGTGGCCAATGAAATTTTGATTCTGCTCGGTAGAGCTCAAGAAGATCTCAACGGTCAACCGCCGTTAAAAATAATCAAAGTATCATCCACCTCCTCCCTTAAAAATGAATCAAAGATTGATAGTATACTAGATAGCATACTAACAACCGGATCCACCAACACGCAACATGCGACAACATCATTCGGTTCTCAGTCACAGATTAAGAATCTACTATATCTATATAACTCCGAACCTAGAATCGATAGAAATATGGATCCTTTAATGTGGTGGAAGACAAACATAAAATACAATTCTTTGTATTCCATTGTTAGGAAATTTCTATCAGCACCAGCATCTAGTGTTGCTAGTCAACGCTTATTCAGAGAATCTACACATTTGTATTTCGATATGCGAGCGGGTTTGAGCTCCGAAAATGCATCCAAAATGTTGTTGATAAAGTCTAATTTTAGCTTTAGCAATTCAGAGTTCAAGGAGTAGAAAAAATTTATAATTTAAACTTTATTTATGTACATAATATTGGCTTTAAACCTAAAACTACTTGATCTCCTGGAAAGAGATTTTGCACTTAAATCTACTTCATCTCTGAAAAGGAGGTTTTGCACTTTAGACAAATATGTTCTGATTGGATTCTAGCCCCTGTAATCGGGATCATTGTGTTCTTCATCGTCTTCCTCCTCCTCTTCTTCTTCATCTAAATTATAAAAATGTTTTTAGATTTGTTGATAAATAAAATACAAATTTTAAAATTCTTACCATGATCCCTACGTTTACGTGTATATGCTCGTTTGCTGGCAACTGGGGCTTGATCAGTTTCTCCATGTAACAAGGAATTGCGGTATAAGATTAGTGGCTGCCATTCCTCGGCTCGGCTGGACGGCATGGCGGGTGGGATGATCTTGTCAAGGAAGCTCATTATCACCTTTTTGTCTTGCTTAAGCAGCTTGTAGTTAAACTCGTTTAAAACCTCCAGGAATAGCAGACGTGTTGGTGCTCTTACCGGATCATCGGGCTCTTTGTTGGCAGCAAAGTAGATGCCACCCCGATGAATGGCGGCCACAGATTCGCGATTCTTGATAGCATCAAAGCCAAATGTGAGGGCAAATCGCTTGGCCAACTCCTTAAGGTCCACAAATTCTTGCGAGCTTTTTGAAACAATACCATCCTCACTCTGCTCTTGCAGACTCTTGAAAACCGTGATAAGGCTCAGAAGAAGGGTCATGGCAAAGTTTACTTTATTTATCTCACGGGCCTTTCCTAATGTCGCCTTAATAATATCCCCGTAATCGTTGTAGCACTGAAATGTTTACGATATAATAGTTGTAAATTAGTAGTATTATTATAATTTTACAGCTTTCATACTCACCTTAACATAATATTTAAAGATGCTCGCCGCCCGCATTGTTGGTATTATATTATAAACTACCAACTTGCAGTAACATGCCAAAAAGTTACGTTTCTTATGTAGTTCCTCGATTCGTGTCTCATCTTGTGCAACGTCTTGTTTAAGGGAGAACACATAGTGCTGCACAAAGTTGTCCAAGATGAGGTGCTCATCCATTCGCGACTTGTACTCCAAACCTCGAATGTGTTCGATCTCACTTCGAGCTAACTTATCGGAGAATATTATAAGCATATCGCAAATGGACTGGTATGCCTGCAAATCACAATAATTGAAATAATTAATGAAAACAAAATTATATTTTATAACGAACTGCTTCTTGAATCTGCACTGTAGGTCCATCGCGAGTTAGTTCAAAGCAGGCTCCCATAAAGGCATCCAAATTCTTGCGCAACTCAGCCACCAACTCGCCAACGTTGACTGTCTCGCATTCGTTCTCTACATAGTGAAGTCCCCATGTAATAGAAAAATAGCATGCCTCTATACAATAGGCTAAAGCTTCGTTGGGCAGGCAGCGCTCAACATTTTCTTTGGACTGAGCCTCCTCGACGTCCTGAAAAAGGGACTTAAACAGATCCCAGGGGTTGAGATTGTGCGAGGAGTACAAGATAGAAAGGACTTTGAGAGTGATGGTTATGTTGTAGATGTCATCCTCATTAGGGGTCTCCTCGCCTGTAAATAAGGTACAAAAATACATTTTTATTCACAGATTTTTGTAAGAGTATAAGTACCTTGTATGAGGTTGCGCCACTCCTCGATAGCGTCCTTGTACTTGTTCACTGAGCTCTCTATGATATTGGATCTAGCAATATTGCATCTGGTGTAGGTGGCACTTCCCTCGGCGCAAAGGCATTCAAGAGTTTTTGCGCACGTTTCCAGAACCTCGCGTCCTGTGTGCATGCTCATCACCTGGTCGATTCGGTCTAACAGGGCCTGCAGATTGCTTTCTTGTCTGTTGGTGGTGTACAAATTGAGATCGAAGTACTGGGGAACTGCAAGAAGGTTCGCCAACTTCTCGCTGTCTGCCTGATACTTCTCTAGCAATGACGGCAAAGTGACTATAAAGTGTTCGGTCAGTTTGGCTTTCTCATCTTGAATAGCTTTTAATTCCTTGGCACTAAGCGTACATTTGCGATTGCTAGCTCTCCCAACTGGAACTTCTCCAGTGGCTGATTGCTTAACGCTGCTGACCATGATCTCGATAAGCGTTGATTCCTGCTTGTTGTCAAGAAGCTCTTCATTGGGACCAGGCTCTTCCAGGAGTAGATCTGTCATACACTCCCAATCCCTTACCATATCATTGCTATCGATAAAGGAGTCTACTAGATATGCGCCATGTTCGTGTAGCTCGGATTCGATAAAAAACTGCACCAAGTCCCGAACCAGCGGTGTATTGGGCATTCGCAATTTGCCACGTTTGGTTTTGGTCTCTTCCATGTCAGCAGTTAAATGAAACAGGCGGACGTTTAAAAACTCTGCTGCAGCCTGTGCCACCCCGCGATGAGAGGAATAAACCAACTCGTATACTATTTCACAATCCTTGTCTGCCAAAATCTCTGGGTGGATCCTAGAAAAAAAGGAGCTAGTTAATTTCGAATTTTTATTAGATTGCCCTAGTTAATATGCCTCATGATCACAGAAAGTTTATATCCAGTTGTTAGATTTGTACAAATACATACATAATTATTCTGCCAAAAAATTTAACTTACTTTAGAATACTGATCACCAGTTTCACAGCATGTACGGAGACTTCAAACTCCTTGTCTAGGGTCATGGCCACAATCCTGTCCTTAAATTTGGACGTGAACAACTCGAGTTTTCCCTTGAGCTCATCCTTCTCGTATAGAGGAAGCAGGGATTGCAGGCAGCGCAGACGCACTTCTCCGATCTTGTCGTGGAGTGTCCAACCAATATACTTTAAGTACGAGTCGTCAAGAAAGTTTTGCGGATAGTTTTCCATCCAGATACCAATCTCTGCCATACAAATGGCCCGTATATCTGGCAGACTATCCCTGTATCGGTGGACAAACACAGACTTAAACATGTATGTCAACATGCTCTTAATCTCATCCATATTCTCTTCCAATTCAGACCGTTTAGTCATAAGTGAGTCCAAACGGTCGGAGGCGCGGCGATCGCGGGACTAAAATAATTTTAGATTATGAATACAATTTTACTAATTATCACGAAACCCACCTTCACGCGTTCAGCTTCGAATTGCTTCGCAGCATTGTCGAAGTTATTCGAAACCAGCAAAGCCACATCCACCAAAGCAGTCATAAGCTTCATGGCCGCCAATGTGGCTGTATGTCGAAAGGCTCGCACTTGCGAGTCCGAGAGTCCAGTCAGCAAGGAAATGACGTTGTCCATCAGGAATTGGTCGTAGATAATGGAGTACTGGCACTGCTTCACTAACGTTTGTACAAAATCGCAGAAATTATTTTTGAACTTTCGCCACTGAGTTCCGGTCATGATCAAGGGATATTCTCCGCTTTCCTATAATATTCAACAGTTTGAAAAATAGATCTTTGGACATATGCGATGTAATTTACCTCGTCAAACTCTTCGGTCATACGTCGGATAATAGCTGTGTGATCTACTGGATATTGTATATCCTCGGATATCTTTCCCTTGCAGCCGCTGGCATTTATAAAGAATTGCATCAATGCGACCAGCGCCGTTTCTCTGTTTGCTTTGTACTGTTCAATCCACTGATCAACAATGCTCTGAAATGGAAGTCTCGATTATAATACGTTTCATTGCAGACCAAAAAGATTTCCTACGGCAATGGGATTCTTGGAGTGCCGGACAATGTAGTACAAACTGTTCTCGTCTGTGGTTATCTCCCTTTCGTTGTCGATCCGTTCGTTGTGTCCCTTGTCCACGGGCTCCTTGCGCGGCCGTTCAACGCGTTCCTTACGTTCTGTTGGTCCCTTGCGGGTGGCTGGAGTCTTACGTTTGCGCGCAATTGGCGCGTAGAAGTCGTCCTCGTCATCATCAATTATGGGGGGTTTGTCCCGTACGCCACCTCTAGCCCGCAGCCGGGTCATCCTCTTGGTGGGACTGTCCGCATCTGAAGTGCTCTCGTTTAGCGCATCGCTGGACAACAAAATACACATTTTTTAGAAATTCACAAATGGTGGGAAAACATAGCGCTGTACCTGTGCAACTCATCGTATTCCGGAGGCGGATCATCCATCCGTATGCGCTTTCCCCCGCGACGCGCCATCATTTTAAGTATTTAATATAGGGGGTAACTGGTTGCAAAACATTTAGTTTTTAAAAAACAAACAATACAATTTCACTCAAAACTCGTCGCGTCCGATTATAACAAGTACTAACCCACAGTACGCAGAGAAATGTATCGATAGACGCAGTCGACGACGAGGGCTACAGCTTACGTAAAATTACTCATTTTTATTTTGAAACAATACTATTTATAAATATATTTAAGAAAATTATATAAGGTAATATTTATATATTTAACTTGAGTTTGATTATATAAATTATGTTGTAACCAGAAAATAGGTGTGCAGCCCTGCAAAATATTTATATATCGATAACAGCGGCTTGAAGAAAGAGGAAGAAACAAAACAAAACATTTTTAGTTTAATAAAATAAACAAATTGAAAACAAAATATGACTGAATTTGGAGGAGATTCAGGTGGCCGGCTAAAAGGCGTGACTATCGTCAAGCCAATAGTATATGGAAACGTAGCCCGATCCTTCGGCAAGAAACGTGAAGAGGACGGGCACACGCATCAGTGGAAGGTCTATCTGAAGCCATATTTCAACGAAGATATGTCCATTTATGTAAAAAAGGTGCATTTTAAACTTCACGAGAGTTACGCCAATCCAAATAGAATCGTGGTTAAGCCTCCATATGAAATAACGGAGACCGGTTGGGGCGAATTTGAGGTAATCATCAAGATTTACTTCAACGATCAGTCGGAGCGGCCTGTTACTTGCTACCATATCCTAAAGCTCTTCCAATCGCCCGTCGTCGATGGCGAGCTGAACTCCAGCACCACTATGGACACCAAGAAGGGGCTGGTCTCGGAGTCGTACGAGGAAATCGTGTTCCAAGAGCCCACCCAGATCATGCAGCATTATCTCATGCTTTCGGAGCAAAGCGCCAATGGTCTGTCAACACATGACACTGACTGTAACTATATTCCACTAACTATTCTCGAACGGCTTAACGTAATCTTAACTTTTGTAGTTGAGGAAAAGAAAACGAAAACGCTGGACAACATTGTGAATGTAAAACAGAAGGTGAAGGGGGAGATCGTTACACTAAAGGATAAACTAAAGCTAGCCCGCGAGACCATATCAAAATTCAAGACCGGAATTGGCTAAGGTGCAAAAGCAGCCTGCGTAATATATGCATTCAATTTCGATTAAGTGAAATGGTTTTAAGTATCTATGTGTAAAATATTAAATATAGTCTTAAAAAAATATTACATTTTTGATATGATATACTGGAAGGTTTAAATCGCGCTTGTCGGAACTTAACTTTATATTTAAAATCACATTGCAGTTTACATATGTATGTATATCGATGGCTATCGGCGTGAAAAGCGTTGTCTTACAGCTCTGATCAGCTGAAGGCAGAGTTGTTTATTTATTAAAAACACATTCTATTTTGTTTTTAATAACGTATTTTCAGAGATGATGAGCATTGTTGACTTAAATAATCGGTGCCTGCTGTAAGAACCGAAGCCTTATTCAACAATACCCAAATATTACTTTTACCAATCTTCCTTAAAGTAAAATTGTAGAGCACCTTGACCTGGAAGAACAACTGATTCTATGGGATGCTACCGAATTTATGTCCCGCCTGAACAATGTTATTTCAAGCTGCTGGCACAGTCGAACCCAACACTTCTTGCATGGGAAATTATTTCTTACTAAGGATCCACTTCTTCATGAATTCCTGAATTGCATTAGTTCTACTGTGATGAAGCTGTCCATAGAAGACTTTTCCATAGATCAGATGTCTGCTTTCCGGAGTCACAGATTTCCCAAGCTCCGGGAACTTTCCTATTTGAAGATGGAATCCTATGTCGACGATATAGAGATTTTGGTAATTTGCTTTCCTTTAATAGAATCCTTCACAGCGAGAGTTAAAGACAAGTATCAAACCTTTGAACTACTCTCTGGGTATCACGTGACCAGATGGAATCACCTAATCAAATTAGATATCGTGGGTGTTTCTAGACAATGGAAAACAAAATATTTTAAGGAAATATGCGAAAAACTTCCGCTGCGTTTTCTAAGTGTGACGTGGATAGACTCCGAGGAAGATGCCTATGTGGAGGCCATATCTAAATTGCATGAACTGGAGGAACTATATTTGGAATTAGATCTACTTAGCATGGAAAATACAAGCAAGCTTTTGGCGCTGCCAAAATTGCGAAAACTCCGATTTGATGAATTTGAAGATGTAGAAGTCTTACTCGAGGACATTGTGAAAGCCCGAGGACAGGATATTGTTGGACTTACGTGCAACGAGAACTTTTGGCTTTGGGTATCCCATTGCAGATTTCAAAATGTGAGAAAACTGACCATCATAAATGAAGGAGTAGTGGAGGGAATGTGGTGCGCAGAAAGCTTTAATGACACTCTCGGAGATTTTCCTCAGTTAACAGAATTGTATTTGATAGACATCAGCGTTTGGGCTGGGGATTCATTTTGGGAGATGATACGTTCCTGTCCACAGCTACAACTCATATATTTACAGAATCACGAGATAACCGATGGATTTCTGGAATTCAATGCATCGTCTATGGGCAAAGCTTTATGCCACCGACAAGAGCCTTTAACGATACATTTTTCGAGTCTTGAAAATAATCATAAAAATTTGGTTCGTAAATACAATAAATTCACTTAAATTATAATAATTAGTATATTCCTCAGATTGTTCAGGTTCTAAATCATCCTAAAGTGAAGCTTTCCTTTGAAGTCATTAAGGATGCTTATCCCATTTTGGTCGGCGGACTTATAGAATTGGAATTTACCCCTTTAATGACGTAAAATCTGTCCAACCACTAAGCACGATGCAATTTAGAACGGCGAAAGCTATAAAAACATTCGTACATTTCATATATATTTTTTTATTAAGTATACCAATTTGATGTTTTACGATAAAAAATAATATTCTTCAATGCAATATTCTTCAAGTCATAATTGTTTTTATGCAGGTGTTAAGTCCCACGAAGGTTTCAAATTATTTTCTTTTTAATGCAAATGAAAATCTTGAACATCCCAGGGCCACAGAGAGTCCCTCCAAAAAAAACAGTAAAATAGCCAGCTTCATTTCTTTTTCGTGAATGGATTTTGACTTCAACCGCATTGACTTTTGAGGCCTTTCATCGATGATCGTTACTAATAACATTAGCTTGGAACGCTCATGGCCTAATTCGCTGTTACAAATAATATTGATAAAGAATTTAGAACACTGACATATTTATACATCATTACAACATTAACTAGGTTTGACCTTTTCGCTTTTTTAAAAACTTTTTTGAATTGATTGAATACTTACCTTGCTTTTGACACCATTTGACACTAACTTTTTTCTTGCAGTGTAATTACCGAGATTCTGAATCGTCTGATGGTTGTGGACAATAGTTTGCATTTATATGTACATATGATACCTTAATGAGATATTTTTTGTGGATATAATGGAACATAATACGGCTGTTTACAAAAACTTAACCGTATTTAGTTCAACATTGCTGAAGCGCACTGTAGCGCGATGAACCGATGAATTGGAAACCATTGAGTTCCACCTGGTTCGCCGGTGAGCGAATCAATGCAAGTGAACCAGCGTCGCGGTTCCGATTCCAGTTCCAGCATCCCCACGGAATAATAAATGCCATTGTTTATTTGACTTGTTGAGTGCATGTGCTTGTCCGGTGGCTTCGGGGCCCGATCGAAGCCCGAATTAAAGATACAATGATTTTATGGACCTGGATCGTTAACATGTAATGTGCATAAATAATTTAGACCCACGAATCCACGCACACACACAGACATACATATATAAGCCATAAGTGATGCGCGATAGCCGAGAGTGAAAATTATTAACTGCGCAAACGCAAACGCGTTTTCTTCACCTAGAACCACTTGAAATCCCTATAACAAAGGTGAGATAAAAGCGTTACGAATGTTTTTAGCTGTCCAATTTACGGATATTTTGGGGGTAAACCCCTCAATTCACAGCAGCCCCCCTCCAATGACGCTGCTCACATCCTCGCTGCTGCTCTTTTCGCTGCTGACGTCGCGGTTCGAAGCAATTCCGGTTTTGGAGAAGTCCCCCGCCCATCCTGCTCATTCCGGTCACCCCGCACATCCCTCACCTGGCGTGCGAATTCTTCGCGCACCCGAATCTTTGGTGGCTCCCCTGGGAGACGAGGTGGTGCTAGAGTGCGAGACCAGTTTACAACCAGAGCGCTTCGACTGGAGCCACCGGTCCAGCAAATCTCCAGGATCCGCGTTCAAGTACCTCAGAACAGGCACGGCCAAGGCGAATGTCTCCCAGGAGGCGGCCATCTCGCGGCTGAGGGTGCTCGTCCGACCAGACACTTTTGGAGAGTACAGATGTATTGGCTCGTTTGGCCCATTGGTGGTCACCTCCACCACAGCCCGGTTGGAGCTGGCTAGCACAAGTATTAAGGGAAGTCAGGAATCGGAGTCACCCCTTCAATGGCGAGTGGAAGCTGGGAATTCTGTACTGTGGTCTTGCGGACAGCAGGTGCAATCTAATCCATCGGCCAGTTGGTCTTATTATCGAAATGGAGTAGAGATCAAACCAGAACTCGTCGGAACAAATGGAAATCTCTTTCTGAGCAATGTATCGTCTGAGTCCTCGGGCACTTACTCATGCCAAGCCACAAATCCCGCCTCTGGTGAGAGAATCCAGCTTACCGGGTCACTGCATCTGCAGGTTACACCAAATCAGAAGTCCCACAGTAAAGCTCCGCATTTGCTTAAAGGACAGCCAACTGCCCAAGAAATAACCATCCGCGAAGGAAGTTCGTTGATGCTGTTATGCCCTGGGATTGGCTCTCCACCGCCAACTGTGGTCTGGAGCAGTCCTGATGTTGTGGGAGCAGTTAAAAACAAGCGTTCAAAAGTTTTTGGACATGCTTTAGAGATATCCAACATTCGGGCCCATGATGCTGGGACATATATATGCTTCCAAGATAACGGAGTGCGTCCTGCGCTGGAACACTACATACAGTTGCGCGTGGAGCAACCTCCTAAGATTGTTCGGCCACCCTGGGCAGATCTTACCAACGAAGGCGAACGATTACAGCTGGAGTGCGAGGCAACCGGAGTACCTAAGCCAGAGATCTACTGGCTGATCAACGGTCACAGCAGCCTTGATGATACGGAGGCTGAACTGTCCAACAATGCCCTGATATTGCATAGCGTCTTAAAGCGCCACGCCGGCTATGTCCAGTGCTTTGCTCGGAATAGTCTAGGCGAGCACAGTGCGGGCACCCTGCTTCAAGTTAATCCAAAGCAAATTCAGGAACCGCGTGAATCTGGAGGAACCCACCGTCCGAAGCCCAACCAGGGAACCAAACAGAAACAGATGTATCCACCGTCTCCCCTAATGTGACCCGACTGACCGATGAATCCGTGATGCTCCGCTGGATGGTGCCCCGAAACGATGGGCTGCCAATTGTTATTTTCAAGGTGCAGTATCGAATGGTTGGCAAGCGCAAAAACTGGCAAACCACCAACGATAATATACCCTACGGAAAGCCTAAATGGAACTCCGAGCTGGGCAAGAGTTTTACAGCCTCGGTAACGGACCTTAAGCCTCAGCATACCTACCGCTTTCGGATCCTGGCCGTTTACTCCAACAACGACAATAAGGAGAGTAATACATCGGCTAAATTTTACCTCCAGCCAGGAGCAGAATTGGAACCGATGCCAGTGCCGAGGCTGTTGGAGATTGAGGAATACTCGGAAACGGCGGTGGTGCTGCACTGGAGTTTGGCTAGTGATGCAGATGAACGTCTGATCACAGGTTACTATGCCTATTATCGCCCATCGTCTTCGGCTGGCGAATATTTTAAGGCTACCATTGAAGGAGCGCAGGCGAGGAGCTTTAAAATCGCCCCCCTGGAGACCGCAACGTTCTACGAGTTCAAGCTGCAATCCTTTAGTGCAGTCTCCGCATCGGAATTTAGTGCCCTGAAACAAGGACGCACCCAGCGTCCCAAAACTAGCACCACGGAGGAGCCTATCCAGCAGATGGGCGACCGAGATACGACCACTCCCAGTCATAATGAGACCTTTAACATGAGTCCCATGCTGACGGGCACAATTGGAGGCGGAGCAGTTCTTATTCTGCTTCTGATCAGCACTTGTTTGTGCGTCTGCCGACGACGGAGTTCCCGTGGCAGAGGAAACAATCCAAACAAGCCACGAATGGCGGAGCTAAGAGACGACTTCGTGCCCCTGGGAAACTGTTCGCCCACCAAACAGCGTCAGAGAACCCGACACATACATATCACCTTGAATCCGTTGGCTCAACAGCAGCAGCAGGCGATGGAGGAGAAAAACGAAACCGACCAGGATTCGACTTACTATCAGCGGCAGTCAAGCTACGACTACGATCCGGGTCAGAGGAGGATGTCCTCCTCATCACTACGTCGCTCACAACGCACGCTGGAACGTGCTGGTGGCAGTAATGGCTCCAACAACGGCAACAATAACAATCTAAACCAATCCGCAGAGACGGGTCCAGTCGAAAATTCCGGAAAGCCCGGTCGAGTACTAATGAAGCGTCCTCGGTTGTCCAGTCGCTCCGAGAACCTCTCTTCCGGCAGCCTCAACAGTGTGGGCGTTTAATCGCAATCTCGTGATCTTTAGTCCGTACATCCCTACGCCCGATGTATTATGCTATTCCTCTACCTCTGTTTTATCTACAACTTTGAATGACAAAACCTTTGCTGATTGTACTTATACGAATATCACCTAGAGTTAAGGTACTTAAATAGACATTACTAGATTTATGCATGCATGATCGTTTAAGAACATAGCATTATGTCCATTTTATTGTAAGTCTTCCATGTTTCGCGATAAGATCAAAATCTGTACTGATAGCTTCTAAATGACCTTTACAAAAATGACAATAAAGCTTGTAGCTTCATCTTTTGACTATCCGAATTTTTTAACATAAAAATCAATCTGCAGGTAACGCATAAATTTTATTTGTTTTAATGGTAACACAATTCGAAGCACATATCGTTTATATTTATACAACTAGATTAAAAAAATAGTTTTTTTTTTAAATTTAACTTTTTAAAAATTATTAAATTTAAAACTCCTTTAAAAATACGAATTTTTAAAATCTTGACTTATAACGTAGTACACCTTGACACACCAGTATATTTAGCTTGGCTAATTAAAGTTAAAATACAAAATTTGCTTTGCTTAGCATATAATAAAGTTATTTAAAAACTAAGGAAACATTTAAAAAAGCAACATTAAATTTTAATTTTTTGGAGTTTGGTATATTTACGGTACATTGGGTAGTCAACCAGTATATTTACGCGTTCAATGGTGTGGCGTTAGGGATTTATGCGACTACAGAGGCGTTTGGGATTTATTAAGCTGTCAGCTAATAATTGGGTCGTCGTCAAAATTTCTATTAGTATTGTTTTTGCATATTTTGGCTGAAAACCCCAAATGACGCGATTACGCTGAATACCAAGCTTCTCTAAACCCGCAAAGAACGTAAGCCCCCGTACGCAGGCCTTATGAAGTCCACAAATGTTAGTGTTTCCATTGTTTTGCAGTGCCATCAGCAGAGGGCCTGGCCCCAAATAAAAAAGAAATCCGAAAATCGCAACTGGACTGGGCAGAATGTCGAACCTTTCAGTGGGCCAGATGATAATGGACGCGCAGCGCATGGCTAGCCGGGTCAAGGATCTGGACGCCCTGGGCACGGCACTCCTCGAGGAGGCTGAGACCAACAATCGGCTGGTGGAAAGCCTCCGACAGTATCAGGACGACATCGAATCACTTAACCGCATCTCGAACAACAAGACAAACGCGGACATGGTAAATCGCATTCAGCAGCAAAACATCAACAGCTCGGAGATCCTCAAGGAGAACCGTGAGCTCAAGATCTGCATCGAGGACTACGAGCGGGTCATGGAGCTGATGATGCAAAAGTATCGCGAACACACCGTCTCTAAGGTGCTAGATAGCAAATTCAGCTTCAAGGAGCTGTACAACGAGCGCATGTGGCAGGTCATCCGGGAGCAGCGGGAAAAGATCAACGAAATGGCCGCCGTGATGCAGCGGGCGGCCAGTATAGACGACGGCGTTGTTCAGCGGGAGTTACAGACTATCTCTCAGCTGCGCCTTGAAAATGAAACGCTGCGCGAGTTGCTCCAGATCTCAAAGCAGTATGGATCCTCCCAGCGCCCTATCCGGGAAAGCGACCACCTACTGGAGGAAAAGGCAGTACAGACGGATAGCATAGCGGACGACTCTGCCGACGACCTGTCCATATCGGGCGCCTCAGTGGAGAACATGAACAACAACTCGGTCATCCAAATGTACAGTAGTCCGGAACAGCCGACGAAGGCCGCCGTCGTTTCTAACTCACTAATCACTGCCCCAGTTCAAAATCAAAGTGACACACAAGCAGCTATTGAGACGCTGGAATCGGCGGCGCCGGTTGTGCAGGCGGTGGCAAACGATAACAATAATGGACCTGCAGTCAACCCAATAAGTGCGCCACTACCAGCGACGACGTTAATTGAATCTGGTGAGGATCAGGCGATTTTACCGCCCACAACATGATAGGCGGTGGTGCGCCAAATAGTTTATGCATTTGGTTTTCATTTTAATCGCCGCGCTGTTTTATCATATTTACTCACCCACTCACAAAACAGCCCGCATACGAAGAGGGCCAACATAAGTTGCATTAGGTCTTAGCGATGGATAATATCTAAGTAATTTATACATAATATCCATTACAGCATAGTGTCCATACACATACATTGTAAACAATGAAGTTCATAATTTAAAACGAGGTAAACCCTCACACACAAATGTAATGTACAATGTACTCTGTCGATTTTATGATTTCTAAATAAATTCCATAACAAATCGAGGATTAACCAAAAATTTGTGGATTTTTATTATATATATATATGTTAACTTATAAAATAACAACTGTATTTGAATTTAATTTATTTTACGATTTTCGATTTACTATTACCAAAAGCTATTAATTTTTAAGTTATTTATTTAATATTAATTACATTTTTGTTTGGAATAAAAAAGATGTTCATTTTAGGCCAATTTAAGTAATTTTTAGTAAGTAACGAGAAATGGCTTAATTATTAGAGAATTGAGTTATTTAATTTCCAAAAATCATAAATTATTTAAAAGTAAACCTTTAACTTTGTTTATCTTGGTAATCTCCCATTTTTAAATTTGTATTTAATTTTTAATACTTTTGGTGTTTTATTTTTTATGACATTATATATTTGAGAGAAAATATTAAAGATAATTTAAAAGTTTATATTATGTTAAAGCAAATATATCTAAAACTCTTTTGAATGAATTTCTTAACTTTAAATATTTACATTATTAATGACAGATAAATAAAAACTCCTGCTGGTTTAAATGCCGAGATTTTCAAAAATTTTCGAATAAACCTTAAGCGATTCTCTCTGACGAAATCAGTGCTCTTCAGGGAAATACTTTACCTCGTACGACTGCTAGTTTAAGCTTTCCGAAATAATTTAAATTTAGTTTCTCGTCGATTTCCAACGCGTTCGCAACCGAAAAACAGTGCCAAGGAACAGCGCCCGGTTCGCATGGCAGCTATCTATATGAGTATTTCGAGTGCTCGGCCAATCGACGGTTATATTAAAGCTATATAAATATATATGCGCGGACCTATGTGCGTGAATGTGTTTTAAGTAAAAAATCAAATTTGGAAACGTTGCATTGTAGCATGGATCGTATTGGAGATATTATAAACAAATATTTTGAAATCAGAAAAAAGAAAAGCAATTGATCTAAAGTTATTTCCAAAGAGTCTTGCATTTGAAAACGGCTGGGAAGATTTATGGGTAGTGCGCTGCCGTTTAGCAAGAAGAAACTATGCTATTTATAAAACACAGCTAATTTCTGTGGCCGTAAATGTTTTGTATAAAGTGAATATTCCAAAATTAAATCAAACAAATTGTGAGCGAGGCAATAGCTCATTTGTGTCTGTTTGTGAGCTGTGTGAAGTTTGTGAAAGGATACGGCGACAAAGATCCCTCGGAGCCTATATCTATGGTGTAATCGGCAAGTGAATGTGGCTAAATAATCTAAAAGCAAGACGCACAGAATCCCGGCGGTTACGCAACTCAGCTGAAAGATTCACATCCAAAGGCTGGCCCCATTCCCCGTCGTCCAGCCGCGAAATATTCTAAATGCGGAAGTATTTCGTGTGAGTCGACTGCGTTCTAAATTAAGTCACACATTTTTCAAGTACCGCCGCCGAAAAACAGAACGCTTCAGATGAAAATAGGTTAAAACGGTGATAATTATTTATAAACGCACTAGGGATTTGCAACCGTCACGAAAGAGATTCAAGAGAAAGGGGTGATGAAAGCTCCTAGCATTTCTCTTCCGATACCTCTTTCGCATGATTTTTAATTTTTGCCAAAAAACATGCGCAAGCGGTAGCAATTCGCCTGCGCAACTTCCACCTGTACTAGATTATTTCATTCTCTTTCACGATCGCTCTATAGATATTCAATGGATATAGATGGATACATATTTGTTATTGTTTATATTTACCATTTCTACTCGGATGTTTACTGTTAGTAAGCAAGGCATTCCATGATATTACATGTATTTAAAAAATTTTGAAAGTTAGCAGTAACTCGTTTTTTTTTTTAAGAAGCCTTAATGGTAATGCTAATTTTATAGTTGCTAATATTTTCGCAAAGCTTTAACAAATCACAAAAAAATTTTCAACAATTTTTGTTTTTTTTTTCAACCGAAAAATCTTTTAAAAAAATATACGAAATTGAATATCCTGTTCAAGAAACCAGAACCAGCTTCGAGTATTTATAAATTTTTGTTACTTACTTTTAACATATATATATATTAAATATTTAATGGATTTTTGATCTTGTGTCTTTAAAATTTTCCTCTTGAGTTGATTTTAGTTTTTTTATCAAGCCTGTAAATAAAAATAACTTGTGATTTACAACAAGCCAGAAAAAACAAAGTGGAAAATATAATTTGAGAGAAATTTTACAAGATGGCTCTAGCACTGTAGATTCAGTAAAAAAAAAACAAGAACCGACTATCTAATACCCGTTACTCTGTTAACCAATTTCAAAATAATTATGAGGTATACGGACGTAATCTGTTGCTAAAACTAAATAAGGCTTGTTTATTAGTGACGATGATTTTAGATGGAACATGAATTTGTGTTCAGATATTTTAATTATAAAAAGTCAAACATGGCTATCGCGGCTCTTATGATTATTTGATATTTCAGTTAGATTTTTTACTTTTAATCGTATTATGCCTTTCAGGAACCCTATCTAAACTATGTATATAAAATGTATCTATAAATAGAGATTTAGAGTATTTAAATACTTTATACAGAATACCTCTATGTATTATATTAATATAATGTTCAATAGCAATTTAATTAGTGTTTGAACATGCCAAAGAAAAGGTTTTTGATGATATTCATAGCCATGTTTTTAAAAGTTAATCAAATATGCTTGTGGAGCAATATCGAAACTCAATATTGACGTTCGAATCTAAGGCATTGATCTACATCTGCCTCAACAAGTACAAATGCAAATACAACATCCGTTGACACTATCTATTAAATAGCAGCAATGCAATTTAGAACTAATGGCAACTGAATGATAACAAACACACTTTGGCTGAAAATGTTTTACTATTCGTACGTGTTACTATTGTACGTCTACAAAATTCTTTTGTTAACTTGGATCTTGGCCAAAAATTCCACAGTTCTGCACAGTCAATTGGGAATGTTGATCGTGCGAATAATGCTTAAAAAGATGCCAACGTACATTTAGAAAATAAATGGTGCTGCTTTTTAAGCCTGCTTTAAAAATTAAACTTGCTAATAAATATAACTTTTTCTTTTAGCTTGCCTTTGAATTTTTAAAGTTTTCTTAAAAATCTTAATACAAGTTTTAAATCTAGTTTTTCATGCTGAGTTTAAAATATAAGCTTCTTATATCATAGTCGTTAAGCTTATCTATAAACACATTATATAAATTACCTGTTTATACAACTATGTTTAGATTTAAGATATCAAAAGGGAATGTAGTAGGAATGTAGTAATTGGTTTCTTCGTAAAAATGAACATCATTAAATTAGTTAAATTTGGTTACCTAAGACCTACAACCTCTAATTACTTTTAAAAGAAAAGCCTTTCCAATAAATTGCTAAAAGTAGAAAAAGTTAAGTAAAGCATAATTTCTTACACCTAACATCAAAATCAATAAAATTTTTTTTAAGCGCACTTATTGTCCTAAACATATCTCCTAAAATCTATAAATATAATAATATACATGTTTGATTTCAGAAAAAGAAAAGCTGATAAGTTGTACGAGAACAGATGCATCATCTGTACCCATCGCTGAAAGGCGATCAACTCTGCCCCCTTGGCTTCCATCCCCAGACTAGATATCCCACACGATGTAAGCGCTGCTTCCGGGATTACAAGGAGCATGGAGCACGAAGAGCCGGCGATGAGGTGGCTGCCTCATCGCCCAATCTCTCCGATGCCCAGAGCTCGAGGTAAGTTTTTCGTAGAATTAATCCAATCAGACCAAAAATAAAACCTTTTTGCTAGACCATCTTCGCGAACGTGGACATCAACTCAGAATCTTACCAGTGCGAATGCAACTAACGGGAATGATATAGGTATGAATAATATTATAAGCCATTGAGTTTAACTAGAACGCCGTTAAAAAGTAGATCATTTTTATGTGTTTTTTTAATGTTCTATGTTAGAAGCTAACTCAACTCTTTTATATGACTTGAGTGTTTTTACAAAAAGATCAAAGTAAAGGTTTAGATAATTTTAAATCCATTGAGCTGCGTTTATCTGAAGCTTTATTTATGTAATAGTATTCTTTTACTTGCTGGCCTAACTTTTTGGAAGAATTAAAATTGTTCATTTTTTTGTATTAAGCTGTAATAATTAATTTATAAAATAATTTAAATTGTAACTATTTCTCAATGTGCAATACCCAATGAAGAGTAATAAAAATAATAATAATATGAAATAAATACTCATAATAAATAATAAAAACAAAAATTTTTAAGGTATCTAAAAATCGCAAGGACATTTAACTTGTCCGAAATCTTGGTGCCAAAGAACAAAATATAAATTTTGAAGTTAATTTTAAATTAATAGGGTTTTAAATAAAAGTATTTTTAATTAATATAACATTGAGAAATTGTTACACAAAATTTTAAATGTTAAGTTGCTAAAATAGTGTTATGAATCTTAATCAATGTGTTTGTCTACTTATCTCTCTCACTCTCACTATGCGCTTGCACAAAAACCACCACCAACTGTGCCATCTCTGTCGCTCTGTATCTGTCTGTCCCTTTCTCTCAACACTAATCTCTACATTAAATGAACCGTTATTGTTAACTACTACCATGCAACGCGTGATCTGTACTGTGCTCCCGCTGTCTCTCTCTCTCTCGCTCGTTCTGTGGCATCCGTTTGTCTCACTCTCGCACTCACGGCCGCGAGCGCAATGGATTGCTAATTGCAACCTGCAACGCGCAACTTGCAACTTGCACCTGCATGTTCGACACCTGACGTCCTTACTGAACCCAGTTGTCCACTTCAATGTAGAGCTAAGGAAGCGTCCACAATCATGGGCCTCCACACCGGATATCGACGAGCCAGACGAAGTTGGTCGCCGTCCGCCAGCCCCGGCATCCACAAGTCGAGCCACCGTCGCCGAGGATCACGATGTGGCTGTCACCGTGAAACTGCCGGTCCCGCCGCGACGTCACACAACCGCCTTGGATATCAAGGAGGTAAGATATGGATGTTTTCATGATTAAGAAACTAAGTTCCCAATTTACAAGCTAAACCTTTTCCATATTGCTTTCTCGTTAAATTTATTGCTTCTAATTGGTATTTATTTGTAGGTGGAACACTCTCCAACACCGCCAACCCGTGTCACATCCTCACCCAGTAAAACTTCAAGTATTCCAGATGAGTTAGTCATCCTATCGACAGACAGTCTAGCAGAACGTGTCCGCAAAATGAATCTTCTGAAGAAGCAGCGCAGTCTTAACTCCCGAGAAAACAGTCGGGAACGATCAGTTCCACGGAGGGAAGAGTGAGTTTAAAAAATGTTAACGCTATAATTATACTATAGAAATGGTTAGGACCTAAATCCAAATGGTTTTTAATGAATTCCCTTTTCCAATCAATTAGAGAAAGCGAGTCCACAGCTGCCTCAGCACCGCTGGTTCCTGATCGCCCAGAGCGCAGCAAGTCGGGTACTTCTCTAAATCAAATGCCCTCAGCTGATCTGAAAAGAGCTTCCCTGCCGCCCAAGAAAGTCACAATGGCAACCACCACGGCATCGTCCAGCAGCAGTAGTACCAATTCCCTGAAGACCACTTCCACTTCCGTCAGCAGCGAAGTCAAGGCCTCATCCTCATCCACTTCCTCAACAAGCTCAAGCACGGTTCGACGCAAGGAATCGGATACAGTGGCTAGCAAAGAAATCAAAAGACAAACTGTACCCGCTACATCGACATCCCACAACAGCACATCCATTATCACTCCATCCAAGTCGCAGGACTCACTTCAAGAGCAAATGAAGACCCTGCGTCAGGACCTGGAAACGATGAAGACACGGGCAGAAAGAGCGGAGCGTGAAAAGAGTGATATTCTTTTGCGGCGACTGGCCTCTATGGACACCGCCTCCAATCGAACTGCCGCCTCGGAAGCTCTGAATCTGCAGCAGAAGCTAAACGAAATGAAGGAGCAGCTGGATCGTGTCACCGAGGACAAACGCAGGCTTAACCTACGGATGAAAGAGCTGGAAAACAAGGGCAGCGAGTCCGAACTCCGGCGAAAACTTCAAGCCGCCGAGCAAATCTGCGAAGAGCTGATGGAGGAAAACCAAAGCGCCAAAAAGGAAATACTCAATCTGCAGGCCGAAATGGACGAGGTGCAAGGACACGTTCCGCGACGACGAGGTCAAGGCCAAGACCAGTTTGCAGAAGGATCTCGAAAAGGCCACCAAAAACTGTCGCATCCTTAGCTTCAAGTTAAAAAAGAGCGATCGCAAGATCGAGACCCTGGAGCAGGAGCGGCAAAGTTCTTTTAATGCCGAGCTGAGCAACAAGGTCAAGAAACTGGAGGAGGAGCTGCGTTTCTCCAGCGAACTAACTAGAAAGTTGCAAGTAAATGAACATTATGGATTCCATAAATAGTCCAGGTAATACATTCTTTTATATCAACTAGACGGAGGCAGAGGAACTGCGCAATCCTGGTAAAAAGAAGGCTCCCATGTTGGGCGTCCTAGGAAAATCCACATCCGCGGATGCCAAGATCACCCGAGAGTCCCTTACGCGCGGTGGCTCCCAGGAGGACCCTCAGCACTTACAGCGCGAACTACAAGACTCCATTGAGCGGGAGACGGATTTAAAAGACCAACTTAAGTTCGCCGAAGAAGAGGTAATGCCACATGTTGCAAAAGTGCCCACGTTTAATCATTTGACCATTTCACGCAAAGCTTCAGCGATTCAAGGATCGTGAGCGAAAGCGGGTTAGATTCAGTTGTGGTACTCAAACTTCCACTGAGGTGTCACACGAGGTGATGGCTTTCCCAAGAAGCACACAAACTGTGGCCCAGCATCCAGATCGATATATCTACAAGTGTGGAGAGCTTGGTGACCTCCAACGAGGCTGACACCCAAACTGATCTTGAAACTATTGATAAAACTGCGTCGCCCGAACGGGAAACCATACCGTCTCCATTTGTGGGACTCTTTCCACAATTATCGTCTAGCAGAGTGGGGCAACCCGGTTCCCTGCTCTTTCCCAGCGCCATTTCTCATGCCCTTCTGACTGGAGCAGGTACCAAGAACCTCAGCCAGGAGGATTAGTCCGTGGATACAATCCGATCCTTGTGCCTTGTCTTGTGTAGCAACCATTTGTAGAACCAGTTATTGTTCTTTTTATTCGTCAGAGCTCTCTTAAACTATTTTTATCCTCGAATACGATCTCTGAATGGGTTTATTCAATCTATATTTCTGACTAACTCGTCCTTATTCAGTTGCAATAAATGAAGTTTCTGTGTTTCAGGCTGAACATTTGAGGAAAAAGGTGACTCGTTTCGAGGATGAAAATGAGTCTTTGATGATGCAGTTGAAAAAAATGGCAACGCGCTCAAGAAGTACGAACCAAGCGATACACACAAGTAGAGACTTAATTTAACTAAGTACTTAACCTTAGTTCGTAGACAAGTTAATCAAGTTTAATCCATCTAAATTTTAAAGACATGGTTGTCACTTTTGCATATAAGATAAGAATCATATTTACTTTTTCATTGAAATGAAGTGGCAACCGTGGAACTAAACCATTATTCACTCAGGCTAAGATCACATTAAATCTTTAACTAGCGTGACTTAACCTACAAGACTCTTCTATTCATTACTGAGTTTATGGGATGTTAATTTAATCAACTAACTGGTCTTTTCATGCGCTTATTAATGAATAAACCGTATCAGTTATTTGCCATTTTTTGCGGCTGCTCATTTAATTAACAGTAACTAACCAACGTAATCCTTGTCTGAATCCTAACGACTAGTAACTAATTAAAACTATAGACTGTTTTTAAAACAGATAACTAATTCTTCGACTTTCCCTTAGGCCGCAAGCTGAGTCCCACACCGCATCCTCATCGCCTGGCACCCGAAGTTCACGCCGATCGTGATGAAGGTATCTCCGACGAGGATGATCCCGCGGAACTGAGGATTCTTTTGGAGTTAAACGAACAGGAAGCCTCGATCCTGCGGCTCAAGGTAGAAGATCTCGAGAAGGAGAATGCCGAGTCCAAAAAGTATGTGAGGGAACTCCAAGCCAAGCTTCGACAGGACAGCTCCAATAGCAGCAAATCCTCACTCCTCAGTTTCGGAACCTCGTCCAGTGCCAACCGAAAAGAAGCTAAAGACACTTAATGATGAGTTGATTCAACTTCGCAAGACACTTGTCGAAAAGGAGCAGGCCGTGGACTCGCTCAAGAATCAGCTCAGCAAATTGGATACATTGGAAACAGAGAACGACAAGTTGGCCAAGGAGAACAAACGTTTGCTAGCGTTACGAAAGGCTAGCGAGAAGACCGGAGAGGTGGATTCTAAGATGAAGGAATCTCTGGCTGTGGCACAACGGGAAAGGGATGAGTTGACGGCCCGTCTCAAGCGGATGCAATTGGAAGCGGAGGCAAAGCTGCCACCTCGCACTGCCAAAAGGGTAAACGATCTTACGCCGAAGAGTCACCTTAAGAAGTGGGTGGAGGAGCTGGAGGACGAGATAAGCGAAATGCGGGTTATGCTGAGTTCCAGCGATACTGATCAGCTGAAAGCCCTGCAATCGGCCAAGGGCACGCTGGAGGAGGACTTAAGGAAATGTAGGCAAAAACTGTCTTTGGCCGAAGGTGATGTCCAGCGATTGAAGCTTCTGAACGGAAATAGCACAAAGGTCAGCGAGCTGGAACTGAAGTTAAAACGAAGCGATGAGGACTCGAAAAAGCTGAACTCGAAGCTAAAGGACTTGGAGGACAAGCTTAAGAAACAGGACGCCCAATTGAAGCTTGGCGAAACTAGCAAATCCTCTTGGGAAACGCAAAGCAAGCTGGAAAAGGAAAAGCTGGCCAACCTGGAGAAAGACATTGCAAAACAGGCCAAGGAAAAAGAAAAGCTAGAGACCAAGATCACACAACTGGATGCTGATTTACTGAGTGCCAAGAAGTCAGCCGAAAAGAGCAAGTCCAGTTTGGAGAAGGAGATTAAGGACCTGAAGGCAAAGGCTAGCAAATCGGATAGCAAGCAGGTGCAGGATCTTAAGAAGCAAGTTGAGGATGTTCAGGCTTCGTTGATCTCTGAACAGAAGCGATATGAAGACCTCAACAACCACTGGGAGAAACTCTCCGAAGAAACTATTCTAATGCGTGCCCAACTCACCACTGAGAAGCAGAGTCTCCAGGCCTGAACTGACCGCCAACAAGCAAAAATTGTCCGAAATGGACACCATCCGCATCGAGCGCACCGACATGGCAAGAAAATTAAGCGAGGCCCAGAAGAAGATAGCCGATCTGCAGGCCAAGGCCCTCAAAGCGGTAAATGGCAATGGAGGCGAGTATGAACGAACCGTCCTAAAGAACAAGCTGGCGGAGAAGGAACATGAGTATGAACGTCTGCGAAGGGAGAACGAGATGAACATAGACTTGGTCTTCCAGCTGCGCAAGGATAACGATGATCTGAATGGCAAGCTCAGCGACTACAACCGGATAGAGCAGGCTCAATCCTCGCTAAATGGACATGGAGCGAGGCGCGAGGCAGAGATCAGGGAGCTCAAGGAACAGTAAGTGTACTAAATTTATTACCTAATAAAATCTATCACAGGTTATTTAATTTGCATTTGAAGGATTCACATATTATCTTAGATTTTATTTTATGTATTTTTATTTTTATTTTTACAATCACTTTTAAAAATGATATTTTGGCCATCAGATTACAGAGCACTGAACTGCAAATGAAATCCGAAGTGGCCACAGTTAGACTTCGCTATGAGCAACAGGTGAAGAACCTCAGCGGAGAACTTAACTCAATGCAGGCAAGATAAGAGAAAATACTTAATGAAAACCATAAATAAACATTTCCTTCTGAAACAGCGCCAGTGTGAACGCTTCAAAAAGGATCGCGATGCCTTCAAGCAGATGCTGGAAATGGCCCAAAAGAAGATTGGCGACCTCAAGGCCAACAACACCGGAAGACAAAGTCGAGGTTCCATGCACAGCAGCGATGATGATGACAAGAGCAAGATTGCCTACCTCGAACAGCAGGTACATACCGACAAAAACATGCCAGGAAAAAAAAAGAAATTTCTGTTTATCATAAGACACCTCAGTGAACCAATGCATAAATTATTTTTTAAGCCAATTCATACCCTCCATTTCAGATTGGCCATCTAGAAGACCAGTTGGTCGAATCTCGGCTGGAATCCAGCAAGATAAAAACGGAACTTGTATCCGAACGCAGTGCCAATGAAATCAAGATATCGGAGATGCAGTCGAAGCTTAACGAGTTTGAAGAGGAACGTGTCATCGGATCGGGCAGCACCAAGCTGCCTGGCATGAAGACGAAACTAGAGCTCTCTTGGCAGAAGGAACGCGAGGATCAGCAACGACTACTGCAGGAAACCTCTACCTTGGCGCGAGACTTACGTCAGACCCTCTTTGAGGTGGAACGTGAACGCGACAAGGAACGACTGGAGTCCAAGCGAAAGCTGGACCAGATCAAGCGGGCCACCGAAGAGGAAATGGAGGAGGGTCGTAAGAAGATTGCCGAGCTGCAGTGCGATTTACTGGAGCTTCGTGATGTTCATGCCAAACTGCGTACCTCAAACGAGAAGTTAAGACGCGAGGTTAGTATTATGGTTATTAAGGTTTTTTTTTATAATTAAAATTAAAATCGGAAAAAACAGTATTAGAAAATTTTACAAGCTCTATCAATATGGTACCATATACTTAGAATTTAAAAAAATATAGTCATTTACCCCGGACGGGACTCGAACCCACAATCACCGGATTAGAAGGCCGATGCCTTATCCATTAGGCCAAAGTATTAAATGTTAAAGGGTATTGCCATAGAACTAAAAAACATAAAACTGCAATGTTTCGACCACCCGACCGACCGTTGGCGATGATTACATGATAACAAGTGAATCAAAATACATTGTAATTCGCGGAATCGATAATGAAACATTTCAAAAAATATCACCGTTTATTATAAAAAAGGCTTCGCCTGTAATGTAGCAGTCGAAACTTGTAAGAAAACGAGTTCTGGTATCCTCTAAACTAACAAGAAGAAGCTCTATAGTCGAAATTAGTCCATGGAAATTGACAAAGCGCCACCTTTTGAGAGAAAATCTTGTTACATAACCTACATTTCTTCATAAATGGCGAAATAATGTTCCGCTTTGAAAAATCGATTTGGTAAATCGGTAGACATTAACTAGAAATGTTATGCAAGGTCAAACAAAGACACGCATTTAAATGTTATGGACGCTAAAAAGAAGACTTGCTGCGTAGGGACCTCAAGAATTTTCTCGCTTAATCTGAACTTCGTATCTCTTGTAGTTCCCCCTGAGATCGCAGCGTTCATACTCAACTCGGCTATTGATCCTGATCAAGAATATATGTATATCATTTATAGAGTCGGAAGAAACACTTCCTTCTACCTTTACAAAATTTGCAACGAATCTAATATACCTCTTTTACCCTACAAGTAACGGGTATAAAAAAGGTTGCACCTTTACCCCAGATGGGACTCGAACCCACAATCCCCGGCTTAGGAGGCCGATGCCTTATCCATTAGGCCACTGGGGCATGGTACAACAGCTACCAAAATGCCTATATATATATCAGGCCGTCTGAGAAGCATTAAAATGACAAATACGCAAACGCAGTTGTCGACTAGAAGATTCCCATTCATTTCCATTTATTCAAAATATTAATACTAAAAAGCTCTGTCATAGAACTAAGAAACAAAAACATTCCTTTTACTTGAATGTGGCTATTCTTTATGATTAAACTAAGTAATATAACAATTATAATGAATACTTAGACACCAAAGTTTCTTTAAGGCTGCAACTTCCCCTGTTGACCTTTAATAAATGTACTTGTTATATTCAATTTCAGCGTGAACGCTATGAAAAGGAGCTGATCAAACGACGAATGGAAGCCGATGGCGGAGATCGTAAGGTGGGCGCTCTTTTGCAAACGGTTGACGAACTGGTTAAGATTGCTCCGGACCTAAAAATGGTTGGCAGCGGGTCGTCAGCACGTAGCAACAGCTCCGGATATGATAAGAACTTGCGACCGGAGCAGCCGAACGTGCGTCGCAGTCGCTCGCCATCACCAACTTTGAGCAGTTCTCAGATTCACCAGTGTCCTGGCCAGACTGGCGGAAGCCTCGGAAGAGCTGCGCAAGTTCCAGCGGGTGAACGAGGACGAACAGGAACGCAGTCGGATGAGGAGGAGTAATCTGCGTCGGGCTGCCTCGCAGGAGAACGACCCTCACGGCAGCACCAGTTCGGTGGCCAGTGCGGCGGGATCGCAGCGTGGCGGAGGACGATTGTCCCGGAACTCATCTAACAATGGAAGTCTGATTAGGAAGAGTCTCTCACTGGATCACTCCATACAAAGGGATCAGGTGAGCTCCATTAAAAAGATTCTATCAGGGAATAAAAATATTTTATTTTATTAATTTGTTATAATATTTTTGATTTTTAATAATTTTATAAATAAGGAAAAACATTTCGACTATAATTCGGATCTCCTTGCAGAATATTTGGCGTCAGGACGATGGCAGTGTGTCCTCCATGCAATCTATAGACTCGGAACTAGGTGGCTTGGTCAGGGACTCAAGTTTGGACTCACGTCTTGATTCTCGTCTATCTGGTGGGTCCACTCAGAGCGACATACCACGAGGACCTCGCAAGAAGAAGAAGGGCATCATGGGCAAGCTGCGCAGCCTGACCAAAAGTAGTCGCAATTCCGAGAGTGAAATATCAGTGAGACTTTGGATGACCAAACAAATAAGTTCATAAAATGTAATATTATACATTTTTTCGGCAGATTCAAGGATCTGACTCGGATATCAGCGTGGCCAGCGACATGAGATCAAGCAAGAAGGATCTTCGCGGCCGGCTGTCCGGAATGTTTAAGCGCTCCGGCTCCAACTCCCGCAGCGAAAGCATGGAACGGGCAGGAACCGAACAGAGACCCGTGGCCGTCACCGTAGTAGGACATCCCGATGGACCTCAACCTCGCGAGCCGCCGCCTGCCAATTCCCTCACACCCAGACCCATACGTTCTGTAAGATATTTAAGCTTTAGCTGAAACCATTTGGGATTTTTATTTGCTTATCTATAACAGATCCCCAAACCGCCGAGCGCCGGAGCACCCACCACACCTACCACAAGACGTCGCGTAGCCAAGTAGTGACCATTGGTTAATAGGTTTCAATCTCATAGGATTCATTCTAATCGTAGCTGTAGACGTTCGAATAACCCTCGTCCCACTGGCTTCCGAATCGCAACTTCTGCTAATCCCAAGCCTTCATAATTATATGTTGTTTTTTTAAATAGTTTACTTCATTTTTATTTGAACACTCAGCCGAAATAAAGTCATCTTTTTCAAATAAAGTCGTTTAACTTTCTACCTATTTCTAAAAATAATAAAATGTAAATATACGAGTATATTTATGGAGAGTGAAAAACCAACATTAATGTAAACTATTTCAGCGGATAGTAGGCCCATTATAATAGGGCATGCTGCACGGAAATGTCCCCAAAATGATGTTGGCCTCTCCAAGTGGGCAACGAAATATGACACCGAACTTAGAAGGAATAGAACTACGACTTCCAACATTCTACTTTTATTTCCTAGAAACGAAATTTTGCCAACAGAAATTTCCAAGACGTCCCAAATAGTTCTATCAAATTTAGCTGTCATTCCAATTACCATTCCAAAAATACCTATTAATACCTGGATTGCTCGATCAGTAGAAAACTTAAATAAAAAGAGTGAGTGACATTTATTCTATTTACTTGCAATTATGTATATATTCAAAGTATTTTGTTTTGCTTAAAACTTGTTTTTACTTCCATGTTCTGTTTGTTTTTTTTTTTTACACACTACATTAATTTTGTTCGTTAAATATAATTTCAAAATGTATAATTAATTTTTTGTAATTTACTTATTGTTTTTACTCTTTTTGTGTTTGTTTTTGGTTTTAAAATGAATTTAACGTAAAACAATTTGGTTCAAAACATTTGCTTAGGGTTCTTAGTAGACCAATCCAATGTGCGAACAAAAAGAGTTACAAGTTTAAATTTGATGTCATTTTGAGTATGTGGCATGTTCAAATAAATAAAATCTATTGATTGAATAGCCCGTTGAGGATACAGGAAGATGGTGAAGGAAGGGGAGGATATATGTGGGTTGTACGCAAATCTAGTGCGAGAGACGAGACGTATGTAGGGGGTACGTTGCATTATTTATTTTTGTAGTACAATTACTTAGCGCTTTTGCGTTTCATGTTTGTTTTTGAGTTACATTTATACATTTATGCGATTTGCTTTGGAGATTAATTCTTCTGATCAGTGTTTAGCTTCAGCTTCCGTTTCCTGTTCTTGTTCTTCTTCTCATAGTTAGTGTATATGTGTGTTTGTCTGTATGTGTGTGTGTGTATACATTTATAAATTGTGTTTTGCAAATGTTTGTTTATTGGCTTATTTAGTTGTTGAATTTTTATCGCTCGAATGCTGTTTTGGTTTTTTGTCTGGTTTTAAAAGTTGTTCGATTAAGTTTTTTTTTTTAGCATTATTAGTAACAATGTTCTTACTTGCGGCTCTTATTCTCGTTTGTATGTTTTAAATCCTTATTTCCTTTTTATTTTTTTCGATTTTTGTTTTGATATTACTTAGGCACTGTGTTCGTATTACATTAAAGAATTAATTTAAAATTTAAATTTAGGTATGTATAAATACATTGTAAAAAATTTCTTTAAGTTTACCGTAAACTAAAATCTTGCAACGCTATATGTATTTCATTTTCAAGTTTTCCGTGCTACTCGCAATATTTTTTTCTTTTGTTGATGTCCTTGTAAATATGTATGTAAGTTAAGTTAAATCCTGACGTCAATGTTAATTCTTAAGCACTGTACCACGTTCGCCCAGCTGCCATCAAATGCTAATGTTAAACTCCTATTTATTCCTTCGCTATCTCGATCTAAATGTACTTGTAGAAAAGTCTATGAAATTATTTCAAAATGAAAGCTTTGAAAGTGACAAAACGTAGCTTCCGTTCCGTTATCGTTTCTGTTTCTGTTTCCCTTACAGACCCAAGTCGCAACACTTATATGCCTAAAATCGTTACAATCTGGTTTACAAGTAAGTCCTATATATGTATATGCAGTTTTAGGAGGTTTCTATGTGTCTCTGGGTTAGTTATACGCATAATACGTACAACTAACTGTTTTCAGTATCAGTTTAAGATTCCAGTTTCCTTAGTTTCTGTTGGTAAAAAAAATTCAAATTCATTGAAAGTTCTCTTTTTGGCTAACAAACGCTTAAATCTTCATCATCTAGATTCGGTTTCGTTTTTCTTATGTACCGTGCAGCCTGCGGTTTAATTAGTTGACATTTATTAATTTATATTAGGTTGTGTTTGCTAGATGATAATAACAAACAAAAAAGATCAAAACGAAATCTGCTTTCCATAATGTACAGAATTGGCTAAGATCAAAACCGAAAACAAAATTATGCAATTTGTGTACAATTTTTCGTGTGAACAAAAAACCTTATACGAACTTATGTTGGTAGCCTATTCATCAGTGATTTATTCGAGTTACGAGTTGTATAGTTTCGTGTTTTAGCCTTCTTCTGTTCAACATCGTCTCGCCTTAAACTGCTCCATTATTTTGCCTTTCGTTTACAGTCTCAATTTTGTTTTTTTTTTTTGCATTTTGTTTCATTTTTGGTTATTTTGCTTAGTTTTCCTCTTTTTTTCTGTGTTTTTCCGTATTTTTGTCTATTTTGTATTTATTATTATCGTTATTAACTACATACAAATTACTTTTTGTTCACTATTCTCTGCGTTTGTTACATTTTAAAATTACCATATACATACATACCTCGTTTCGAATTTTTTCTTAAGAACAAACGAAAGTCGGGCCTTAAAAGGGATGAGTGTGCTGTCGATTAACTAATACATAATGAGTCTCTTAACTTGCAGGCATTAACAATTATCATTCAACTTCGACTTCTACTTTAACTTCTCTTAACCGAGTACGTATTTATAAGAACCGAAATTATAAAACAGAATTCAATTGAAATACAGATACAAAACATGCCACCCACATACATATGAGAATACATATATGCCTGTTGATCTTTAATCTTATTGATTTCATTATCTTTTATTTAATTGGTTGTTCTTCTAGCTCCTCGCCTTGTCCTATATAAATTTAGTCATTACAAAAAGGTGTCTTAGGTGGAATCGTTTTGTCTTAGGAATTTAGCTTAGATATCTGTTAAACCTCATCTTATTTCAAATCATTCTAGTCTTTAATCGCTAAGAGTACTTCATTACATAAAAACAACTCTCATTATAGGGGGGGTATTAGAAAAGTCGGGGCATTCTTGGGGATATGGGACCAAACACATTTCAAGTTCTAGCCGTCTAGCGTAGTTAGAAAAGGATCTGAGTTCACCGAGTATTGGTGTGTTTGTTCCGTAGATGTTCTCTTAGCTTAACTATGGGTACCAGTCGACATTTCCGATTCGTAAACAAATTCGAGAAAACTTAATCGTAAGAATTTTAGATCGAAAGTATTGATAAGTATCTAGTTCATTTCTCTCTTCACCTAGAGCTATATTTTATGCATATACGTACGTAGAGCTATACAATGTATACAAAAACGCATTCGGTTCAGTGATTTTGGTTTGCATTTTGGCGCATCATTCGTATGTTAGCTTATCAATATATTAAATAATATAACCCTTATATTATTGTTTCATTCGTGGTTCCTATAATCTCTTCACTGGAAACGTCGAAAAGCCGAAACCAATCTGATAAAAACCAAATGCAACAATAAAAAGGCAACCGAAATGTTTGATAAGCTGTCAAAATCAAACCAATACCGATACATAATTCTCGATAACAATCGATCGCCGCGATTTTGTCATCCCGTCATCAATTGGCCAATACGGAAAACCAATAATAATGAAGGAACAAAAGCCGTATACACAAAATGACATCAAATGGTAACGAAAAACGAAAGGAAATAATTTGGTTTTGGTTATTATTCTGCCTTTCTGGTGCTCCAATGTGAATGTGATTTCTCCGGATGTCTGGACATGTCGAGTTCGTTCACCTCTGTTGCTATTGGACTTATGCTGCAACTCTTTTTTTAAGTGTATTCATTTGTGACTGCGTGTGTGTGTGTGTATGTGTGCTGACAAACATTTACATTTAATTTTAATTTCTCTTATTTCGTCTCTGCTTTAGCTTGAAAGTGCAACACTTTGTTTAATACAATATTTAAATTTATTTTACCGTTAAATTGTTATATATATTATAATTAATATGTATATAGTATATATAGTTGTATATAGTAGGTTTATTCATATATATTCTTGTTTGTTTATTACGTTTACGATGCACATATATTTTGTGTAGTTCTTTTTGAATAGGTTTTATGTGTTGGCGTTAATAAAAAAAAACAATCTATATTGTATTCAACTTTAAAATGAAGGATTAAAAAATGAAATTGTTTTACAATTAACAGTCAGTGTATGTGTTTTGTCTTCTAATAAACTTCTAATCGCTCATATTAGTTCATAATTTTACTTTAACCTCCACTTCGTACACGTTAATTCTATGCAATTTCTTGTCTGCAAATTGGTTTCATCATAAAAACAGAAATTATAACCTGGTATGTAAACCACCAGAAAATAATATTGTTCATCTTATTAAATTACATCAGGTTGATTTGCTGGCCATTTTTGTTAAATATTATGTGAAATGGCTGTTGTTTTATTAATATTCATTCTTGTTGCACACACAACAAATCCAGGATGGTGTTTGACTTTGCTGCTGCTTATTTTATTGGAAATGCTGATCAAAACTCAAAAATGATTTGTGTCAAAAGCATTTCCTTTCATATATACTTCAAACTCTTCTGCTGATCAAGCTGCCGATCCTTCCTCGCTTCACGCCTTTATCTCGCCGCCCAATCGATGGTCTCAGCGACGACAACACTAACATAAAAGGACACATACAATCACGCTCAGGCACGCACACCGGTACAAAACGATACAGTGAAAAGAAAAAGATTAAAATTAAATGAATTTTCAAAGATTTGTTTTTTTTTCAAAAATCGAAACGTTTTTCACACGTTTACTTTACTCGTTTACTTGCTCATTGTTTTTAGCATTTTTTGCTTTTCTTTTGTGTTGATTTTTTTTTTTAAATTGTATAATTAGTTATAAAATGTAAGCATATGTATTTGTAATTTAAACGAAATTAAATTAGGAATTTATATCTGCAGGATTTGTTTTGTTGTAGTAGAGTACAAATTATACGAAGAACACTAAGCAATAAATCACCGAAAAATAAAGTAAAGTATTTGTATTGTATATTGTAATTAAATGTATGTATTGTAAGTTGATTTGTTGTAAATAAACAAATTAAAAATTAGTGTATGGTATTTTAATAGAAAAAATTACTTCATATTTTATAATATATGTGTATGGTAAATGTATTAGCATATAATATGTATGTTTCTCATTTTGTTTTTTGTTGTTTTTCATATTTTCTTTTTGTAATAATAAATTGTAAAATCGCAATCATATAATCATCATTAAAATAGTTTACTTTCATCTTGTTTTACACACAGTGCACGCTCGTTTAAGTGAGCGTGCAGAGTAGTTAAGAGTAAATATGTATAAGTAATTAAAGATATATATATGTTATGTTCATAATCAATTAAAGTTCATCTCTTCTCTTTCTTTTCTTTTTCTTTTCCTCATTCTTTTCTGTTTACCCTTCTATCTTTTCTCTCTGTGTATCTCTTCTGTTCTTGTTGTTGGTATTAAATGGGGTTAAGTGTGTGAGTGGGTGTGCGTGTTGATGGTGTTTTGTTTTTGTAGTGCACACTTTTAGCTGTTTGTTGTCGTTGGTTGTTGTTCTTGTTGTACCTGCTGCTGTTGTTGTTGCTGTCTGCTTGGCAAACGATGAAAATTTGAAAAAAATGTGCAACGCAACTCTAAGCATCGTATTTTGTAACTTGTTTTACTTGTCCTATTCTCTCTGCCTGCCTCCCTTTGTTAAATTTAACTCTGTACTTTCATTAACTGTAGCTTTAAATTTACGTTTCCTTTTGCTCTTTTTTTACTCTTTTTTCCTTTTTTGTTTCTTTCTATATATACTCATTATATATATATTGTATATAAGTATGTATGTATATAGTTTTTATGTATATTGGTTAAGAGTGTGTTTTGTTTGTTGGTTTCCATATCCATTATAATCAATCATCATCATCATGCTGCTGCTGCTTGGCTTCTTCACTTCGTTTTAACTAAATAATAAATCCAACGCACTATATAATTCTAGTTTCAAGTTCAACTTTCGCTTAGATGTAAACGACCACGTACGCTTATTAATTAGGTTTCTTTATATATGTAGTTTAACTTTTAGCTAGTTTTTGTTTTGTTTACTTTAAATGGTAAATTTTTAATTTTGTAACGTATCTTTCCCAAGTCAGTAGTACCGCCCCTATTTCGCCACCACACCCTCTCATCCAGCGACCTACTAGCAGATAAAAACAAACAGTTGCCGATTAGATTTGACCATTGTCTAGGATCAAAACCAATGATATGCCACCATATCTATCCTATATCTGTAATATCTGTGAACGGCACGGCCGGTCAAAATGAGTGAGTCACAAAGGCTAAGGCAAGCAGCGAGTTCTCAGAACCGTCTACATGCATTTTACAGTCGATTCTTTCTCAAACCCTTACTAAACCTTGTCGCCCGATCTAGAAAGCGGTTGGTGGCGAAAGCAGATCGGAAACCGACGTGCTTTTGCTTTAAAATGTACAATTTCGAATTTGTATTTACTAATTTTAGTAATTAAAGGGACCTTTACTTGTTTACTCTTTAAATAAAATTAAAAGTTCTTATTTTCTTTGTGTTGGTATTTCGCACTCTATTCTTGATCTTCTTGTGTCTAATTTGCTAAACTTTATACTTGTAAATCATTACGTTTAAATCTTCACATTTCTATTTGTTTGTTTTTGTTAATGCCATCATGTATCATATGTATCTACGGGTTTCAGTTGGTTGGGAAGTTCTTGTTAGTTGACTCTGGCTGGTTGATTGGTGAGTGTGGGATACAGGAGAATGTTTGTTGTGTGGTGTTTATGAGGCGCATGAAAGAAATAATGTTCTCGTCTGAATGGGTGAGTGTGCCGATGTTTCGCCTATGAATTACATACTCGCTTCTATAGAACATACATGTAAATCTATGAATCTGACTTGTCGCTAGGTATTCTCGTGTTAAATTTGTTTCGCTTTAAATAATAGTTGTACAAGAGTTTTAAATATTAATTTCAACAACTGATCTGATCTGAAATAAAAACGAACAGACGACGCTTTAGCTTACAATTACCACCATCTTTTCTGTCTTCTTCATCATTCGCCGAGGACGACTCCGACGACGACATGTTGCTCTGCTCTGCTACTTCTACTCCTCAAATCGATCGTCCTCCTTAGACAGCCTGCGAGGCTGCATACGGTGGCTGCGTGGAGCTATCGTTGCCGTACGCTGATCGCGGCCCGGCTCCATAGTTGGAGGCGCCCTCCTGCTTCACGTAGTTGCTGTAGTCGTAGTCGTAGCCGGAACCATAGCCGCCGTAGTCGTACTCAGAGCCGGATTTCGAGGCCGAGTTGCCGGGTCCGGTCCGTGGCATGCCGCCTACAGGTCCAGTGGTCGAAGGACCGCCCGCCGCCCAGGTCTGAGCCCGCGAGTACATGTCAGTGGCGGTGCCCGCTCCTGCTCCTGGGGCCCCAGTGGGTCCAGCAGAGTTGGGTGGCATGTTCCACGAGTTCCAGCTGCCGCCGCCCGATGGTCCCGAGGGAGCTCCGGTAGACGTCGAGTTGTACATGTCATATCCGCCATACCCTTGCGTTTGCTGCGGTCCAGCGTAGTTCGACCACTGCGGTGGTGGTCCCTGGGGTCCTGGTGGAGCTCCCCAGCCCTGGTATGATCCAGGACCGCTGTTTCCATAGCCGTACTGCTGCTGCTGCGGCGACGTGCCCCACCCCTGATAGCCAGGCATCATGTTCGGCGCACCAATAGGCATATTCAGTGGAGGTCCACCCATCTGGCCATTCTGACCCTGCATCATGTTGATAGGAGCGTGGTGCGGTCCCCAGTGGCTGCACTCATTGCCCAGCTTGCCATATGCGCCGCCCACCGTGCTGTTGTTGGAGTTCTGGCCGCCAGATCCGTCACGAGGCTCGGCCTTCTTGATCTCGACCTGTGGAGCGGAAATACATGTTAATATTTGTTCGTCTCTCAATTAATTTCATTAAATTTAAAATAAAGAATATTTTTCAAACAAACAGAAATATTTAGTTTTTCTTATAAAATTTATAGTGTAAAACAACTACAAAGATAATAAATTAAATTTAAATTTGATTTAATAATGAATATGACAAATGCAAAATTCAAAATAATGCTGCACTACACAATTATGTAGTAGATATTGAAGTAATGTTAATATAGAAAACTTTCAGCGATCACCCACCTGCTTGCCATTCAGATTGATGTACCGCTCGTTGGTGACGTGCTCAACGGAGGACTCTTCCTCAAAGGAGAGGAAACCGAAGCCGCGTGATTTTTTCTTCTCCTGATCGTACATGATAACCACCTCAGTGACCTTGCCGTAGCGTCCAAAGAAGGTGCGCAGATCAGTTTCGGTGACGTTCGAGGGCAGGCCGCCCAGGAACACCTTGTAGCCGCCACCCTTCTTCGGTTTCTGCAGCGTGCGCGGATTACACGGCTTAGGGTCGATGGTTCTGCCGTCGAGCGTGTGCGGTCCGTTCTGCAGCACGTGGTTGACGTTGGTGGGATCGGCAAAGGTCACGAACCCAAAGCCTCGCGACCTGCCGCTCTCGTTGTTCTTCATCACTACGCAGTCAATGATGTCTCCGAAGCGGCAGAAGTAGCGCGACAGATTCTCCTGCGTCGTCTCCCAGGACAGGCCGCCCACAAACAATTTACCCCTTTCGTCCTCTTCCATGATGTTGTTTTGGTTGTGGTTGTGAGCTATGGCGCCGGGTAGGTTCTCAATAATTGACGTAATCTTGCCGCTTTTTTATTAACACCGGGTGCAAAGAAATTAACTTGTGTTGGTAGCTTTTTGGGGGGAGCACTTTTTAAACTATTACACGGTTTCTGTATTTTTTATTTTGTGGTTTTGTATCTTAGGTTGGTTTCAACGTTGCCAAAGTTCTTTTCCTTCAAAACAATTAAACAAAAGCCACGACGTTCACACGTAACTTTCTAACGTAACAATATCGATGTTGTTGTTGTTGCAGGTACATGGAAAGACAGATAGAATGAAGGAAATTTTGTTAATAAAATCGCTACACAGAAAGAAGTTTACTAGCTTAATCTAGAATCGAAATGTACATAAGTTTTATCTTAGTGTTATTTACTAATTGGGTTAATTTTAATTTAATAGAGACGAATATTTGGAGAAATTCGAAGATACTAGTCAGGACTGAAATCTATAGGCTGTGAAAATCTTTTTTCTTGAGTCTCACATTAAGCAACTTATTATGACAACTGTTCTCCCAGTGTAAAGATCTTGGGTGCGAATGGGTGGAAACGACCAGATGACAGAAACTCACAAACGCACGCAGTGAAGGAGAGCCAAATAGTAGGCATAGTAATTATTAAAGGCGCAGGTAGGCAGTAAGAGAAAAAGCGGCAGAAGCAACCGGCCGGTACACACACACACTCAGCTGAAGACATTCCCCAGTTCTTGGGTATGTGTGTGTTTGCCGTCTAACCGCTTTTTGTACACGTTCACAAGTTTGCTGCTCCTTCTCCCCACTATTTTCCTCTTTCACTTGCTTTTACACAGCTACGTGAAAGTATTGTTTTCTTTTCGCTGTGTCACGAGTGGATTTGTTGTTGTAACAACGTCCCCAGCCTCACTCACACCCAAAAACACACACACATGCCGCCTATCAATGAGAACAACGAACTTATTTCCAAGGTGAAAAGAGAGCTGTCGCCGGTTCACCACATTTGCGCGCCATTTGCCAGAGGATTCCAGGTTACAGATGTGGGCCAAGTAAACACATTTACACAAATATCTTTTAATTTTGCGGTGCGAACACGACCAAATAATGGATTAAAATTCACTTATTTGTCAACGGAGTACCGTCATTCCACACTTTGAGCGCTCTCACAGACAGTTTGCCCATTAACAAGTGAAAAACATGTGGCAACGCTATTTGTGACGTGAACGCGAACGAAAAGCGAAAAGCAAACGTACCAAAAACCAATGCCCTCAACTAAATGTTAATTCCGTCGAAAGAAAAAACAAACAACTCTTTTCGAGTTTTTCTCCAGTTTGAAATGATTACTTTTTCCTGGCAGAGTACTCGCGACTGCACTGAATGAATCGCACTGAGAGTGTGAGTGGGAAATTCACCACGACAGAGGCAACGAAGAAAAAAAAAACAAAATGGAAGACATGTCTGATGAAAAAAAATGCTACCAACAAAGAAATCTTAAGAAATGTTTTGGCTCTCGATTCTTAGAAAGGGGAACAAACACATTTCACTTTATTTTTACTATTTTTTAGCCGCAGATCAGTTTATGCAGCAGGAATTTCACAAAATCACGGATGTACTGGTCTCGCCGGCTACACTTTTCACATTTTACCTAACGGTCGGCCCGGGGAAATGTCGAAATTTACTAAGATTTCTAATACGCAATTTTACAAATTTCGCACGATTTTTGTATTTTGCACCGCAATCTGCTTCTAAATATGTATGAGTGCATGAGTTGGCCATACGTGTGCGCGTGCGAGCGTGTGTGTGCGCGAATGGCCGCCGAGCGTTCTACAAAAGTGTGCGTGTGCGTTGGTGTGGTGTTATACATAGCATTTTTTCGTATGTATGTATAAAAATATGAAATTTTCCACTTTGATGGGTGGAAATAGAGTGCCGAAAGTGGCACAGAAAAGCGCTGAAAATTGCACAGACCTCTATCAGTTGAAGAAAAATGAAAAAGCAAAGAAACAATCAAAACGAGTCTAACAAATTTTACCCACACACCAACACATTCGCACAACGAGCAATGGCAGCTGCGTCAGGTATTCAGGCTTTTTTTTGGAAGGGAAAGGCTAGGCAGGCATTTTGTTAAAGCACCGTAATTGTTATGTAAATGCGATTTTCAGTCGATTTCCATTCTTACCGTTTGTGCCAAGTGTTCGTCTGTGGTTTTTTAAAGATTTCGCACTGCAAATTCACTAAATTTAAGTGTTTTTTCCTTAAAAAACTAGCTTATAAATAATTGTATGATTTTGATGCATACGATATTATAACCTAACTTATATGATAAATCGCCGCCACGTTTAATGCTGTGTGACCACCGCTCTCGAGAAAAAAATACCGTATCAATTTAGAAACGTACTAAACCATACTGAAAATATATACTTAAAATTATCCAAATTCAAATCAAATGAAACCCTTTGTATTTAAAAAAATTAAATTTAATCTCAATGGTTTCCATTTTTGATATTTAATTTTTTTATAGGTGTTTGTTTTCTTATGTAAGAAATTATGAAAAAACGAATCGTATATTTAATTATATTAATATTGATTTTCAAATGTCAAATACATTAGGCATCAAAAATGTAGAACCGTCGAAATTATGAAAATACAAATCTTAGACTTACAAGCATTGATAAAAATAGGTTTTCAAATACATCGAGGTTAATATGAATATTAAATTGTCGTAATGGGGCTAAAATTTAAAATATTACAATTAAGTTGTTTATTTAAAATGAAAAGCATTTTAATAATAATATTAATATTATTTTGTTAGTCAGTTTTGTTAGACTTATTTGAAAGGTTTTCGGGAATTTGCCGGCCCTGCAATCAAGTGTTGCCAGACCAACACACTATAAACCATATATTCGGCATAATTTCTGGTATATTTTCAGTGAGCCTGGGGGTTTGTTTTAACGGTCAGTAGACGGTCACTTTGTTTGCTACCCGGTAAAATGAATTTTGCGCTGCATTAAATAGAAAATAAACATAAAAATTCACAGTTGCCGACTGTGTTGAGTGAATAAAAGCGTTCCCAAGTGCGCGTTTAATCGAATAAGCTTTCATAGAAGGTGGTGGCAAGTGAATCCAATCCATCATCGATTTTTTCTGAGCTGCCGCTGCCACATTAACACAGGGCTCAGAAAAGCGAAATAAACAGAAATGTCGCGCCATCCGAGTGATAGGAAGGTGTATGTGGGCGATCTAGGCAACAATGCACGCAAAAACGATCTGGAATATGTGTTTGGGGCGTACGGAAGTCTGCGCAGCGTATGGATAGCCCGCAATCCACCGGGCTTTGCCTTCGTTGAGTTCGAGAGTGCCCGTGATGCGGCGGATGCGGTGCGAGGACTAGATGGGCGAACGGTTTGCGGACGCCGAGCTCGTGTAGAGTTGTCCACTGGAAAGTACGCCAGATCTGGTGGTGGTGGTGGTGGTGGCGGTGGTGGTGGCGGAGGAGGAGGAGGTCCCGGAGGACGCGACCGTGGTGGCGGCGGCGGTGGTGGCCGTGGCGACGAAAAATGCTACGAATGTGGTGGACGCGGTCATTTTGCACGCCACTGCCGCGAAAGAAAGGCTAGGCAGCGACGCAGGTAAGCGCAATTTCCATTTTTCATTCATTGTCAATGCCAAAAAGTAGTTCATTTTTGAAACATGGCGAGGGATTCGCATACATACATGTATACTTAAATGAGCGGTGTGTGTGTGTGTGTGTGTATGCCCATGCAAAAATGTTGAGTTTGTTTGGACTGTGGTGAAATTTTTGGCATTCGAGGTAAAAATCGCTATGTTAGTCGCAAACAGCTTAAGTCTATGTTAACACTGACAGCGTGCTGTAAAGCGCGAAGTGTGCTGTTAATAATCGTAGGAAGTAGGGCTGTACCTTAACAGCACTCGCACGTGCTTGTTAGTATACCCATTGCTCTTTAGGTGGAGGGTATATTTCTTTTATAAAGACTGTTATAAAAGAAACCTATTAATTACTTGTTTATGAAATGACTGAACTATATTTTTACATTTCTTATATAAGTGGTTAAACTTGATTAAAAATGTAACAATACAGCTGATCTCTATAAAATTAACTTTTAATTTTAAAGTGTTATGGTCTTAATTAACTTGTAATTAATATTCTAAACAAGATAAATTTGTATTACCACATTCCAAAAAAAATAAATTAAATCCAAAAAAAATAAATTTAAATTGGATAGCCTAGAAACAAATAAAACAAAATAAATAACATTAAATAAGAAAAAAAAAACTTTTCTAAAGTATTAAAAGTGAAAATTCTAAAAAAATGTTTGCCCTAAAAAATGTAATTAGGGCATCAGATATTCTGTAAACTATAATTTTTCTATATTCCCCGCGATATAATTTTTGTGGTGAATAGTCTACAGTGGTGCTGTTAAGTGAGAATCGAGTGGCAACGCTGGCTATCGAAGGCACACGTGCTCGCGCTTCATTTTGGAATTTTCTTTTACACGCGGCATACGGGAAAGAAGGTTAAGTTGCTGCTGGCTGCCGAAAGTTTTATTAGTTTTTAATTAAAATTTAAACTAAATGAGCAAAGTGTAACGCAATGTTTGTGCTTTACGAAACGCCGGCGGGCTACGCAATTTTCAAACTGCTGGACGAGAAGAAGTTGGAGCAAGTGGACAATCTTTACCTGGAGTTCGAGACTCCGGAGAAGGCCAACAAACTCCTAAAGCTGAAGCACTTTGAGAAATTCAACGACACAACAGAGGCTCTGGCCGCAGCAACGGCAGCTGTGGAGGGCAAGGTGGCCAAGCCATTGAAGAAGACTCTCAAAAAGCTGCTTGTGGATGATGTGCAGTCGTCACTGTTAGTCGCGGATGCCAAACTGGGCACTGCCATCAAGGACAAACTATCAGTACAGTGTGTGTACAATACGGGAGTCCAGGAGCTGATGCGGTGTATTCGCCAACAGGCAGACAGTCTGCTCGGCGGCTTGCCTAAGAGGGAGATGACCGCTATGGCCCTAGGTCTCGCCCACTCCTTGTCACGCTATAAGCTAAAGTTCTCGCCCGACAAGATTGACACCATGATTGTACAAGCTCAGTGCTTGTTGGATGACCTGGACAAAGAGCTCAACAACTATATGATGCGTGCTCGTGAGTGGTACGGATGGCACTTCCCTGAACTGGGCAAGATCATTACCGACAACATCGCCTTCGTGAAAACCATTAAATTGGTGGGCACCAGGGACAACATGGGGACAAGCGATTTGTCCGACATTCTCCCAGAGGATGTAGAGGAGAAAGGTCAAGGAAGCGGCCGAGATCTCAATGGGCACCGAAATCTCCGAGGAGGATGTACTAAATATCCAGTGCCTGTGCGATGAGATCATATCCATCAACGATTACCGCATCCATTTATATGACTACTTGAAGGCCAGAATGATGGCTATGGCTCCCAACTTGACGGTACTTGTGGGAGATACAGTCGGCGCTCGACTAATTGCCCATGCCGGCTCTCTGATCAATCTGGCCAAGCATCCCTCGTCTACTGTCCAAATTCTGGGGGCCGAAAAGGCCCTCTTCCGCGCTCTGAAGACCAAGAAAGATACTCCAAAGTATGGTTTGATCTACCACGCACAATTGGTGGGACAGGCCAGTCAAAAGAACAAGGGCAAGATGTCGCGTTCCCTGGCCGCTAAGGCGTCGTTGGCCACGCGAGTAGATGCCTTCGGCGAGGAGGCAACCTTTGAACTAGGCGCTGCGCATAAGGTAAAGCTCGAGTCGCGACTTCGACTGCTTGAGGAGGGCAACCTGCGCAAACTTTCGGGCACCGGCAAGGCCAAGGCAAAGTTCGAGAAGTACCAGGCAAAGAGGTGGGTTATATCCGTCAATTATATAAGAGTGTACCAATTTCCAGTGATGATACCTAAAAGGTTTCGCATTAATCTGATTACGATGACGATAAACCTTGGCTGTCTGAGCGAAATTGTGTTTACCTCGCATAGGCCTTTATTCTCTTGTCCTTTATATTAATTTATTAATTGCTATTTTAGTGAGGTGTTCACATACCAACCGGAGGCCGACAACACATTGAACGTCAAAAAACGCAAGCACTCTGAGTCGGAGCAGACGCCGGTTAAGAAGGAGGCGGTTAAGGAGGAGACTGCTGAGGAAGATGCGGAAGTGAAGTCTGAAAAGAAAAAGAAGAAGAAGAAGAAGCAAAAGGACGATGAGGAGGCTATTGAGGAAGCGGCAGCACCTGAGCCTGAAGATCAGCCAACGCCAGCCAAGAAAAAGAAAAAGTCAAAGCACCAGGAGTAGTTACCCCACCTTGACTAGTTGTAGGTTAAGTCTTAGCATCCTAGGTTACCTTACTGTAAAGTATAGGATTTTACAATTATCAACAAGATTAAAGTTTCTGTTGTACATTAGAAATAAAATGTAATATTTCAAAAAAAAAAAAAATTACAAATGCATATAGCATTCTAAATAAGCTATTCTCAAAACATTCGAATGTTTATCTGTTTTATCACTGGATATTCTAATAGATTCCATATGAATTTTTGAGTTTTTCAGTTAGTAATGCCTGTTGAGAAAGCAAAGGCATTGTCTGTTTAATCAGTGGATCAAAACAAGGGTTCTCAAGAATTTAGTTTTTTTTTCATCAAAGCCTTGCAACACTTCTTAGCAGTTCCGAACTTTGGAGGCCAATCTGTAACTCTCGGCGCTGCAAGAAGTTCGATTGATTGCGGTAAAGACGCCAATGAAGCAGAAAGTTTTTACGTCAGCACCAGAGATTTGCTTGCATCATGATACCAGGCATTTTAAGCATTTTGTGGTCCGCGGCTCATAGCGGCCTATATAAAAGCGAATGCAACTGGTGCCAGTCGAACGAGAAAACGATGCAAGATGCATGGACACCTAAAGCTGCTTCTGGTCCTGGGACTACTGCTTACCTACGCTGCGGCGAAGAAGAAAGAGTCATCGTCATCCGAGGAGGAGGAAGGTGGCGAAAAGTACGAGAAGAAAAAGTTTGGTGACGAGGAGCACAAGGGAGAGCACGGGCACAAGGAGCACAAGGAATGGGAGGAGGATGAAAAGAAGCACCACGAGCTCGAGGACCATGAACATCATCACGGAGATAAGGGGTCGAAGAAGAAGAAACACTACGATGAGAAGGACGAGCACGGCGAGAAGCATGAACACGGCGCACACAAGAAGGGCGGCAAGCACCATCATAAAAAGAAGCACAAGAAGGGCCACAAGGAATTGGAATACCACAAAAAGTTCAAAAAAGACGAATACATCAAGGAGAAAAAGTTCTACGATGACGAACACAAGGGCGGCCATCACAAGAAGTACGGAAAGGAGCACCATCATCATGCCGAGGAGCACGGCGAACACAAGAAGGGCGAAAAGCACGAGGGCAGTAAAAAGAAGGGACACAAGAAGCATCATGGTCACTACAAGAAGGGCCACCACGATGAGGACCACAAAAAATACAAGAAGGAGCATAAGCACGGAGAAAGTTTTGAGGACAAAAAGGAGCACGGCGAGAAGGGCTCCAAGAAGCACGGCCACAAACACTACAAGAAAAAGGGAGGAAAACACTGATCAGGAAAAATCTCTCTCGTAGGCTAAGATAAATGTGATGTTTTTAAGAATTGTGGAATTAAAACTGGGCAAGGTTGTAATTATTGTGTTTTTATATCCATGATATTAGTCTGGCTTCGTTTTGTTTATCTTGTTCGGAAAATTGGTTTCTTGTTAGTTCTTGTTAGAAAATTGAAAAATATAATATATGTTATATATTATATTATTTTAATAAATAATTTGTTGCACATCTAATGTTCAATTACATATTAATATTGTATCTTAGCTTGGTTTTTAGTATGCTTAATAACAAAGCTTATAACATTTCTCTAATGACAATCTTTTTCCTATTTACCTATTTCAGAAGCAATTCGTTCAGCAGATCTCGCAGCACATCCCGTCGCAGAAGGACTCGCTCCAAGTCCGGCACCCGTTCCCGCAGTCGCTCCGCCGGCTCGGTAGGTCGACGCTCCGGCCGCTCAAACGGACGGGACGAGAACGGATCAGCGTCTCGGTACAGCGACCACGAGCGCAATGGAAGCGGAGCGGTGGAGTCTCCACCTCCGCCAAAGCGGCGCTATACTGATGATGATGAGGACAGGGTTAGGGGATCGCCGCGGTCACGTTCTCGATCTCGATCGGCATCACCGGCAGCGCGCCGTGGATCGCCGCCCAGACGTCGCGGCGACTCTTCCGTTTCACGGTCCGTCTCCAGGGACTAGCGACACCGAACGAATGCAGACAAAGCCCGGCAGGCGAAGATGAGGGCCTGAGCTGCACCCCCAACGAATCCGGCAAAGTGGGGACACCACACACTGGACTCCTCCCCTCATTCCCAAAAAACAACCTCACGTGTAACAAGACAGATTCCCAAATACTTTTTCATACAGTATCCATCTACGATTTAGTTGTCCAGAATCATATTAGTTAAGGGTTTTTAATTTATAGTGTAACACGAGTTTGCATATTTAGGTATTCTTATGTTTCTACACAAGCACATGCAGTACACTTCGGAGAATCATTTGACGGAAAGAAGTATAAGATATAGAAATGGATCGGCAGCCGCAGATTATCGATCTAGTCAAGATTGCTATGTAAATTGATTTGCCTTGGAATTTGTTCGCTAACCCTGAAATTATACTCGAATATGCAGGAGACGAAGCATCGCCACCATTTTTATGTCAATTCTCTACACATTTCTCAATTTATACTACTCAATACACTTGATTATTCGAGTCCAAACTCTGTATGATGTGTTTCAATATTGGTAATAATTAAGTCTTGCAAAAGTGCATAATAATTATTCATACATTGATGTCGTAGTTAAGTATTAAACAAATACATATGTATGGATTCTTGAGATGTGTGTTTGAAATTATATAGCAAATGCGCTGAACACTAAAATACACAAATATTCAATCAATAAATTAAATGCCAAAACGCTTAATTTTTTATTTGAGTTTGGCGGTCTTGGTTGCGCAGCGGCTGCGCTTCATTTTCGTCTGATTACTATTCTTTTGTGTGTTAAAATTATTTTGGTATGTTTCAGTATTTTTATGTTTAAATCGTGGTATTTAATTGGACCGTTTTTCTCGTCCCTTTTATTTCCATTTATGTAAATTGGATTTTGTTTCCTGGTTTTGTTTTTGCTGACAGGCATAAGAATCACAGATTGAAAGAAATTATGTTATTGAATTCGTTACTCGGTCCATTTATTTGCTGGGTGGATTTATACTATCTGCTCTTGGTGCTTAAGCACAGGGCGGCAAATTTTTGGGGGCGTAAAAAATTTAACCGAAAATCAAAATTTTTATTGATGTATAATTTGAATTAAATAATAAATGCTGCATTTTCTACAGTGTTTAGAGCGGCGTTTTACAGAAATCCGGTCCTGCTTATTTGTCTCAATACTAAAAAAAAGTTGATTAGTCCGGTAATTTATTTTTAGTATTTTTGTTGACCCGATTTGGTATTACCTGGCGCTTTGGGTACGGCCATACTGTTCTCATCGCATTCCTCCAGTTAAATTTTGTTTTGTGTTTTGTTTTGCCTTTTTTTTTACCCATCGCCTAAGATTTATTATCCTTTGCCTCTTTACGAATAGTTGTGAAGTGTCCGGAAAAGAGCATCGCCTTGCACCGCGATTGGCAGGTCAGCTACAATGGCATTTCGCCAGTCGGAGCATGAGATGAGCGTCACTTCGCTTGATTCAAGCGTCGAACTGCGTTCGCGCTCCCCATCGCCACAGCTCTTTAATCCGCGTAAGCTTCGTTTCGCCGACGACGACTTTGACAAGGACCCGCCTGAAGAAGCGAGTCCGCAACATCATCACCAGCGGCAGCAGAAACTATCCTCCGGCAGTGGGCATCAGCTGGGCAAGGATGGAGAAGGAGATGTATCCATGTCCCCTCCATGTCAGAAGGTGCGAGCCCTACGCCTTTTCAGTACCCCGGCCACCCCCAAGACAATCCTTCAGAAATCCACGACGCAATGCAGCAACCATCTGTCGGCTGCGGCAGCGGCAGTGAACGCCTCTCGGCGTAGCGAGGATCTCTTCCGTCTGTCGGAGCGCCCGCGATCCTTGCCCCTGCACAACCGAAAATTACCTGCCCAGGATACGGCGAATGTGAATCCTTTTACGCCCGACAGTGAGTCTGAGTTCATTTCATTATCAAAATGTAGCTTTTTAATCCTAAAATCGTCAAGATCCGATGTCCGTAACCTAATCTCTCATCTTCTAATATTTAGGCCTCCTGGCTCACAATAAGAAGCGCTGCCGTACGCAATTTGGACGCGAAAACCTAAACCTGAATGTAAATGCTATGCAAAAGTATTTGCTCAGCGAAGCATGCGACGAGGATGCGACGGAAGAAACAGGCGACTCACTGCGAGAGATCCACCAGCAGGCTCCCAAGAGGCTTGCTCTACATGACACGAACATCAGTCGCTTCAAGCGCGAGTTCATGCAAGTAAACGTAATTGGCGTTGGGGAGTTTGGTGTGGTATTTCAGTGCGTCAATCGACTGGATGGATGCATTTATGCGATTAAGAAGAGTAAGAAGCCGGTGGCAGGTAGCTCTTTCGAGTGAGTATTTTAAAGTTATTCAAGCTGACCACTTTTTAACTAATATATCCCTTACAGAAAGAGAGCCCTAAATGAGGTATGGGCTCATGCCGTTCTGGGCAAGCACGACAACGTGGTGAGATACTATTCCGCGTGGGCAGAGGACGATCACATGCTGATACAGAATGAGTTTTGTGATGGGGGCAGCTTGCATGCGCGAATCCAAGATCATTGCTTGGGCGAGGCAGAGCTTAAGATTGTGCTCATGCATGTGATCGAGGGCCTGCGCTATATCCACTCTAATGACCTGGTTCACATGGATCTGAAGCCGGAAAACATATTCTCCACCATGAATCCGAACGCATATAAATTAGTTGAGGTGCAGCCGCCTCAGAACAAAGACGACGATGGTATGGACAGCGTCTACGAAGAGCTACGGCACTCAGAGAATTTGGTGACGTACAAGATCGGAGACCTGGGTCATGTTACGTCCGTTAAAGAGCCCCATGTAGAAGGAGGGCGACTGCCGTTATCTGCCAAAGGAGATCCTTCAGGAGGATTATTCGAATCTCTTTAAAGCCGACATCTTCTCGCTGGGCATCACGCTTTTCGAAGTGGCTGGCGGTGGTCCACTTCCCAAAAATGGGCCCGAGTGGCACAATCTGCGAAATGGCGAGGTGCCCATACTGCCGACACTGAGCAGAGATTTTAACGAACTGATAGCCCAAATGATGCATCCAGATCCGGATAAGAGGCCAACATCACAGTCCATATTCAGCCATCCGTAAGTTTTTTGATAGTAATTTATGATAATAAAAAAATCACTTCTTATCTTCTTAAAGACTTTATTTAAATACACAAAAAGTTAAGCCACATCTTTATTTACATCCGACAACGAGCCTCTACCCAATCAGATTTTTTCTTAACAATTTAAATATACTTACATTCCCATAATTGTTCGTTTACCTTTCAGAATTTTGAGCGCCGTTGACTCTAAGAGCAAGCTGCAGCTCGGCCTGGAGCTGACCGTTGAAAAGCGCAAGAACGAGATATTAATGAACAAGCTGAGAGAAGCCAAAAAGCAGATTAAACTACTCGAGCAAAGAGGTAAGATATGATAACTTACAGAGGCAATGAATGATTGAATGAGCGACTCCAAATTTTGTGTTGTTATTACATTTTTTCAGTCAACCTCCTTGCCGTGACCAATAATCCGGATAGTCTGGATGGGCAGCGGTGCCTTCGCTCCTTCACGCGACGCATGCGCACGCCATTCTCCAGTCATGGCAAGTTCGATGGCATATCTGATCGCAACAAAAACGTTATCACCAATATCTGATAAGCTCCTCTCTTCATACCGAACCTATAGCCAAACTCTTCCGAATCGAACGTGAACTAAGCTCACATTTTGTTACCTTTTAAGCGTATTCATATAATCGATATAAATTGATAAGTTTTCGCTTCAGTAGATCGTAAACCCTCAACCTTATTTCACACGTTTGTTTCAAGCTCGTGGATTTAGAAGCATTCGTAATATAATATATATATTTTTCAAGCTCAGTGAACTTTTCTTGGTAGAAAAAGCATGATGATCGTTTTTATAAACATCCAACGTAACTTTTAAGTATATCGCGTAGCTGTAATGAGTATTGTTTTCGACATTAAAATATTTATTATGTTACATGGAATTCAAAATAAAAACATTCCATTCGTTTAGTATAGCGAATGCTATTCCATAGTCGCTTTTGTCTTTTATTTTTGATTTGGGGCTATAGTATATTAGAAGGAATAGTCTTATAAATTGACAATTTAGGACAGCATTTTCAGGTTTGAAAAAAGGTTTCAAATAAGAATAATATGATCAGTTTAGTGAAATAAAAACAGATATTTTCTAAATGTTGTACTTATAGCTTTATAATTTTTTTCAATTACTTTTATAGGTTCCAAATAATCATTAATTTATCCATTATTTCCCAACATTGTAATTTGACATATTTTCATTGAGGCACTGAGACTAGATTTTTAGTGTATACTGTTGTTTCTGATAAAAAAAAATGCAAGATTTGTTTTTATATAAACTATTGTTGCTTGTATTGAACTTTACTTTGTCTAACTTTTTGTTTTTTAATTCAAATAATTAAATGCATTTGCATCAGTTTGTCTGAATGTCCTTAAACACTACCTTCTTCATATTAAAAAGTACAGAAAAATGAATGGATTACACTTTTAAGATCTGCTACATATTAAATTATATGTATGGTACACCTAAAATCTCCTATAATTCTGGTTCTGCTGCCTGTTGCCACCCTGCTGCTGGTAGGCATTATTTCTTGGGCCATTATAGTTGTTGAAGTTGCGCTGCTGATTTGAATTGTCCTGGTTGTTTCTCTGATTATTGCCGTATTGGGGTCTGTTGTTGAAGTTGCCTTGATAGCCACCACCTTGATGCTGGTTGTAGTTATTATTGTAGTTGTAGTTAAAGTTACGGCTATTGTTTTGATAGCCCTGTCCGTGGTTTCCTCCGCCCTGGCCATAGCTACCGCCTTGCCCGTAACCACCTCCTCCGCCACCGTGGTTGTTTCTTATTCCTGCATTTAACATGCGATGTCCGCTGTCAGGAACAAAGGCCCTAGATAAATGGCTATTGAATCCGATGACGGGACGATGTTTTTGACCCGACTGCTCATTCGGCAGCACCTTTGGAGGATCTACTGCATTTTCAAGACGCTTGGCCTCAAAAATGTAGTCTTCGGCGTACTCCGGATCCTTGAAAGTAGTCGTTACAGTTGTGTTGTCACTGATGTCCGACAGCCCGGAAATAGGCGACCTCAGAATGCCGCTGATGTCAGTGTTTAGCTCAGTTTTTCCTAAAGTTCCCCGCATTCCATCAAACGAGATGGCAGTGCACTCACCATCTTCCGACCTTTTTGCTTATTTTCTGGGCCTTCTTGAAATGAGGACTCTGGTCACTGATGTACAGGTAATTGTCGCCCCGCTTGTTGCGCTTGACCTCTTCTCCCGTAAGTTGCTCATAATAGGGAACCAAAGCCTTAAAGAGCCGCTTCTCGTCTACGAAGGGCAGCAAAGCCACACCTTGCCAGGCGAACTTTTGCCATTCAGATCGATCTTAAAATCCTCTGGATAAAAGTCAATAATTGGTGAATCTGGGTTAGACATAAGCTGTGCCCAGGGCTCGGGCACGTGCGAGCTACTGGCTGCAGGAAAGACGCCCATCAGTTGCTCTAGAGGATTAAAAGGCTTTGTTCCTCTTTCAAAATTCGTGGACAGACCTTGAATGTTAACAAAGTCCGATGCGAACGGGGCATAATGGTATGGAAAGTACCAGTTCCAGGAGGCACAGCCTTGATAGTAGTACTTCAGCACCCAGCACAGTCCTCGGACATATTGCAGAGCAACGGCGTAGCGAAATTGTTGGTTTCCTGGCGCCACATCGAACTTTGACTCGTAGTAGCGGTCCTTAAAGCCTTCCTCCCATAGCCGTACTTCGTCATTGTTCTCCTCTTCTTCTTCCTCATCCAAATTAGCCTGGTCACTTGTCCGTTTTCTATTTCGCAGAGCAGCGGCCTCCTCTTTATAGTTCCCGATTCCCTTTTGCTGGTTGCCTGGACCCACTGCGCTGGCTCCAAACGACGATTGGTTCAGTGCCCGGTGGTCCTGATTTCTTTCTTGCCTCTTGCGCTCCTTATCTCTAGCCTTAAACTGTTCTTCGCGCCGCTGTCGGCTCTTGAAGATCTGGTCCTCGGCGTTACCCAAATCAGTCATAATCAGTTGCACTCGGTCCAGATTGACATCTCCCGAGTCGGTGAGATAACCCTTTGTCTTGTACACACACTTCTTATAAAGCTCAACGAGTCGATCCACTGCCCCTTCACGAATCTCCAGACTTGGTAGATGTGGCAAAAAATCGTTGCCCACAAAGAAGCACATAAATACCCAGTCGTCGAGAGCACGCTCAAAGCTATACTCGAACGGGAGGTTTGGCATCTCGAGTGTCTGCTTCAGATACTCTCTCAGCACGCTCAGCCGTACGAAGATAAACTTTACCTCGGCTCCAATGGGAACATCGGGTTTAAAGTTGGCGCCAGTAGGTGCCGTGGCTCCCAAGCCTACACACTTGTCCATCTCGTGGCCAAATCCGTTGCATATGTCGCAAGGACGTGGCTTATTTGGCAGAAACTCCTCACGAATGATGGTGAAGTTCGGCTCGTGGGTGGCTAACCCCAACATGATAAGATCGGCATCGGCTCCGCACAGCACATGCTGCGTGTTGGGATCGTGATCCGGTTGGGCGCGCTGTTTTCGAATATAGTCCATAATCTTGTGCTCGCCCTCGCCAGGCACATTGGCATCCGACAGGATAACCTTGATGCCCTTCCAGGCCGGATTATTGTTCTGTCGATCGTGGACAAAGTAGTGCAAGCACTTACTGAGCCGGTCCATGAAGGGTGTGCCCGGCGTAATACAGTTGGAGTCGAAGTGTTCGCCCTTCTCCTTCTCTGGCGGCAACTTGCAGCCCCGGCTTAGTAGCTCCTCGCGAATTCTCTCGATCTCAAGCCGCTTTTCGGTGGCCTCCTTAGCAGCTCGGAACCGTCGAGACCGCTGCTGGTTCATCTTAGCACGCGGAGCCACCCCATCGATGGCCATATAGAGCAGCTTCCGAGGGCGCACGATTCCGAATAGACGGTCAATGCAGTCGAAAATGGCCACCATCATCTCGTCCTCGTTTTTTGGCGCCGGCTTGTCCTCCGGATGCGTACACGGATGGATTATGCCGTTCATGTCAAGATAGAGGTTGTCAAATTCTATCCCATTCGGATTCGGCTTAGTGGCGTCCTCGTAAATATTCCGCCCAGTATCCGGGTCGACTTGCTTGTTCTCGTTGCACTCGATTATCACGCTCGGGTACTTCCGGCTCAACCAGCGAAAGAATGCTGGAACTCCCATTTTAATGCAGGTTTAAGCGTTTATTCTTTATTTTGGTCAAACTCCAATTTTCTTCGGTCTTCTTTACCTACTATACAAGCATGCTCCAGCCAGTGGGACCGTATAATTGGTACAGAATAAACTGACTAAAATACCAAAAATACCACAGGTCAGCAAAATTAGCTGTAATAAAAATTGGTAAATATTAATTATATAATTGTCGTCCTTTGTGTTTGAATTCCATACCATGTATATTATGTTTCAATTCACTTACATTCATATTTTCAAAAACAAACAATTTATGATAAAATATTTAAAAATAAGCCGTTTTATCTTCATCTCTAGAAAAAGCTGGTAGAAAAGGCCAAAACCGCATTTCTTGTATCACTTACGAGGTTGCCAGATACTCGAACATAATTCATGTGGTTCGTTCGAAGAGGCAGTTTTATTTTCTTGCAATGGCTAAGATACTGCAGAAATACATAAAGTTCACGGCCAAAGAGCTGGAACAGTACGCCAGCAACCCGGAATCCTGCGTGCGGTGCATCAACACGGACATGCATATGGCCATGGGTCCGTACGGGATGGCCAGCTTCAAGCACGCGCTCCACGAGCTCCTCATCCGCACCAAGGTGGGATTTTACGAGGCTAGCCTCAACGGCATAGTCCTAGGCATAAAAAATATAAAGGTGCTGGGCCACACGGCGGGTCTCCGTGCGGACGACCCCACCATGCACCTAGTAATTAACGCGAATTTCTACGTCTTCCGTCCAGAGGCGGGCGCCATCCTGAACGGGGTGGTACGGCACATATCAAAGCACCATCTCAGCGCCGTAATCTACCGTGTCTTCAACACCACCATCCGCTTCAGCAACAATTGCCAAGGCCGCGAGAACATCGCCATGGATCAGGAGATTAAGTTTCGCATAAAGAGCTTCGACATCAGCAATGTAATGCCCTTCATTGAGGGAGAACTTATACTCGAGAATGGCGATGTTCCTATGGTAAGTTACTCCTTTAATTCGATGTTATACCATTTAGAAATGAGAATTCTTCAACTGAATAATATCATTTTTCAATTTCATATTTGTGGTACCTCATTAAAATTTTTTAATTGAAAAATACATTAATCTTTACTACTACTACTATTAATCTTTACTACTTCTATAAGTGTGGGACAAGTGTTAACTTCTCGTTCAGCTTGAAGTCAATAGTCAATTTGGCTCAGTCTCAATATGTTACTTTTATAATGCCCAGAACTAGCTTACCTTATTGTTTGTTAAGATTGAAATGTCTAAAACTTTAAGTAAAAGTAATATATATTTTTCTTTTTTCAGAATAAATCCATTAGGTTTGAAAGCCCTGAGCCTGAGGAGAAAAAAAGTCCTGGTGGAGAAAGACCATGAAATGTTAGATGCCCTTTTAGCTGAAATAAAAGAATGAAACTGAATCCTCGCCAAAAAAGAATTCCAAGCGCAAGAATGGAGAAAACGGTGAAACAACAAAAACGAAGAAAGCGAAAAAAGTTAAAACAGAGAAAAAAGAAATAAAAAGCGAGCCCATATAGCTTTAAAATCTTTCGTTTTTAACGTATCTGTGTAGTACAAACTAAAAATTATATAATGCCGAAATGTAGAGATTGGTTAGAAATTATTCAATAAGATGGAACGTGCTAATTATATTTTTAAAAATGTATGCTGACAATTTATGCCTTGGTATCAAACTTTCTTGATATTGATTATTGATATTCGTTTTGAATATTTCAGAAGTCTTCGTTTGATTAAATATCTTAATTAGGTTATCATACGTTACCGATTTCATCTCCAATGCCAGTACTAGTACTGACATTTGGAAATAATTAATTAAAGACAGTTTTTAAAATGTGAATATGAATACTTTGTAATACATATGTATTTCATACAAATAGAGTCAATATTTTACAATACATTAAATACAATATGTGTATCATAGTTATATTATATGGTTTTCTTTTACAAATCATTAAAAGCTTGTTTCATATTATTTTGATTTCGCTAATTATTAAATAACAAGCAAATATAATAATATGAGATTCTAATCGTACACCAAAAAGTAACATAAACTATACACACAATGATAACACTTGAAAATTATTTCTACACAATATCTTCTCAATCACGTCTACAAGGAACATTTACATAATGTACAAACATACGTAATACATACAGTTACAACGACTTTTTGCATTGAGATCAGGGAACATAAAAATGATTCTATTTTAAACTTGTCTTTGGCAGAAATCTAGGGCAGTGAATGGGAATAGAGAGTAAACGGAAGTCGAGCCTTGACCATCAATTGGATTCGGTGTTGAAAAGTGATAGTAAAGTTGAAATTTCGAATGTAGGAAAAGGAATTTAAGGAAAAGACTTTTAGGAAAGTTCGAAATTGGGACTAAGAAGTTGGAAAATTTCCATTAAGACAAGGTCGACCATATACATAACTAGATAATAACTTTAAACTAGAGTCACAATTGGTTACTAGAAGGGTTATGATTGCTAGACTGAGATTTCCTGAATATGTACACGTTTCTTGCCACTACTGCTACCTGATCCTGCCGTGGAACTTCCACTTGCCCCTGTCTGCCGCAGGATGCCTGTTTGTTGTTGATGCTGTTGCTGCTGCTGGGCGGCTAGGAAAGATCGTGGTGGTGGCGGCGGCTCGGGAATGTCATCATCCCGTGTGATTTCGGAGTCATTGCCGGCCGCCGCTTTGACAGCTTCCTCTATGGCTTTGAAGGACATCTGATCCGAGGATTGGACTGCATAATCGAACTGCTGGGGACTGCTGAATTGCATCGTTGTGTCAACGAAGGACCCCCGCTTGCTGCTCATCGCCGATGTGGATTCCATCAACGTGGGCAGGGCGCTGTAGGTAACCATTTCGATGGGATCTCCCGGCTTGGTTTTCAGCAGATCCAAAGTGCTCGTGGAACACGGCCCCCAGGTGTCTATCATTAGGGACGTCTGACCAGTTGACGAGGAAGGTGGCAGTTCCACTAGAAGCTTTTCCTCCTTCAACTGCTTGGTCTTCTCATCATAACAGCTGTACTCCCCGAATACCACGCCTACCCCGCCCTTGCTGTCTACCACAGAACCACTTAAAGTATACGCATCCCCCATATCACTTGGACCAGGGCCACCTGCTCCTCCACTGCCGCCCATCAAAGCGTTGAGCTTCAGAATGCTGGAATTCTTGCTGTTATCGCTCTCCTGCAGCTCCTCCTTGGTCTTGGCATCCCGAGCCCGCTTTTCGCGCTGGTGATAAATGCCCGCAAAGATCAGGACATTCAGGATTAACAAGAAGCAACCAACGGCCACGGTGGCTATCAAAGCTGTCGTGTAGCTCTGAAACTGTTTGCCACCCAGTCGCCGGAGTAGCTCCAAATTGCCAATGATTCCGGTGGAGGCGGTAGCCAGATCCTTTTGCGTCTCTACGCGCGTTATCCCAGTTCTATTGTCCTTCGGCGATTGGGTGGTCGTAAGTTCCGATACGGACATGGCTCCATCGATGCCGCATTCTACAGGGATTCGTTAGGAAATAAAGATGGCTAATATTTTGGTTACTTCTCCAACTCACCTGTGGTCGTACTTGGTCCCGTGCCAGTGGGACTTAAAGCTTGCGTGGCATTTGTACTTGGAATTTTTGGTGGTGGCGGTGGCGTCGTTGTCCTGCTCCTTTGCATGATGATGATGTTATCATCTTCAGCGGGCTTCGTCTGCAGTTGCGGTCGTACAACGCCTGTGATAAGAAATCCGGAAATTCATTTTAGAACTTAAGTTCACCTAAATGAATATTTTAAATATCTTACCCTCATAGAGATCCCTGTTGTTCATGTCGTCCTGGAACTGATGATGTCGCATAGACTGGTCGTTGATGTTGAAGTGGCGATGCAGCTGAGGGATGAGGTTCAACCACATGGACAGCTTATGACCGCGATAGTGGCTCTGAATATTGGCCTTATTGCCTTAAATGTCAAATATATATAAAAATTTGATTGCTTTAAGGATGACTTCTTTAGAACTTACCCAACTCCACGTATAGCTGGTTGACCACATCGTAAGCATCCCAAAAGGGCAGCTCATCGCCATCGTAGCTGCCCACATCTCGTTCGCTGGAAATTCCCAGTTGAGTGAAGGCAGCATCATTGCTCCGTAGTCGCCTCCGGATGTAGGATCTCTTTTCGTGCATGGCATTGCTCCGTCGTTGGTTGTAGATCACGGCCAGATTAACTGCCTCGCTGAGATTAGGATGGGTCAGGCTAGTGGATCGTTTTCTTTGTTGATGCACAGCAGTCTGCAGGACCTCATTTGGATTGGCAAGCGCAGACTTTGCAGTGGATTGGTTCGGGTTGCTAAGGGTCATAAAAAGGATTTGTATTAATTGTACAGAAATACCAATTAAGCCTAAGCTTACCCAGTTTTAGCAAAGTTGGACAGATATCGCAGCATTAGTCGGCCAATTTGGCGCTCCTGAGTCGTATAGTTGTGTGGAAAGAGCGGGGACATGGGCAAACCCAACCAAAAAGGCACATCTTCGCCACGTACAGATCCGGTTCTCTGAGGAAGGCCAAGGCCAGGATTCAGTTAAGTTTCTCTGAGTGCATCGCATCCACCTACCTGTGGGTACTCTTCCTCAATGGTTTTGTGTTTAAAGTGCAGGAAGTAGGCACGGCCACCTCGCAAACTGTGCATATAGCCCAATTTAATCAGCGGTGAGGCCGTGTGGCCATCGCTCAGAAATTGCAGGGTGGCATCCCGGGAGCTAAGAGGATTACGTATGGCCTTCTCCCAGTCGGTGTACTCATTCTGCAGAAAATTCAGTTTGGCATTTTATTTACCACAGCACATAAATTAATTAGGCAATAAAATGCCTTTACCTTCAATACGGCAAATATCTCGTTCAGATGGTAGTGGAAGTTGTTTCGCACAAAAGTGCGAAGGATGCGATCTCGTCGGGTCTCATTGAAGCCGAACTCCAAGTCTTGGGCACTTAAATCCAAGTAGGACTCCACAGATGTAAGGCAGAAAATGAGGTCTCGTTTCGGAAAGTTTGCATATTCAATTCCTGAAGTACTGTAATCATTGAGAGTTTTATTAAACAATAACTTTACAGATTTTCCCATTTCTTACTACCTAACAATAGCTGAACCCAGGGGCAACGTGGTGCTGCCCATGGGATTGGCGCCGGGGGAGATTACAGTACCATCCACAAATGGAGCAAAGCCCACAAGGAATCTATAATATTTGAAAAACAATCGATGATATCATAATATAGTTATAGTTAATATTAACAGGTTACTTGATAAGAGTTCCTAAGCATTAAATTTCTATTAACCCATTTCCTTAAGACTTATTCACGGCTCGAAAAATATTTCCTTTAAAATACCACATAATGTGTTAATCTATTTCCTTGTATGTATATTTATCGATTAATACTTAAACCCTTTCAGCTCAATCGAACTCCAAGTAATCGGCTTTTAAAAGAGAAATACGCCCATGTAAAGGATTGATGGAATGTGCGTCATACCGTGGATGATCCACCTTGACGGCTAGCAACTCGGCGACGCTTTTGGTGCGGAGGCAGGGGGCCAGGTCATCATACAACATGTCGCCATGACAGCCCGTCTGTTCCGCCACTCGCCTCTTCACAAAGAGTGGATTTTTCTGTATGGCCCAGGGTGACAGGGCCGAGCCGCTCACCAGAACTGTGCGCTGTATTAAGTCTGATGAAGAGTTTAAGATTATATGTCAAGATTAAGTTTATCGTTCCTGAAACCCAGCTCCTACTATGCTGATAATATTGAAATGATTTTTGATTTAAGTAAGTAAAACTTAGCTCAGAAAATATTCAATAAGTATCTCAAATGGGAGCTGGTAAGATGGATTGAGGGATGCCCTACCACTCGCCACTGGGGACACAACTAGTATGTTGGCCAGCACAGCTCCAGTGCCGTATCCCAGGAGTGTAATGCTCTGGGGATCCCCACCGAACGCAGGCAGATTCTCCTTGAGCCAATGGAGACCAGCAACCAGATCCATTAGCCCAAAATTTCCTTGGGCACTCTCCTTGCCGCCGGTCTTCAGGAATCCGAAGATTCCCAAACGGAAGTTGATTGTCACGACGATGACGTTGCCGTGGGCAGCAAGCTCGGAGCCATCGTAGGGATTCCCTGAGTTCCAGTCGTACGATTCGCCGTGGATGAACACCACAGTGGACAGCTTGGTCTTCGATTCGCCGCTAGTATCATCGGTATTTCCTGTGGCCAAAGGGAAGATAACTTATGTTATATGTGCCTTTTTATAATTAATACTTAATGCTGTCATAAATTTTAAGTTTTTTACATTTGACTATTAGATGTAGAAGGTCATCAAAGTTGCCAAGTCCGCAGCGCTTGCAGTTGATATTTAAACACACTGCAATGCACTACGGAATTGAAAGCTTCAATACCTTTAAGGATTTTAAAAAATATTTTAGATTTTCTATTACATCTTGTAGGTTAAGGCTAATACTCGTACTGGGATACAGATGATTCTGAATATTTTTTGTAATATTTTAGCTTTATTTATCTAAATGAATACACTTATTCTCATACCAAATAAGATAAAAAAAGGGTGTCTGCATTTTAGACAGGGAAACTATTTATCTCTAAAAGTCCACAGAACCACTTAACGAATTAAATATTCTCATTTTCTGATTATCCATCTCCTTTTTTTTAATTGCAAAGCTTATTAAAAATAGTTATTGTGGCTGTTTGGTAATTATAAGAGTTGCATTTCAACGAACTTTAATTTCATAATTAATTTGAATAGCTCACGTTGCACATCAAGTACAAACGTTGCGGAATTCAAAACAGGAATTTGGCCAAAGTTGATGCTGAAATTCATATCAAATTGCACTTTAAGTATGTGGGTTAAATTGCATATTGAAACTGCAGTTGGTTTTAATTTTGATTATTTTTAGTGCATAGAATAAAATTAGGTTTTGATAAGCCCTAGACTGAGCCCTACATTCACGTTTCGCCTCATTAAAGTTACGATTTGACAACAAAGGTAGGTCCCTGGAATGCAATTACTTACGCCTCAGGCGGCGCGTCTCGTAGGGCACATAGATATTTAGGTATAAGCAGTCTTCCGATTGGTTCTTGAGCAGCGGCAACAGGCGGCGCAGCTGGGCGAGACGGGCGCGGGGTACTTCGAGGAGAGCCTCCGGTCCGTTGGGCGGTATGGGTACGTTTTGCGGACAGACCGGCGAGAATCGATCCGCGCTGCGAACCGTTTTCCACGTCGAGGGCGTTATGGGGGGCATAAATCTGCAAGTGGAGCCAACGGTCGTTTCGATAAGTAAATATTCCATTTCGGCCACATGGGCAACAAACTAACGCATCACGTATACGCATTGTGTGCCAGTACATATACATATGCATGTGCACAACGGAGGGCAACATAAAAGCAATACGACTCTTCTTTATTCTCACGGCCGTTTGTACTTTATTTATCGTTCGGAGAATATTGGTATATTGATAGTAAGCAGATAAGCTTTGAAAAATTATATTGTAAAGTTATCATTCATTTTATATAAATAGTTATTATTGTTATGGCAAATGCTAATTTGATAATTTCTTCAAGTTTTTAAGTAAGATAAGATAAGATATTAAATTAATTATTATTATTATGAGTAGCGAATTTTGCTTAAATATTTAAAAGATTTTCATGATATTTTCAGTGTTCAAAAATTTGTATTTGATTTATTATACAGCCTAAAGCCTATGGTAGGTTCGAGTTATTAAAGCTGTTCCTGGGACTACTAACTGTGTGTGGGTGTTCGGCAGTGATGTGTGGAACCTTTGCGGCGATTAAGGCAAAAAGGATTCGCTGGGCTCGTAAAACACAGAAACTAAGTACCACCCATCAATCAAAATTGCAAAACTGCTTTTGATTAATTGTGCATTTTATTGTTTTGCGTTGAAATCCATCGATCACAAGTCCGGATTGGATGAGCAAAGGAGACAGGCATCAGCGATAAATATGGCTTGGCTATGTTGATTTTATGACACGATAATTGACGCGAAACGTTTTGATTGTTTTTTGCTTCTTTGTGGCTTGGAAAATCCCTCCTATCTTCCTGCTCCATCCAGTCCAGTTCCCCACCTCCTTCCAGTCCATTTAGCCATCCGGGAAAAGGCAAACAATGGACCGCATAAACAAAAAGCTCGCGTTTTGCGGCAAGCATAATTTTCCAGCTATACGTGACTCGGTTCGTGTGCTTTTCACGTTCCCAGTTTTTGGTAACTCCTAACCAGTTCTTCTCTTCCCCTCTCCACCGCTCTATATTCCCTTCGCATTCGACATGTTCGCTTGGTAAAATTAATACTTTTCGGCAAAAAAAGTTACGCTATAAACTATTTATAAACGAATATAACAATTTTTGTTGTAAAACTTTTTCGAGTGTTAACAGGCAACGTTTTATTTGGTGTTTTATTCCTGTTTTGCGTACACGGAATTTTGAATTTTCCCCCCGCTGCGCCGTTTGCCCAAAAAAGTATGCTACGCTAAAGGCAAACACACAGCACTTCTGCAGGTTAGCTAACAAGCTTATATGTAGAACGTATAAATAACCATCTAAAATATTAAAAGCTTTCAGCGGTATTCGATTTTCGTTCGATTCCCCAGTGCCACTGCTGCTTTATCATAATCTTAGCTTTTTTTTTAATATACGTTCGAGCCTGGTACATTTTTGATTAGAAATATTGGCGACAGATGTGATTGATTAATTACCACTCGACTGCCAAAAAGTACGTTTTATCTACCCACTTTTTTCTTGGCTTTCTAGCTTGTAGAGCCCCTCGAACCCCAAGGAGCCTTGCCTTTTGATTAACTTCTGTTTGTCGATTCCTGGCATCTGTTGCTGCATGATAATGAACCGCATTCATAAACGACTTCATTTCGCAGGCGTCACACTTTGCCACAGGAAGTAATTAAAGAACAATTTTCATGAATTGTGGCTAAGCAAACAACAATGTGCTGTGCCAGCGGTGGAGCTGTTGAAGGACCCTTTAAGTACTTCATCCAATCGCTTCATCAAACACACTTGTTGTTCGTGCATGTCACACGGAGCTTTTACTCCTTCCTCCATCCGACGTGGAAGTGTGCGAGTGTGTCAGTGTGCAAGGATAAGTGTGAAAGTGCCCAAGTAAGGGGAAACTTTTGTAATATCCAAGAAACTTCACTCGGGGGCTCAGCTTTCCGTTCAATACCATCAATACCAGCAATACCATCAAATGCCGGCAATGGCTTATCGAAATTTTGCGGCTCAGAGGTCCTTGACGGGCTCGTGGAGCCTTTAGACTCCGTTAGCCGTCAACTGTTTTGTTATTAATTGGGTGTGGAGCCGCGCTGATTCCGATTCCTCGAGAGAAACACTCGCGAGGAAGTTGCCTGTTTTCAAAATCGTAACCCCAAAACTAACTTACGGAAAAAACTTTTTAATTGTTACGTATACAGTGCAAAGTTGTGGATTAATTCGAAGTAGCACTTTGGCTTCATTACCGGCAACTCCGTTCGCTCGTCCCCGCGGAACTTTAAATCCTCAAACAATGCTTTGGGATTTCCCGAAAGATGTGGGGGCAGGGACAGGGGCCAGATCCCGTAAACTTCTCACTTGCAGGCAACTCGAGCGAGGGAGGTCCAGGCCCGCATAGTGCCAAACACCATCCACACACATATTTCATGAGAATAATTATTAAAATTGCTTCGGATAAAGTTGCGCTGTGTGAAAAAAGTTGGCCGAGAGTCGAGCCTTTCAGCCTGAGACGACCCCCATGTGGCGCCCAGATTGCGATAGCTCCGGTCGAGGTGGAGTCAAAGGTGGTGCCGTGAGTCACGGGGTAGGAAAAGTGACCTCTTACAGATACCCTAAAATTCGGTCTTTTTCTGATTGTTAAGATCTTAGCCCTAAATTCACATCAATCAAAAGCCTAAGAAAAGAAGATTTCTTAACAAAAAGGAATGGCGGAAAAGTCGAATTTTTGGATAAGAATTTTCATTCAAGGAAATCAGCTACGTTAAAAATGAATTTAATATGTAACAACGTAAACTGAGCCCACGTTAAAATATTAACTTGTTGAAAATTTCATTCGAGAGACTACGGGAAGTATTCTAAGGCTACTCACTGCTGCTTTATTGGGTATAATTAGCTTGCTCTATACAAAAGGAATCAACACCGCTCAAAGTTTCAGCACAATGGTAATGCTTATTCCAGTGCAAAAAAGAAACACACCGGCTCAGGTGGTTGCCCACGTGAGTGTCACGCTGTCAGCGCTAACTCCAAAGTTTTCACTTTGCTGTGGACGGCCCCCTGGGGAGGTGTAATCTTGTGCCACACCAAGGCGAGACTCTCCACTCGACTCACCTGAGACTGCCCACCGGAGGCGAGGCGTATGGAATGCCCAGAAAGGCCTCCACAAGCGGCGAGGAGCGGACCACAATGCCCCGCAGCAGGCCGTATTTGGTCTTCACGGTGTTGCTGCCGCCGTGGAGACATTCACAGCAATCCGGCCAGAGGCTGGTGAGGAGCAGAAGCATTAGCAGGGTGCAAGCTTCCGGGTGTCCTGGATGTCCTGCTGGATGTCCGGGATAATGGAGGTGCCTCCTCCGCGGGCTGGATGCACCAGCTGACGCTGCTGACGTTGCTGACGTTGCTGATTGCTGGCGCCTTTGATTGTGTTCGTCGGTTTTGGAATTCTCTAGAAATCTCTTTAATGTTATCAGTCTTATAATGCAAATTCCCGTTGCCATGATGCGGGCATCCGCTTCCGCTTCCCCTTTTATATCCGCTCTCGTTCCCGTTCCTGTTCCCGTTCCCGTTTCCTTTCCCGTTTCCGCTTCCCGCTCTTTATCTTTATCTTGTGCATCCGCTTCCGCTTCCGCAAGCGTTTGCTGCGCAATTGAAGCGCCGATAGTTTTAAAGCAACCCATCAAGGAACCGAGGCAAAGTAAACCGTAAATGTGTAGAAAACGCGATTGAATTATCTTAGTTTGTGCCGTCCTTGCTCTCAGCTTCAATTGGTCCGGCCCGCTTCCGTTTCCGTTTCCGGTTGGCCGTGACACTTGCCGGGAATCGTGGGAATCGAACTGTGACTGCGTCTGCGACTGCGACTGCGACTGTGACTTGGACTTGGACATGGACTCGGATCGGGGCAGGATGCGGCAGGATGTCGGGTCCGCTTCATCTTGACAGCCGTTGTGCGCATGTTGAGCTTGTGATTCACGTACATCGCCGTCATGGTTGGACCCTAACGCTTTGATTTCAAATATTATACACTGAACGTGTTGGCCTCTGCTCTATTAGAGTTGCAATTTCAGCGTGAAGTCGTCCCCGTCCGCGGAAATATCTGCAAATGTGAGAAAAGCAAATTTCCAGCATTAGCGTTTAGTTAAGCTTGGCTTTTACGAATGCTAAAAGGCAATATTCAGTTGCAGCGGGCTAACCAATTGAGTTCGGGTTATGGGTGTTACGGGTGTTATGGGTGTGCCAGGGGGGCAGTGCAGTGTTTTCCTTTTATGAGATTGCAGTTTGCAGATTACAGATTGCTCTGCGGAGCAAAGTGCAGTTGGGTGCTGTGGCGAGGAGAGGACCTTTACGCTGTCAGGCTCTGGTCTTAACTGCGCCACGCATCAGAGCGTGGCATCCTTAAATAGCCTTGGTCAATGCATCCGGCCAAGCAGCCATACGAGCAGCACCAGATGCGCCACTGCCGCCAGTCCATGTACCAGCAGCAGCAGCAGCAGCCTCCTCTCTATACACTTGCAAAATGTTTGATTTAATCATGATTTTATAATTTTTTTAAAGTGTTTTATTTGACTCATAACTATAATTTTCTTTAAATACAAACTATTTATTTATTATATCAAAATCATTTGATCATCAGTATATTTTCAAAGTCAAACAGAGGTTAGAAAAGGTAAAACAAATTTACTCAGTTTTAAATTTCAATTAAAAAAAAGTAAAAAATATTATTAAATATATAATTTATATAAAATATAAGTGAAGTGGTTTTTTTAGATATATTACTTAAGAACTTCTCAAAGTTTGTTGTTAACTTTTCCAGTTTAAGAGGCTAAAAATGGTAAGAGTCATTTAAAGGCAAGGATAAGATCTGTTTTTAAGTTTTTTTCGAGTGTTCGGTAATGCCAGTGCCTGCTTTGGCGCCCACTTTATGGCTGCCACCTAAGGAGGAGGCACGTTTGTGGTATTGGTGTTGGTGCAGGTGCAGGTGCAAAGCGCTTTGCACCGTTTGACCTCGCCTCCTGCCTTCTTATCCCCTCTCATCCCATACCCCATGCTCCTCATCTCCACCTTTTGCCTCTGGTGGGGCTTTTGTGAAAGCCTGAGCAATGGATGATTGCAAACGTGTTGGGTCGCTGTGAACTAGTTCAGAGGATGTGTTTTATGGGGAATAAAAACTGGTGATTGATGTTTGAATCGGTTCGAATGGCAATCTTAACGACAGTCGGTGATCTTTCTGGTAGATTCAATTGCTATTTTATTTCTGTTAAGCTGAGTGAGTGAAAGCGAATTCAATAAGAGAGAGAGTTGAAATTAGATTAAATTTTAATGATTTTCCTCTCCTTCTTAATTAAATCATTTTTTCTGTTATTATGAAAACACATAGAAAAAGAGTGAGTTTCATCCAGCTTAAAGAGTTATTTTAAAAAGTGCGAAAGCCATTAGCAAGGAGCGGCCTTAAAAGGTTGTGTAGGCAGCCAGCATATTCGTGTATATTAATCCATTGAAATACCTCCATTTGCATGGGAATACGCATAGACCACTCACCACATTACAATGTTAATCCCTAATGTGGGCTACGCAAAATGGGGTGAAGAGGCTTTATTTGGGTTAAGATAAAAATGTGTAAATCTGTCAACCTTTTAGGTGTTAATTTAATGTACTTAAACGCCATAAGCACACAGAGGGCACACTCGGAAAATGTTGATACCGGACCCGGGGACCCGTACTTGGACCTGGAAACGGAGTTACACAAACGTTATGAACTCCTAAGCTCTTGTGGGCCTCATTAACAAATGCTAGAATGGTACTATTCCGTTCTGTTCTGCGGGTTTCATAGAGTTTCAGGGGGTTTTAGTTGGGTTGGGAAAAAGCTAAACGGGATGAGAGTGCTCGCACAAGCGGCCATATATCTTCCCAGTGCCAGAGAAGAGCTGTTTAAATCCGTATATTTTATAAAGCTAAACAATTGGCAAAAATAAAACAATGCCAAAACACACTGCAGAGCAGAGCGGCTGGAAACGAGACGAGTTGAGCTCAGTTGAGATGACTCCGGTTGAGCTGGGCTAAGCAAACATACATTTCACTAAATTGCAGCCATAAAACTAAAGTTTAACTATGTTGCGGACCCGGGAGTATTGCCCATGGGCCCCCATACCCCATACCCCATCATAGCCATGCCCAAACCTTACACAGCCCTTGGAATTTGTAGGGCTGTGTGTATGGGTGTGTTGACAACCAAAATGTCGGCACGTTTTTCAAAGAAAAAATAGCTCGTGTCTTTACTTGGACAGAGAGTTTTCTGGACGGCTAATGCGGTGAGTCATGGTCGTGCGGGATTTTCGAATAAATTTCCACTTTTCAATTAACTAAAAGCTGAAAATGACATTCTGGCTGCATCCCTGGTTGGCCAGCATTATTTATATTTATACAAATGCTTTAAGTTGCTGGGAAAACATAACGCTTCTTTCCTGCTATGATAAATATTTACATTTTCCTTTTATTCGCATTGCTTGGCAAATGTCTTTCATGCCATCCGTTTTCTTTAGCTCTTTACGTCGTTTCAATTTTCTTTCATACTGTATGACTGTATGGAAAATCTGTAAGGACCGATAAAATTGCATATTTTTCCATGAAAGGCGTCGACCCGGAGGGGCGAAAGAAAAAATTAAGGGGGGTGTCAGCGTCACGCAGACATTTATCCCGGGCATCACGAGCGTTCATTCACACAACATCTGGGCGGGAAGGGCCGCGCACACACATGCACACATATGCAGATGTGTAGGATACACAGATGGGGGCGGAAATGGGAGGAACTGGCATGGAAATCATGGCAACGCAAACAGGAAATGTTACGGTCCCGTCCCGACTTACTCAGGTCTTTTCTTAACTTCGCTGCCAAGAAAGTAACGGCAAAGTAAGAAGACGCTGCTTCTTGCAACACTGCCAGATTCGACTAGTTCTTGCCCAGCTCAGCAAAACCCAGAGTTTACCAGCCCCTAAAGTTATACTACAGATTTTTTCTATCCTTTTTTAGATCTTTTACTTTACGGATGTAAAAAGTAAAACCCAGAGGTTTTTAGGGATTTTTTTAAAAGCAAGGGAAGGCAATATAAGCATGAAATGATTTTCAAATTTCGTAATAACTTTTATTTTTATTGATAGCTGGAAAAATATGAATTTGAAATGTTCATATATGTTCATCATTCAAACCAAAAAGTTAAACTCTTTAATAAAAAGTCATAAAAAAGATAGTAAAACGTATCCCAAAGAGTTTACTTCGCCTTGTAATCTTTCCTCGCAAAGACTCTCCCTTCTTGTTACACCCATGATCGTTCCAGAGTACCCCATGTCAGGCCATTTCCACTGGGTAACTGGCCTGGAGAAGTGGCAATCCACCCGCAAAATCGCACACTCCCTCACCCACATGGAACCTGCCTCTCTGCGCCTTGTCAATGCCAGTCGCTGGGTGAAGTTTTTGCATTAAAAGTGGAAATAAAAGTTGCAAGACGCATTAAAAATTGTTGCATTTTACAATTGCGACGGAATTGCAATTGTGCAATGGCGGCGCTGGGGATGGCAATTGCTCTGCAGTTGAAATTGCTGAGATGTGCCAGAGACATCGACATGGCTGAGATATGTCGATGATGATGATGATGATGACGATGGCGATGCTGGTTGACGGTTTGTAACCGGAGCCTTCTTAATAAGTTCCCCGAAATGAATCTTCGATAAACTCATGTTTTCCCTCAACATTGCACCAATGCCCGACAATGCTGAAAAATGTAAGGAAATTGCTAAGGAAAAGCCAAAACCAAAGCAATATCTTTCGTTTAGTCAGGCATTCAATTGATTTTCTACAGCAGGCATCGGGAAATAAGCTTTAAGCGAGCGGGAGTGAGCGAGAAGGACCATGGAAAACAATGGAAAAGTGACGGGAAAAGGAAAATATTTATGAAAATAAATAAAGATTGGGCTAACATCTCCAGTGGGTCTCAGCAATGCCGGTTAAGTTTTTATGGCGCATCTTTTCTGCTCTAACCAAATGTTATTTTATTTTTCTTCTCCTCTGCGGCACACAAAGGAAAATTTGATAAAAATCTGCAGACTGTTAGACAAATATATTCGAAACTTTAAAGAGAATGCTGGAAAGTTTTTGTTTCCTAATCAGCGAACCAAAGAGAAGCCGAGAGAGAGAGAGAATTCAACAAACGACATGAGGTTATTTAGCTGTTTGGTTAATCAAAACCAAAATAACTAAGCTCTTGGAAAAGCTTGCTATTTATCAAAATAGAACTCGCATTTTGGTTTGCTAAGATGGGGGAACAATTATTGATTGAGGCCAACGTAGAGAAACTTAACAAAGCAAATTAATTTGGCCAATATATCAAAAGAGCTTGTTAGCTAGAGTATTTATGATTTCCTTTTAAAGCTAAACAAACAAAAACTTGCGAAACTTTCAGAGTTATTTTTCTTTATAAATTTTCATATATATATTTCAAAGTTTTTTATTTAAATTCTTCTACATTTACCGGCATACCTTTATATTCAATTTGCTAACTGAAGCATGAACAAAGAAATGAAATGGAAATATATAGCACTTAATTGGAGTAGATCCCCTTGAAATTTCAATTCACTCTCTTTTTGGCAGCTTGAAGTTATGTTTTTTTTTGAGAATTTTTCCATAGCCCCTCTTACCCAGCTTATGCGTTGCCCCATCAGGCGAAATGTACTTGACCCTCGTTGGAAAATCGTTTGATGAACCCATTTGGTGCAATCATGAAAATGCGATATAATTAGCAGCCAAGTTACAAGGACTCGCAAAGGACCGAGGACCTATAGCGATTTCAATTTCGCACCAAAAGTAATTGCGCTCCCTTATCCCTTTTCATTTCAGCGTGTGTTTTTTGTTTTATTTGTCATTTAAATTATAATTCTCGTTTGACCTTTTTTGCGAGAGGCCGTGTTTTTCGTGTGTGTGTGTGAGAGGATGGCAGTGTGTGTGTGCGGGTCCTCCTGTCAGAAAAAGGACGAAGCGTCTGCTCGAAATGGCAAAAGGCGAAAACCATGCGCCAGGGCAGGCCGAGAATGTGGAACTACAAAACA